CGGCTGGATTTTAGCGCCAAAAACTTGTGCAGACGTGAATTAAATTATGTACCTGTTTTATGTACCAATGACTACTTAATAAATGATTATAAAAGAAATGAGAACCTTACCCTTCTAAATTTTGATTACCACAATAATTCAAATACATAGAATCCTCCATTTTTCCTATTCAGAAGATGATTATGTACCTGTGTTATGCACCAATGACTACTTAAATGATTATAACAGAAATGAAAATATGAATATATACGTAATCAATCGATTTTAATTTTTCATTTTACCAATTATTTCTCAATGACAAAATATATTATTTAAGTATTCGGTATTCGGCCGAATAATATGTAGATATTCGGTATTCGGCCGAATATAATAAAAGCAGCCGAATAGGCCGAATACCGAATAGTAACCGAATATTCGTTGCAAGTCTAATATTTAGCGTTAATCCATTGTTCCTGAGCCATGACAAAACTGCATTGAAGCCCATCTGTGCGAAAGCAAAGGCATCATTCCAAGTATCTCCGTGAAAGATTAAGGTACCATCGGCGAAAGTTACAATTTTGCTATTCTTTAGTTGCAAATTACACAGATCGTTAATATAGGCAAGAAAGAGTGAAGGGCCTAGCACATTGCCCTGTGGCACGCTGAAATCAATTAGCAGGTCCCCACTATTGATTTCACCAACCCTTACCCTTTGGTATCTTCCAGTCATATAGTTCGAGAGCAATTGATGTTGTTCAACGCGGGTACCCAATTTTTCTAGTTTATCCAACAAGAGGAGGGACTGTGTCGAAGGCTTTGGCTAGGTCTAAGAATATTGCAATCACCTTTTTTTTTTATCTAGATTGCAGACAATGTGATGAGTCAATTCATGGACAGCATCGCTTGTCGAAGTAGCTGCTCTGAAACCAAATTGATTTTTAGAAAAGAGGTTTTTAGTCTCCAGATAATCAACTAAACGTTTATTTATAAGTCTTTCTGCTAGTTTAGACAAAGTAGAGAACATAGAAATAGGTCTATAATTGTTGATATTGCCTCTGTCCCCTCTCTTATAGAAAGGAACCACTTCCGCAAGTTTTAGTTGGTTTCGAAAGACTCCAGTACTAAACATCAGGTTAAAGATGTATATTAAGGGGGGCACTAAAAGGTGTTGGTAACGTTTTAAGATTAATCCTGAAATACGATCTCTTCCAGTAGAGTTAACTTTCTTAAGGCCAAGTATATAATTGTGAACTTCATCTTCGGTGGTTGGTATTAGGGCAAATGAGAACGGACACCGATCAATGCGTGATGTATTAGGCAAGATAGGGGTAATTTTATCGGCTAGATTTTTACCAATCGACGTAAAGAATTTGTTTACATTATTAATTGAGGACACTGGATCACTAGGGGCTAACAAATCTGTTGCTGAACTAGATTTACTGTTGTAATGTGTAACTCTTGTTTATTGTGTCCCACAGCGTCTTACTATTGGTTTTAGCTGCTTTACTGAGTTGCTCCTTTTCATAGTCTCTTTTAATATTTTTTTATAGAAAGTTGCAATAGTTCCTGTACCTTAGATAAGTGATTTTAAAAGTTTCGTTATTAGGAAATGATAAATAAGTTTTTTTTGGTAGATTGTTTGAACGTAGATATCTGAAACTCAAAAACCAGAGCTCTTGAAAACTAGTGTTATTTTTGTATTAGATCATCATCACCATCATCAACAGCCTATTATAATCCACTGCTGAAAAGAGTATTTATTACGAAATAATCTAGTCTATAAAACATCATGCTATAACCCTTAAGTGTCGAGTAGTGACTATAAACCTAGTAACACTGCAGTAAATGGCTGGTATTCAGATAATAGAATACTACTTACAGCTGTCAACTGGTGCAACTCTGTATACATCTACATGTATACAGACTCGCACCAGTTGTCTAAGAAGCAATTTCAGAGCTTAGAAGTCAGAACCCAGGGACGGATAGATGTAAACCAATAACAAGGGCTCGAAACTTTTATCACCTTTTATTTGATGCTAACGGACCTGACAGAGTCAGTTCTAATCGTACATTCAGCGGGTGGAATAAAGGATTTTACTTTCTTTCACTTTGTCGTGTCATAATTGAATTCGACAAAAACAAAATAAAGATAATCAATAACAGTATAACACTTCGGGGAAAAAATAAAGTAAATGTTATAAAAATTGAAATGAAAATCCTAGAATCCGGCATCACCGGATCCAATTGCGGATTTAAACCATCCAGAGACAAGAACATATACAAAACTTGTCAAAAGCGGTCCATCAGCTATGAAGAGTTCTATGCAGTACAGAAGAAAAAAATAGATATTAAGATTGGTAAGAATGTACTTTTATACCATAAATTATTAGAATAATTGCAATTATAATGGCCAGGGCCGGATTTAAACTGAATGCGTTTCATTAAAATTAATCATACATCTCCTGATCTCCAGACTGTAGCTGGCAGCATGCGCTGTTTGAAGTTTATTTAATTTAAAAATATTAGGTTTTTCGTTTAAAATTAATTGGTGCAATCGATAAATTAACTCATTTTTTTTAAATTCATTGATTGATTAAAGATTATGTTTTAAAAAATGCAAAAAATAATTCTGATTTTCTTTATCAATGTAAAAAAAAATACTAATTAAATTTCTTTATTTCCAGAAAATATAAAAATCGATTATTATTTTAAATCTCCAAGAAAATATATTGATTAAATGATTTTGATTATAAATTTGTACTAAAAGTGCCAAAATTATAATTCACAAAAAATGGACAAATTGAATTTCTTGAATTATCAATTAAACAGAAAATTATTAATTAATAGAATTAATTAATTATATTGAGCAATCTTGATAAGACTAATTTTTTTTTTTTTTACTTTCAAGATTTTGCCGCCCTGTGAACTTGCCCAACTGCCCCTAGTGTAAATCCACCGCTGCCGGGTCTGATACATCTGTTACACCGATGCCATTATTAATGGCATTGATAATTTTCAAAAACTTTAGGAAGTTATGCTCTTTGGAAGATAATTTCATAATTTAGATTAGATGAGCAACCTTTGTCGGTGGCAAATAGTGTAGACTACAATACTTACCCACTCAAAAAGTTTTCCTTTTTTCCTTTATTTTTTCTTATTCTCCTCTTAACAAGTTAGACGGATACTCAACACTTAAGACTCCTCTTACAAAGGTGTGCAGGAAGTATAGCTTACGGACGCTTTATACCGAACCAACTAAGTACGAGTAAGACTTAACAGACGTGTTCTATTTTATTAGATTACTAGCGATTCGGTGCTATGTAGATACTACTAATGATACTAATGTACTGTCAGTGTGGAGCAATTAATTATACTTTTATTATTATTAGACTATACTACAGGACATCTTTATATGCAATATTTATCGGCCCGCTCCACTTGCCGGCCGCTGCCACCCGCGACCGACGTACGGTACGACTATATAATATAATACTGTATTGTTATATAATAATAATACTGTATTGTTTAAAACAGCTTCGTAAATTACCCATATTCTTTTGAAATATGTCGAAAGATAAAAATGGTTACTGTTACTGTCTTTTGCGGCATTTAACAGCTTATTATAATTCCTACCATTGGAACAGCTTCTACCCACTAGCTAGTCTTAATCAATCCACTGCGGGTAAGAAATTTGTTGTTGAAATAAAAAACATCGCTAACATGTAGGAAGACGTTTATCACCAACTTCTAAAAAGTGGGTGGTGCTCAGTTCAGTTGTTTGTATGTAGGTATTAGTCGATATTTCTCTAAGAGACCTCAGCTCCAATGATAGTCCGATTGTGACCAAGTCCGGATTTGATGATGATTTGTAAAAGCAAAGGACCCTTATAATTACGGGCACGTGTAGCGTGTTTGATAATTTAAAATTATACAAGATTAAGATTTAAAGTGCTGAATGGTATCATTATTAACCGACTTCAAATGGAAATCTTATTTTCAGGGTTCCGTTTCTCAAAAGGGAGCCTATATAGGATCACTTAATTGACTTGGATTTTACCAGGATCCCATCAAAATACCTTTTTTTTCCTGTGCAGAAATCCCCTATCACCCATCGGTGGGGTGACTATGTCGGACTCGAACCGACCAAAAACCGCACGCCGTCTCGGGTAGCAGTAGCCGGAGAACCAGGTGTACCCTAGAAGGGAAATCCCTGGTACTCCGACGTACCTCGGACCATCCCCATGTTCCCTTTGTACTCCCAAAAGGGGCGCGCCTCACCTGTCATCCCCAGGCCGGTGCTTATGGAGGACGGAGGTCGTTCTGCGACCATCCACACCGGGCAATCTGCCAAAGCGTGTGGAAGACCGTGTCCACGGTCCGCCTACCGCAATGGTGGCACTCAGGCTCAGGCTCTTTGAGGATCAGACACAGATGATCTCCGAAACAGCCTTTCCCCGTGATCACCTGCGTCAGCCGGTATGAGAAGGTTCCGTGACGCCTCTCGAGCCAATCCTCCATAACAGGTCTTACCGCCGCAATAAAGGCGTGCCCGGCGCTCGGTTCCCCAGGTCGTTCCTTCCACTCTACGAGTACCATCAACAGATCCTGACGCCGCCAACTTTGCCGTTAGGTACTCTTTTATAATTTATCAAGTCAAGGAGTGGATTATTAAATGATAATGTTGATGTCACATCACTATTATCATTGAATAATCGCATCACTGATGTGATTATGTCAACAATCAAAATTTTAAAAACCCCTAGGAAGTAGTTAGCAAAAGGTTAGGTAAATAAAAAAAAGTATTTATTGAATAGATGTTGATTTTTATATAATTTACATAACTATTTTATTTTTGAAGAAGAAGTTTGAGAGGACAATAAATATATTTTTTCATATGTATTAGAAGCTAACTTCAATTTAATATATTCTAAATTCTTCACAGTTAAGGTACAAATTTCGGTGTTTCTAGACGTAAAAAAATTATAATTTATTAACTTTTTTTTTTACTTCGTAATACATTGTCAGCAACCAGACTTGATTGAAGACAGGTACTCATTATATTTCTTCTCTTGTGCTTGTTGAAGTTTCTGCAATTTCTTTAACAAACCTTTGCTGAGTTCTTTACCTTCGTGGTCGTGTGTCGGTAGACCCTGAACACAAAACACAAAAATTCTTGTTAGTTATTGGCTCGGTCAAAATGTAACATGTTTACAAAATGACTGATGACCTTGAGTGATAAGCCACAGTTCGTGGGTTCGATTCCCACCCAAGACAAATAATTGTGTGATAAGCACGATCATTTGTGTTGTGTGTAGGTGTAATTTATATATGATATGTGTTTCGAAATATATGAGTATGTTTATCAGCAGTCTGGTTTTCATAGTACAGGCTCTGCCTTGTTTGGGATCAGAAAGCCGTGTGTGAGAGTTTTAAAGCTGTTATTATTCGTTAACGCAATGTCTGTTTCTATAAATTGTGTTCTGGCATATTCTTAAGATAAAATTTTCCTGTCCTTTCGAACAGATACTGCAAGATGGGTTTGTATCTAAGCGCTCATGCTAACACTTAAGACAAATCGAAAATACATTAATTGTTTAGCTAAACCTTTAAAACTCAAGCGCAAAAGTTCGCAGAATAAACGGAGTTGCGCAGTAACCCATGCAAAATGCTTATGCTATTGTAATTTGCATAGCATAGCCTCAAAGGTAGAGATTTTATCCGAATAACGTTATTATGCCGTGGAAGAACCATGCTTCAGCACAAATGAAATGAAATATTTATTGACATAAAAGTGTTACAAATAGTATAAATACGCCAGGTCTTAAACTAGTGTGAGCTGTATTATAGGACCCAGTGTCTTCACCTTGTTACATGTTTATATAGTTATGTCAACAAAAAAAACAGAAACCTAAGTGGTTTAATTACAAAAAAGAGCAAGCTAACTTCATTATTATTTACTATATCAAACAGACATTATGGGGTGTGTATTTGTGTCGTGTGTAAAATATAGTGTGCACGTGTGTGTGTGTATGTAGTGATTATGAGAGAGTGTTTTTATTGGTGTCCATCTTTGTGTGGTTGTAGGTGAAACAGTAGGTATATTTTAAATACGTCTATCGGAGATCATCTTTTCGATTTCATCATAGCAGTATTGTCTAAGCCAGGTAGATAGTTCCTTGTTTAATTTGGAAATTGAGTCTACTCTGATTATGGGAAGGGTGAACTTAAAAGGCAGCAATGCATTTGTGACTCTTGGGTCCAGGTGTTCATGCACGCCGGTAGTCACCATTAGGTGACCCGTCTACTTGTTTGCCCCCTACGCCATAAAAATATTAATTAGTAATATTAATTCAACAGTAAATTATTTGAAGCAAGTTACATACCTTATCATCAAACTTTGAATATTTGTCCGTCTCTCGTTTGAACATTTCTCCAGGCGGTATTTTCTTCTGTTCCTCCTTCGCGCGCTGCGCCTCAAGCAATTCTTGTTTTTTCCTCTGCTTCTCTGCCTCTAACCGTTGCTTCTCTTCTCTTTCTTTCATTATTTCTTCTTTACTTACTAACTTTACTACTGTACGATCTGAAATGTTACATAATTATTAAAACATTTACTGTAACTCCTCTAATTCAGATGATCATCTAGAGTAGTCAGATTTATATAATTTTATGTAAAGTATGTTACACACTCTCTTATTCGACTTACGCTTAAGAGGTTGTCTTTATATAATAACGGTACACTATAGGTACATCAAATTAAATGAATCCTGACTAAGGTGGTTTGGACATGTTACGAGTAGGCAAAGACCCGACAGTCACGTAGTAAAGAGGTATCCTTCCATGGCTGCAGCAAAGAGAGGAAGAGGCAGTATCCAAAAAGACATGAAGGAGCTGGGGCTGTCTCGAAGTATTTGGCGCCTCAATTTAAGAAAAGCCGACCTCGCGTAACGGGAAGAGGAAGACAAAGAAGAAGAGTGTACATAAAGTAACAAAAGTCGTCTACTATATTTACACCATGACTCTTGAACGAGCAAAGGTATATGATGGACTCGGGCTTTTCGATGCAACTTAACTGGAGTTAACTAATGTTAAGCACACTTTATAAAGTATGTCTGTTGATGTGTAAATCTCTCCTCTTATTTTCTCTTCAATATATGGCAGTGAGTTCAAAAAGGAGAAACAGGATGTTACACATCAAAAGCTTTGCTTGCTACACGCTCGTTTTTTATATTGTTTTCTCAATTCCTTAATGTAAGAACCCGTTTAATGTACTGTGCAATGTACATAATTATAATTTTTCTATTGCGGCTTGTAAACCATTACAATCATAACACCTTACACCTGTACTCCCAGTATGCTCGGTCACGATTATTAAACATTGCAAATGGCGCAATAGTGAAAGCGGTTGCCACGTTATTACTCCGCGGTGAGTGTCGGAGCTACGATTGTTGTAGGTTATTAATTTAATAAATACATATATTTTGCCCGAGTTGGGTTATATTCGTTGCTTATATATATGGGAATTACTTTGCGATACACGACTCAATGAAAAGAAAAGAATTGGATGTATGAATACAACGCATAAGAAGAAAAGCGTGGTTTAGCACGCTCACCAGGTGATCGGTGCGGTGAGAAAGTGAGGCTACCCACCAGGTTTGTCCTCGAGGCGCACGCCCAGCTCGGGCAGGTCGTGGTCGCGCAGCGCGTCGCAGAGCGCCAGCACGGCGCCGGCGCGGGCCTCGCGCGCCGCCTCGCGCACGCGCGCGCGGAACGAGCTCAGCGCCTCCAGGTACGGCATCACCGTCTCCTCCACCTACCAAGCCGATACCTTCAGTTTTTAAATCATTTTAACAATCAAGCAACAGGATTCCGCCTGACGTATATCGCTATAAAAGAACCTCTGCCGACCCGGTGATAGGCAACCGGGTTGAACTGGTTAAATAATATGTCACCCGCCTTCACAAACCGACCGAAGGGTGGATTTTCCTAAGAGAATTAAAAAATTAGTACTCGCAATGGGTCAATAAACCGTTTTGTCCCTGATATACGAGTAGGTACACACATATGTTTAACGACTAAAACTTCTAGTGATTCTAGTCTCCTCAACTTCGATGTAAACCTTTATTATATACAGACGTGGTACCGACAATTGCTACACGCTATAAAAAACAAGAGATAGACAGACCAATTGATGTTATACTTATTGATTCAGAATCAAAATGGATGATTTTCGTATAAGTACTTACAGAAACGTCACTAGCGTCTCCCACAGGGAAGCCGATGCCTCCGCGCGGTCCTTCCACGGCTCCAAACACGTGCAGAATGTCCGTCACGTAGCGAGCGGCAGCCGCCAACAGTGGCGCATTCCTCGGTTTGGTCTGCCGCAGGTATATGTGCGATGCACCTACGAGCTCACGTAGAGCGTCCAGTGCGCCCCGGGTGTCTATGTTATCTGAAAGATTTACCTTTGACCTTCTATTATTCTATATTAAAGTTATAAGTACGAAGGAAACTGTCTGTTAATTTGCCAAACTCAATGAATCTCGGTATGGACAAGCCGACCAAAGTCAAATTTTTTGCGCGAAAATAAAACTTGAAGACGGTGAAATGTAACCATTTGTGTGGAAAGTAACCATTTCTCAAAGTACAAAAAAGTGTATAGTTCTATACTTTTAGTGAGAGATATATAATGTTTGTCTAAAAAGAAAAAACAGCGTTAATTTAACGTAAACGAAATCGCGTTCATGTTAGTTAGTCACCTGCAATTTAGTCAAGAGTGCAGTCAAGGTCTTAAAGACTGATTGTAAAAATAGCTACTTAATTCGCAGTAAAAAATCCTTAAATTTCTTCAAATAACAATTTTATATTATGGTTTTATGAGGAAGCTTTTTTTTATTTTTGAAAGGTTTACTAGCAATCAAAATTAGTGGGTTCACGTCGGTAATGTATTGGTCAGGATTCGAACCCAAAACCTCTTGAGTTATGTAAATTGATAAGGAGCGCAACGAAACTGTTCAGATCTCGAGAGATACTGAACCCGAAAAGAAAGCTGTGATTTGGGAAACTTTGGTACGGTTTGTGTCCGCTTAACTGTATTCACTGTTTCTAGGGTTGGTTAAAAAAAGTTTTCAGCCTTATGCTACTCATAATAGGGAATATGCATGTATTTTTTTTTTAACGATTCTACTAGTTATTACATTACCAAAAATAAATATAACACATCCGAAATATAAACCGTTAAGCAAAAAAAATTTATTAAAATCACTATCATTTTGGGGCAATTTGAACACGTCCATTTTGGCGCGCTTTTTTGTGACGTCAGATTACACTTTCAGACGAATTCGATGTCAACAACGGAGTGAAGTTCACAAAGTTTCTGAAAGTAAAAAAGTGAGTGATAAAAATTAACTTATTACCATGGAAAGCCAATAAAAGCTTATTATAAATATTGTGCCGTTCCTTTGTGCCCAAATAATATCAAAACTGCACCTGACAAAGTATATTCAGCCATTGTGTTGAGTCTTTCTACACGGGAATTTAATAATTTAACACTGAAAACGTATTAGTTATTCACTTAAAATGAAACAAATAATCACCAGAAACCAAATATTACAAATACACACAACTTGTTGACACTCTTGACAGTGTAGGTTGACGTCACGTTTTATTCAACCAATAGCGTTGCGTTTTAGAAACTTGCGAGGGAATCTTAAAAAAGCCAATTTTTGATGATTAAATTTCACTATTAAATTATAATAAATTTCAAAAATAATTGTATGGGTATCTTTTTTTAGCAATAAAAATTACAAATAAAAATGTTTTGTCCATTTTGGTGTTACGTGCATATTCCCTATTGATTCGATTATTTATATTCAGAAAGATATATGAAAATAGGCTTCCTTTTCGCACATCATGTGTTATTTACCGCAAAGTGCAGCGTGTACTTGTTCCTTCGCTGCGCTGAGTTTTGCCGACATCTGCTGTTCTTCAGGGCCCCACTCACCGCCGCAACCCTCATTGTATCCGCTGCGTAATGCATCTTTCACCGTCAGGAAGAACTCCTGCAATGAGCACATTAATATTACACACCGAGTAGTTCACATACATACACACTTGAACATTCTATCGTAAGTAATAACGACGTTTGAAAATAAAAAGCAGTTTTTGATTTCGTTAATGAAATACCTTACAACCCGCATTTAGGAATTCTATGAGTACTACAAAAGTAAGACTGGTGTCTTAGAACTATCCGCCAGCTTAAGATTATAAGCATTTCTGGATAGAATTATTAAATAAAAATACTTTTCTGCGATAAATACATACCTACATACGTTGTCGGCATTATACTTGAAGGGGTAGACAGACACGTATAAAATGCTCACATTTAATATAGGCCTATTGCTGTTAATCAGGCACTTGGGAGTTCAATATGAAAGGAAAAGCAGTTAAGAAAAGAAGGCGATAATCAACATCGGGCTGTATAATTAAATACAATCATGAACGACATCATTAATGTTGCATGAATAATGGATTTTTAAGAAAATAGAATTACTGTTACTAATAAAGAAAAGGAGAAGGTCGGTTCTTCGGATTCCTTGTCCTTATTGGAATCGAGTTGTGACCATTATCATCAGGTTAGGATGATAATATTTATCATGATGCAAATATCAATTCTTAATACTACGAGCGAATAATAAACAAGCTTGATTATTAGCATTATTATTTTTCTTACATTAAACAACTTTTCTGTCTGTATCGCCATATCCATAGTGTTATCAGAGTAGTCCAGTGTTTCCTTCCACCCGTGCATCAGGAATCCAATACGCAGCTGTCTTGCGGTGTGACGACGTAATGCCTCTGATATCGTGACAAAATTCTTTAAGCTCTTAGACATCTTGCATCCTGCGATGGTCAAATGACCTGTGTGGAGAAAGTAGTTTACCCATCCAGGTTCATTGAAGTGTGCCTGCAAAAGGAATTATATGTATTTAAGTTTAGTACCTTACTACTACCCTACCGCTCACATTGTTTATTGACTTAAAAAAAGATTATTCAATCCAAAAGGAAAAGACATTCGGTATCAATATTAAGATTTCGAATATTATTTGTAAACAATTGAAAAGAGCAGTGATAGCGTAATGTTTAAGGCTCGTGCAGCGTGCTTACGTCGACTTCGGTCGCACCGACTCGATAGAACGTATTAAACCAATCGGCTCAGTGCAGCGTGGTCGCGAGACTTGTAGCGACCAGTCGGATGAGGTGCATCGCGACTGCGCAGCGCAAGTTTTTTGTTATCTATTTAATTATATTAATGGATGCAGGAGACTTGATATATGCAGTTCGTAATCGCCCGTAAATCTTGGCCTGGCTGCGTGCAGGTGCCAACGATGATTTCAGTGCACCGACTTCCAGCTACGAAAAACAGTACAGCGTGCGGTCGACTAGCGATGAGCGACTACTTGCGACTGATCGATGGCAATTCATAATTTAGTTACCTATTTGGGGTTAGTTTGAGCATACTTATTGTTTGGTTTCGTGAAGAAGAGTATCAGAAATAGTATCAGAACTTTTATTGTTGAAATATTCTGTTTCACGGATTCGTGCCATTAAAAGGTTGAGTCATTCATCATTCCGGACAGATTAAGAATACACAGTGTCACTGCCCCTAGTCATCCCGTGGGTGTCGTAAGAGCCACGAAGGATAACAGCACTGCAAAGAGAAGGAAAACTTGAAACAAACCTTATACCAACCCGTCTGGCAAGCGTGGTATAGTAGGCCAAGACTCCTTTTTATGGAGATACCTATGTCCAGCAGTGGACTAGTAAAGGCTGTTGATGAGAAGGTTGAGAAGAAATGGAAGATTTACGGGCGGGCACGAAGTACATCTATTAAGTCGTCTGCATCCATTTTTATAATAAAATGAATAACAAAAAGTTGTGTTACGCAGTCGCGACCTACCTCTTGCGACTGGTGGTTAGTTCTATACGTTCTATCAAGTCGCCGCGAGTCGGCATCGCTTGCACGCTGTACGAGCCCTTAGGCATCGGATTTGCGATTAAGTGGTTGAAATCGAACCCCAACCAGTGCACCACCGACGTGAACATACTCCACATAAGTATTTGGGAATTTTTTTGGAGGTCAAAGGTCAGCATACGGCCAGCCAGTGTATACAGGCGATATGCAAAGGGTAGATATATAAATGGGCTGTAAACTTACTTCACTCTGTGCCAGTTCATTATCGTGATGGGGAAACTTAAGATCAACTCCACCAGTATGTATGTCTAACTTGCTGCCAAACACATCGGATGCCATGGCAGAACACTCGATATGCCAGCCGGGCCGGCCAGCTCCCCACGGGGAATCCCACGATGGTTCACCAGTCTTACTGCGTTTCCATAAGGCGAAGTCGTTTGCTGAACGTTTTTCGCTTGTATCGTCAGAGAGATCACCTATGTAAGAAAATGTTGTTATAGTGTGCAGTAAATTTATTGTGCAGTAAAGTATAATAAAACTTAAATATTGTACATATATATTGTACAGAGCTACAAATAGGTTTATTTTCAGTTACCAGTTACATCAGAAAACAAAACAATAGTGTCACATCACTTATTTAAAAAATAAATTATATTGCATCTAAGCTGATGGCTAACTTTGGCTTATTCCCAATGGCAACCACTGGAAGTTGGGCACAAATGTAATAAATAATACCTTATTTCTAACACTACAACTAAAACTGATACCACTGTGTGGTGGCAGTTACACAAAGTTTTAGATATTGTCCCAACAAAGGCCCCCATAGTTGTTGTAAATAAAACAATCTTTTAATTCAGTATGTATATATTAAAAGATGAAAGATTGCTGGTAGGAGCACGGTGCGAGAATCAATCTAAGTGATGTGCAATGTGGTGGACTGCAATAAATTAATGATGAGGATACAAATACCAAACTTTTGCATGGTTAAAATGCAATTTTTTTAAAAACCAACATGAGCTGTAGGTATTTATTCTACTATCAGTAGTCTTATTGCTACATCAATTAATAAGTAATGAAATGCAATAATAACTTTACCTTCACCCTCTTGTAATGATTTTGTATCTCCATAAGCTTCAGGCACCAATCTAGCATAATAATGCTTATCTTTGCTGTCAAATTCACTGACACTGAAGTACACTGAGCCATTTGACTCATATGCAAGACCATTGTCTATAATCTTCTCTATGAACTTAATAATCTGTTTCACATATTCACTTACTCTTGTAAGCACATCGGGGGGCATAACCTGTCATAAGAAACAATATTAAAAATTATCTGAATCAACAACAAAGGGGGCCTCATAACTAAGCGGTAACCGAATAGATTAGCACATTGCAAAGTTAAGCAATCCTAGCCAGGTTAGCCTATCAATAGATCATTCTTAACAGATTGAGACACAGTTACAGGTAGCTGGAGCCTGGAACACTAAATAGCCCAATAACAGTCTATAGATACTATACAATAATATATCTAGGTATAGAACTTCAATATTGTTATGGAGGTCTGATAGCAGTCACTTAAAAATAAGAAATTGAAGTTACATGGTTAGTGTTAAAGTAAACCGAAATCTGACCCTAACCTACTTTGGGAAAAGGCATGGAGGATGACATGAATCATCAACTATTTTAATAGAATATATTGCTATTAAGATTCAAATATGAAATAAAGGAAAATTAAAACATGCTTACATTAAGGGCTTTCATATCTTTATGGAACTCATTTTCCCAATACCTGGGCAGTGCGGTGAATATGGCATTATCAGTGACAGTTGCACCTAGTTTGCTATCTAGCCACTCTGATATTGGACCCTTTGCTGATTGTATTAGGTCATTTTTTGCTTTTTCTATCTTCTCTGCATCATCTAGCTCAACTGCTAATTTTGTTGTCTTAACTGCTGCAGCAATACTACAAATTATCCAATTTCATATAAGCGTATTAAGCTGCCATTTAAATTTTATTTAAATATTCATTCATTAGGGTTGACCACAATTTTAATTAAAATGTAAAAAGGAAACAAAACTTAACTATTTTAAAATTCAGTTTTTATTTTTTGTGCACCCCTGTATTATGGGAGTGACTGACCAATTAAATCTTTTATGTGACCATTTTGCGTGAGTTGTTGACTTCTAAATTACTGCTGCTTAGTAAACATTTTGCTAATCAAATAATAGCTTACCAGTCTAATGTTTTTTGCATAGCATTCTTTTTATCTGGGTCAGCTGTGTCTTTTAATACACCTTCATAATAATTCACAACTGTTGTTGCATCATCAATGATATCATTCAGACTTTTCTTTTCATTTATGTATTTCTCAAATAAATGATGTTGTCTTGCCCTTTTTATAATTTTGTCATCAATATCTGTGATGTTCATGACGTACAGAATATCATAGCCAAAGTAGTTAGACATTATCCGTCTCAATATATCAAATGATATGTATGATCTGAAAAAAATTACAGGAAAGATTTATAATAGGTATATCATTATGGTTTAAAATAATAGGAAAAAAGTTTTTTTAATGATTGAAGGATTAACAGGTAGGTATCACAACATAACCTACGATTTATAATGTAAAACTTTACCTAGCATGTCCCATGTGGGAAGCATCATAAACGGTCGGGCCACAACTATACCATTTGATGCGATTACCATTTGCACACACAAATTCTTCCTTTTGTCGAGTCAAACTGTTATAAAGTTTTAGAGCAGGTCTGTGCAATTCTTTAGCCGGTGGGGACCACTTAGGCTGAGTTCTTCTCGACATTTTCGAACACTTTCTAAAGATTCCACTCACTTAATAAAATTTATAAAAAGCAGTTTAATAACTGACGCTTAATATACAATATCACCTCTATTTAAATATTAAGTTATTTTTTAAATAAGTTACTCTAAAGCCACGTATCGTTTAATGACTAACATACGGTAACAAGTAACAACATAGGTATTAACTTGAGTAATGACAACTTTGACAACTATTACAAAAATAAAAATAAGAACTGAAGTGATGTGTACTTAACGTATTAAAACATTACGTTGAGATGTTGAGACGATTGTATCAACTTTGCTTTAAAACAGGCTTTCTAAATGTACCGAACAGCTTTAATAATGTGCATTAAATCAAACACGGTTTTGCAAGTATATATGTACTCTAATATTATGTATATATTAAAAAAGTTAGTGATTAATGATTTTGTACTAGCTACTATTATTGAGATTTTTTTTCAACTCCATTAATTCGATATTTTATAATATAAATCATATTGACTGTACAGCAAATGTCTAACAAAAATCCGGGGGCTCAATGACCCCTCACGCCGTTTTTGGTTTAATTTAATTTCATAAGATAGTTCCACTGTTCTATGATTAGGTCTCCAATACTGATGGTGTTTTTAGACGAAGGGTTTCAATTAAAAAATAATTTTATTTATTTCTATACAATTAAATGAAATATAGAAAAAAATGATAATCAACCATTTATGCTAAGATTTATGACTGTATCTCGTTGTAATTAACCAAAATATAAACTTTTTCTTTTAGTTCATCCTAAATACATCTTAGTCGATTACTCGCTCATCAGCCACTGCTTTGTAAATCATTCACTATTGACTAAAGAAGATAATTGAAATGAGTGTCAAAAATACTTTGTTTCGCTTCCTCTTAGGCCAAAGTATATGTGTCAGTATTTCGACAAAAAGGGACAAATATATAATTTTTATTTCATAATTACAGCCCGTGAATTCGTTCGCCCGGCTGAGTATGTGTGTGTACTGTAGAGAATAAAAATAACTATCATATCTATATGTATTTCTACGCGTTTATCTAAAAGTTGCGACTACTGTACTCGTATTTTACCAATTCTTTGTGTCTTTTATATTGTTTTTTTCGAAGCATACCATCTTATCAAATATCATGGCTCTCTGTGTTTGTAAATGTCTTAATGTAACGCTCGAAGGTGATATACTAGAAGATAATATCGATATTGAGAAATTGAAGTTAACATCTACGGAACAAAGGGATATTTTTTTTAGTGAGGTACCTACCGTCAGTAAACATCTTTTGGCCTTGACTTATAGGAATAGGTTTTCATGATTGAAAATAAATGAAATATGAATGAAACCTAGTCCATCACACAGCGGATACACCCGATTTGATATAAATATATGTTATTCATAAATTTACAAGTACATGTGCGATCGGCACTGCTCCGACTTGTTTATGTTCGTTGAGCCAAAAAATATATTTTTTCTATTGCTTTATTTAAGAATCATAACTGGTGTTCGTGTTACTTAATAATGATATTTTTTAATATAGAAAAGAACAGTTATTAAACGTTAAACTATTTTCAATTTCAGAAATTGCTGTCAAGTCCTATAGACAGTTTAAAAACACAAATAGCGCAGCCGGCACTGGTGGACCGGCGGTCAGTAGATAGATGGGTCGTCCACTCTTGCCTGGCGTGTGGACAACCAATGCATGCGATATCACATGACAAAAATGGACCTTATGCATTGCTTCTATGCAAAGTAAATCAGGTCAGTGTTTAGTGTACAATTACAATTAGTCAGCTCGAACATTTCATTGATTATCATAAAGTCAGTAGCATGCCTATGGTTTGAGACTAAAAGACAGTCTAGACAAAGTTGCCATTCTTGTTTTTAAAGTCGAGGTGTGTTTTTAACAAAGGGAATTTGTACTGTCACTATGTGACATAGACATATATATTGTAGGGTGTGTATTTTATGAAGACTATATTTTTACAGTACATACATAGGCCCATATACTCAATCATTTATTGTGTTCCATAATGTACACAAATGGTTTTAAATATATCAAAATACAGAACCGTTATGGACCTTGTTGGGCACAGCAAATGGTAACAGGTATATCGTCCCTTAGCTTACAACACCGCTTAAGTCATTTTTACCAACTTTACAGGAGACGAAAAAAACTGTCTATTTAAAAAAATCGGTGGAATTTTTCTGTTGTTCCTTAATAAATACTCTAGTTAGCGGCTAAGAAATAATTATTTATAATTATTTTGATGATATACTTTATTTTAACTTTTATTTTATGACTTGAGCTGTATTGACTGATATTTTATTAGATTTAGGCGGTGTTGTTTGCGGAAATGTTAGGGAATAAGGTATTAATAGATGATTTACAAAGAAAAGTTTTTATTAAGAAATATTTCAAGAATAATTAACAATCGTTATAATATAGGTATCTATACTTAAGTCTTAAGAATCACATTGTTGAGATCAATTGCTTAGAGTTATTTGGTGACACACAAACCTTTAGAGCGTAAGTGCAATTTTTTATTTTTATTTCAATAGGTTAATATTTTAAACATAGTCTTTAATAAACTCCAATGAAACAAGATATGATAGTAATAAAATTATAAAAATGAAAAATAATACTCGAAATCTCTAGTCTAATAGTTAGTTGCAGTCTTTAGCGATTACTGTGCGGAAGGTCATCATAAAAAGACTGGCAACTAGATGGTAATACACGTTTTAGGTCTTGCAAATCTTCATACTTCCGCTTTGTAATTGGTATTCTAGCTGCATACAATTTCGGCAGGTGATTCATTTGTTTAATTCTGTTAATAGGCGTGGGACGATATGGTAACGGCTGAAGCTCGTCATCAAAACCAACTTTATACCAAATTGTGCCATTAGGTCTGTATTCTAGCATACGTACATCTGTGACGACTGGGTCACCTGTCTTTTTACCAGGCCGTATAGATTTATAAATTAATTCTTTCGAAAAGTCGGTAAAAAAGGTATAGTCCAAGTAACGAGCTTCATAAGGCATAGGATCACTTCTAGCTGTTTTAGTTATAGCCATGTATTGTTGTGGAAGGTAAATTTCTTTACCTTTTAATTTACACTCTATTGCACTGTGTACGGAATCACATTCCATTTGGGTATGGCCTTTTTCCAGGTACTTTTGAGTAATCACAATATTTTTTTCAAACGCTAAACGTAATAAAGCATTGCTTAAGGTAACATTGCGATTTTGAGCACAACAGCCATCGGAATATAAAATCACAGGCAATAATTTCTGACTCAAAATCTTCTCTAGATGGTCTAATAAGCATGAAGCAAAAACAGAGGCTTCAAGCGTGCTATTTGACTCATCGAACCAATAACACATTACTTCCTTAGTTGCTAAATTGTATAATGTAAAATTATGGACGCATAATTTAGTTTTATAATAAATAGCACTGGCTTGAAGATACGGGGCCAATTTTACCGATTCAACATCCTGTGTGAATACGTGACAAGCTCCGGACTGTGCAATACCTTTGTCAGTATCTTTCTCTTTCCTGGCTCGATCTTTCTTCAAAACATGATGAGCGTATTCTTCATCCGTAATGTTTCCAGTTTTATGACTGCAACAAACGTCACACTGATCTTTCTTGGGGTGGAATAGGCTCAGATTGAATTTCAAAAATAATTTGTCAAATAATTTACGGCCAAGGCATTCTCTACCCTCTAACTCACAATTATCTTTATATGTGCGATAGAGCTGTGTCATGTTCGAAAAAATTGGTTCTAAATATTCTCGTGATGTTTTAGCACGACAGTAATGCGACGGCATCTTAGGAAGACCTGTTAAAAACTTTTCAACATATTTTTGGTCTTCAATTTTCTTTGGATTTCTGCGATTACTGGTTGAAGTAGGCAAATCGGGAGGCATGGCACAGTCTGTTTTTGTCAGCCAATATCTGACAAACCAATCTTTAATGCCAAGAGTGGCTAAGAACATTTTTTTACAGACTTGGTGACGTACATTATCAATCGTTAAAACGTAGGTTCGACTATTAATTCTTTTGGATGATTCTGGATTTTTGGTAATTTTCTTTGGTACTTTATTAACGTGAGAAGTTATAAATGATCTTCGTTGCTCCCAGTTCATGTTCTTCCAGAAATTTTCAAACAAATATTGCCGCTGTTGTTCGTTTATGTTGTCACATGATCTGAGTTTCGATTTCTTGCAAAACGCAGAAGTGCACGGTGGTTCCATGGATCTTGCAGGCTTAAATACGTCTTGTTTCACTTTAAATTTCGCATTATCCTTTGCTTCTATGTCTCTTCTGTAACCTAAATAATTTTCGCCTTTCATCCGTAATTCTTTATTAACATTGCGTTTATATTTCTTTGGATCTTTTGTCGCCTTGTTCTGTCGTTTTTTATGACTTAACAAATCACCGTGATATGGAACATTACTGAGTATGACCACTTCTGAAGAACACGATGGAGTAGCAGAAGCACTGGATTGTGTAGTGTTCTGGGTTATATTATTTTTATCTGTACACTGAGTATTGTTTTCATTATCAATGACTGTATCAGAAATTGTGTCTTGAGTATTAGTAGATACGAGAATATCTTGGTTTGAAGTAGGGGAAGATTCGTAATGATTTAATTGTATAGAATTTATATTAGCGACAATATTTCCTAGTTCTTGCACAACGTTCTCATTTTCTACAGTGATATTGGCAACATTCAATACAGAAGGCTGAGGATACTCGATGGCCACCGTAGCGAATTCGGGTGGTTCCTGTTGCAGATCAAAGACGTCATTACTTGAATACTTGAATACATTGAAAACATTGACATTAACAATCTACAACTTATAGAAATAGTTATTTCTATAAGTTGTAGATTGTTAATGTCAATGTTTTCAATATCCAAGTCTATATTTTGATCAAATATTTTTTTTACATTGTCCTGGCTACTTATAATACTTTTCATTGACTCCCCGAAGTTTTGTTCGTTTATTGGTATTGCAATATTTTCGTATTTATTAGGTGAATTGCATGTTTTGATATCAGAAGAACTAGTGGTATCTTCTTGATTCAAATCTAAAAAAAATAAAAGGAATTATTGCATTCAAAACATAAATAACAAAAAAATAAATGCGGACCTCAAAACAAACCTATGCTACTAACCTAGTTTAATTCTTTTTTTATGTTCTTTGCAACTTTGTTTACGCCGTCTGTGTTTTGACATCAGCCCTGCTTCTTGTAATTGTGCACATAACAATTCATCATCTGAATTCGGATCACTCCAGGAATTAATTTCTTCTCCATCCATAGTGTATTTCAATTATTGAGCTTCCTAAAAGAAATAAAATACATTTTGAAACACCGCCTAAGTTAAAAAAAAAAGTTAGTAAACACCGCTTAAGTAAATGAAGATATTCTATTATCATTTCTTTCAATATTAATACGCGTAAATCAATAAACATTACTTCATTACATAGCTTACCTCTTAATCTTTTATTAAAACTTCTTGCATAGACCTTTCAGCGATAAAACTCACATAAAAATATAATAATCACAGAGCGCGAAATACTTTTACAAGAAACGTATGACAGACTAAAGACTTGTGCGGTGTTGAGAGGCTAACCGACTTGCGCGCTGTCACTACTTTTTGAATTACGGCTTCTCATTGGCTGAAATTTATGTAATGTGACCAATGGTTAGATGCGTAATGAGCAGCTCTATCTAAAGGCATTCAAATGTGAAAACCGCCAATTTTCGACTTAAGCGGTGTTGTAAGCTAAGGGACGATATTAAAGGCACACAATACAACAATATAAGACACTCCAGGAAATAAAAGTTATTGATATGTAGGTATCATGAAATTTTATGGTACGTTTACATTAAAAGGGTAATAATCATCATATTGCTAATTAAGGTTTTTTGTTAATTTATAGTACTTCAGTTTTTCTATTTGCTTGTTTTTATTGTCTGTTATTCTCTTATATAATGTGGACATCTTAACATTTGCAACAATATTAAACAGTTGTGTGCTGTGCATTGTTATTTCTGGACCTGAGTAAAAAAATTATAATTGAAAAAGGTAATAAAGCATTACTTGAAATGTACTATCCATAGCTACCACCTCTAGATTGATAGTAGATATTTTTATGTTACTAAAAAAGTTAGTATGATGCTAACTAAAATATTATTCACTTCTTTCATTTTTAGCTAGGAGTATATTTGAATCAATTGCTTGATGTTGCAAATCAGTGATCCTTGTCATGATATATTATCTAATTCATCATATATCTCTTAAATAGCTCTTCATATTTCTTATTAATGGACCTCTTGTTTTTATGTCAGTCTTGATACATATTATAATATGTTTATTTATTAATCTTATCACTGACTGATAACAGTTTCACTGATTTAAAGATTATCTATTTATATTTCAGACAACACAAGAGCGGATTAATAACTTGAAAAAGTCAAACACTTATTCACCAGTATTTAACTTATTAGTGCCAGAAGTAACAAATGAATTTGCTATGAAAGAGAATGTGGATATTAATAACTTCAAATACAATGAAAAGAATGTGTGGCTACCCACTCAGCAGGTGATCACCACATTAAGCAAACAGCTTCAGCAAACCTTAGCTTCTCAGTTGGAGGCTGTTGAAGAGGTTGTCACACAGTTCAGGGAACAGAAGTATGCTGAATTTGAAGCTTACCGAGAAAGGGCACATAGAGATCATAAAATTCTAGCTAGGTATGGAGCATCCATTTAAAAGAACCGTTAATTTTTATTTTGATGAGAATTATTAGATAACCTTAAACCCTCTAATTAAGACTTAATATCCTGACCTTCTCATTACCAGAACATTATATATAGCAGTATATTTTTAGTAAAAACATGACTCACAAAATGTAGCTGGGCCAAATGTGTCTTACATACACATATACAATTTTACAACCATTTTCAAAGGAAAATGTTCTGTTTTAGTATAATAAATAAAGCATGCAGTACTGCTGAGCGTGAGAACTTGCGGGTTGACACCACACTGGATAATGGTCCACCTTCACCACAGCATCCTCCTGTACTCAGAAGAAGACTCTCCTCCTTCAAAGATGCCAAAAAACTACCACAAAATACTATTAAGGTTAGAAAACGATATGTATTTTTAGGTAATAAAGTAAAGAAGAAAAAATACATACATGCTATATAAATAAAACAATGTATAAAATTATCTGTGTGGTGACTTTCCCTGTGGTGATGGATTAAAAATACAGAGTGTCACCACCTCTATTCACCCATGGGTGTAGTTAGAGCCGACTGAGGCTGAAAACAGCACTGCAAATAAAAGGAAATCTTAAAACAAACCCTATACCACCCTGTCTGGCCAGGATGGTATAGGTCAAAACTTCCTTTCTAAGAAGAGGCCTTAGTCCAGACTATTAAAGACTGTTGATGATGATGATGAAAGTAATTCAGTCTGTCAATATGTATGTTAGGGTTTTATGCCTAAACCACTGAGGTAATGTTGTTGATTTGGTAAAGATCTTAGAGGATGTACTCTTTCTGTGGTACAAAAATACTGTGCAAAAAGAGTTACTCACTCCAACTGGTATGTTTACAAATACACGACGTACCTACGTTTTGTCCGTTTAAAATCTAAGATGTATAAAGAATGATAAAGAATTTTCAAGTCAGTAAAAATATCTCGTTTATTTGTACATATTAAGCCTCAAATCTCAAGGGATTGCAAATACTTTGCTAATGTAGCTTAGAATAAAGAGAACTATATTTAGATTGTATAGTAAAAGTGTTGATAAACATGTGTCACAATATAATTAAAATAACCTACATATTTGAAGCTGAATAAATATGTCAAAAAGATAGACAAACAACAATTTACTGCATTTTTACTCTGTTCAACAGACTTTTTTTTTTTAAATTCATATACACATGATGTATTTTATTACAAAAAATAACACTTAAACTGGGGGGCTTATTTAGGTCTTCAAAATTATAAACAGAAGTTTTTTTTATATTTGCAATACAATTATCATGTCTGTTAAAATATTTACCTTGCAAAAAATTACTATGATATATTTACTCGTAAATGCTTAAGTGTTTAGCACACAATTTACATTAAAAACAAATTCAATTAAAAAAAATATTAAAATTGTTCTATTATAAATGTATGTGTAAATGTAAAATGGTGTACTTGTAAATACGAGTAGATAAAAATTTTGAATGTGGAACTGGATACTATCATATCCTCTTTAAAGTTGATTGGAAAATGCTCATTCATGCCTGAGTATCCCCACTACTTCCTGCTCTCCTAGCCTTGTTATGGATATCGTCCTCCTCCCATAGGTCTAAAGGAAGGAATATGTACATTGCCTTATTTTGAAACTGGTGAGGAAGAAGCATACAAATTTGGGCAAGTTCTTATTGTCTACATCTATCTTACAACTGCACGGATGGCGTAGTGGTTTAAGTTGCTTCCACGCCGCTCCTTACTGCGCTGAGTGTTGTGGGTTAAATCCACACATGGAACAAGACTTTGTGTGATCCACAAATTGTTGTTTTGAGTCTGGGTGTTCTTTCTATCCGTTTCATGTATGTTTATAAAGTCGCGACACAGGATATACTCTTAATACGGGAGTTGTCCAATGAAAAACAAAAAAATGCTTGCTTAAAATAATAAATAGTAATACATGTAACATAATAATACATCAAATATTTTTCATAAAGTTTTGTTGTTTTCGTTTTTAGCCTAAAAGACACATGCCATCAGAAGAAGATTCGTTGGATCCTGAAGATTTGTTTGACATAGAAGGCACCGACTCTCACCACAATATGCTTTCTGACCAAGACGATTACGACTCTGACCGTATGTACCTATTTCGCGCATATTAACATGTATGTAAACTTCATATACTTTATACTGCAACTCAAGTGGAAAGTTTCTAAATAAGTCTTAATATCTTAAATTAGCTTTCCTAGCGATTTTAAACAAACCTATTCCATAACATTAATGATTGGACACAGGCTAAAAACAAAACACCTGGCAAGAAGGGAATAGGTGAAAAATCTTTGAAAATAGTTCTGGTTTGAATTAAAAGCACCTTATTTTTAAAACAATACCAAACCAAATGTGATTCTTATAAGTTAAACCATTCAATTTCAGTGGAAGGCAGCAATGATGAAGGTATTCACATAACTCGTCCCCGCGGCGGTGGTGTCGAAGCCATCGCGCGTTCTCTTCCTATGAATATGCCAAAGTTCCCTAATGAACGCTCTACGCACAGAGAATATGATGATGACGTAAGTAAGACACACCTACACACACGCACCCACTCACACATTGAGAATAGATTATTTTTTAAATATTAATAACAGATTTGCCCAATAAGTTTTTGAAGAAAAAACTTCTTAGGCGCATTGGGCATTTTGAACAATAAACAAATGAATGTTTTTAATGAGATGGGAAAAAACCATTGGCCTCGCGACACTCACCGTTACCGACACCTCTGTATATCTAAGTACATCTATATATAAGTATCTACATATATATAGATACAAACGGGCCACCGTTTACACGTGAGTTGAGTTTGGGTTGAAATACATTAATAATATAACTATATATAATTTAAACATATATTTTGTGACTTTAAATTTGCAATCCATATTAACACAGAAGAATCTTTAGTAAATTTTATGAGATTTTAGTTTAGTATCACATGGTACAAAAATATTGAGTAATTAGCATCACAAAGATGTCTCCAGAACTCGCAGTTTGTAGACACACTGCAATCGGTAGGCGCGCAGGTGTCAATGACCTCTCCATCGGTATCGCATATATTATTTCGCTACATTTCATTGATAAATAGAGTACCTAACATAAGATCCCAATACTAAAACTTCATTTAACGACGTGTGGGCTTTGATATGACTACCAATGTTCGTTATGTAGTTTGTACAAAGCCACACGAATAAACAAGGCCTCGTCTGTCCACAAAATATTGGCACCGGGGTGTGCGATAAGCCACGTGTCGACGAGGTAAGGCATCTGTTTCTTGTAAGTTTTGGACTTTTTGATAACGGTAAGGGTGCAAGCAACGGTGTTTATCAGCTTCTATTGCAAGTCTTGACCTTGCAGTACCCCTTGCGTGTGACGGGGTTCTATACTGTCCGTAGTCTAACAGCCTCTGATTTGCGGATAAAATCGTTTGGCGGTTAGGCACCAATGGATTTAGTATACCTTGTCTTCGGAGTCGTGGTATACTTTCCGACTCGTACAAGCGCTGTGCACCATTTAGGCTTTCACCACTACGAATGTAACAACGCACCATTTCGTAATACTCGCGATTAGAAAACATTGTTTGAACTGTTGAAGTCACTGAAGAACGACGGTAAACACAAAGGATGCACCGACGCGACAAGACACTGCCGACTGACCTGTGAATTATTTAATTATTTGATTTGTACCTGTCGCCGGCCGGGTTTGGCACACGCCTCACCCCGCCACACCGCGTCCCCCGTGCATTCGTTCTCTCACTGTTTACGTAACTAGCATAAGTATTTTGTACGTTTGAATTAGTGACCACGCTATTAAATATTTTCTTCGGGATGAAATATTTTATGGTGAAAATTTGACGTACCATTTTTGTTTTTGCAAAACTGGGGTCTTTAAAAAATGTCTAGTCCCTAAAAAAATTTGGACGGCAACTACGATTTCACGGTCTACACGTACAATAGATATATATTCATGTCGGAACTTTTCAAATAAAAAAACAAAAAAAGAAAGAAAGGTTATAATTAAATTTTTTAAATTTTCAAGTTTGCACTTCTCTAGGCACTCCCGGAGTGCCACTGTTTTTTTTTATCAATGGTTATAACAGAATGGAACTGTAGCTACAAGGAAAAACTAGTTGTATCTATTAGCGCGTACTTGTGGGAGTTCCGTGGGAGAGCCAATAGATTTCGGTAAGCACTTATAAGTTACAACAAAAAAACGGGAACTTAGTGATCACTATCTATGTCGTCTAGACTTAACATGATTGTACAAGTATACATTCCGACCGATCTGATTTAATTAATTGTTGACATTTCGGTATGTATGTTTATTTATACACCGCAAGATGTGGTAGGACATAGTGTACCTCTAACATGATCCTAAGACCTGTAACTAACCTATGTTTCAGCAAATAAATGATGATTATGATCATCTTGGTTGCTCCATTTAGTTGCCCGAGAGTTAGCTGCGAAGGATCGACGTGAATTTGCCTTATGCGCTCTTACTTTAGCATATGATTTCTTACTCGTACAGCTGCTGGCCAACGGTCCACTGGCCAAATGAAAGCCGCTAGGTTACCAAATAGCGCTACCAGCGCGTTGCCTCGCAGCCTAGCTTGTGTTGACCCTTGGCTGTGTGCTCTTGATCGTCAGATAAGTGTCATGTTCTGTATATTGTGATTTGTTCATGGAAGAGCAAAAGGTATTCCCAAATTAAATCGAAATTATGGTTACCCTACTCGAACATTGTATGAGAAAACATTATTTTTGAGATTGCACACTTTGAAAACTGTTTTGACGGTAAACAATATGTCATTCTAACGAGGTTAATATGTTGAATAAATGGATGTTCACGCCAAAATCCTAGCACTTATAGAAAATGAGATATCAGGCTACTAAGTAACGTTTCGACTGCGCGGGCTGCGTACTTCCTGTTTTTGTCTATTTAAATAAAATTTTGTTAGGGCTTATTGCTTTCATTAGTTTCGACAAATTAAGACCTTTCTTCTTGTAACAGTTTTACTGTATAAGTCTTAAAGAACTAATTAACAATAAAGAAATAACAAGTGTACGATTGCGTGGCCATAACTTCCAAGGTGAATATTTCGTTAAATATTGAAACATAGCTTATAATTCTTTTCTCGACAAATGTTTGACAAATTTAGTCTTCAATTGAGAAAAAGAATTAACTCTCTAACTTAAGTACTTGCTGAGATCTTCGTGGCCGCGTAATCCTACACGTACCTACCGATCGCGCGGCCATCTTAAAACTTAACTTCTTCATTTCTACATTTTGTCAAATTTTTGGTTTGTTTCCTTCGATTTTTGTCAAATTTCTGGGGAAGTTTTTTTCTGTTTCGATAACGTAGCCGAGCAATCCAAACGCACACACAGAAAACCGGTGTTAAGCCGATAACCTCCGGTAACATCGATCACTGTGATGGAGGTTACACACGATGGATGGAGGCAACACACTGACTATTGAGTTAAAAGTGTCCCATGGGCGGAGGTAGTCACTTGCCATTAGGTAGCTGTCTGCTCGTTTGATCCTTATACCATAAAAAGATAGTTCATAAGATTTTGTTTTATTTTACTTGTGTGTGTGTGTGTGTGTGTGCGCGCGAACGCGCTTTAGGCGCACCAATAGGAGCAGAGCATCCATGAAAAGTGTTGCGAAATGAGGGAAAATTTATTCCTTTTGAGAGACGCAGACAAAGTAGAGTGGGTTAGCTGGTACGGTACATTAAGATCATACAAACCCGTCTAATGTAGGCTTGTAGCGCAACTTTACGGAAACATTTTAGGTACATGTAAAATATGTGTTTGTGTCATTATTTTAAGAGATGGTTTTTGTTATTATTGCAGGAGGAGCCACAGGATATAGCAGCTAGCATCAAAGCGCTGGCGCGTTCCGTGCACGGCGACGTGTTTGAATTGCCGAGACCGCGATTCTCTACACAGATCTAGCTGTAAAACGTCAATGTTCTCGAAAAGTTTTTTGTTAATGCTGTAAACGGACAACTGCTTTACAATAATTTAAAATTCAAAAATATCTCATCGAGTTGTGTACGACTACAGTGTGCTTAATTTAGAAACACTTACCACACATTGGTGCTTTCGGAATGTGATCACAGTGACCCTAAACCCAAATTGTGAGTATACATAATCTGACCTAACAAGTGACAATATGCTACATACCTTCAAATATATGGCAGCTAGATATGTGTTATAATCCTAACAAAATAAAAATAAAGTATATTTGGGATGCCCTCTTTATTGTATAAGATATGAATGTTTAACGAAAGTAGAATTTAAGAGGCTAAAATATAATTATAAGCAAAGTCGTTATACAATGAAGTAGGAAACCAAGGTTTATTGATGCTGACGCTATATTTTTACTGAATTATATTTGCATTAAGTCCTGCTTGAGATGGGATTTGGTAAATCAACCATACAATTAGCAACAAGCTCGAGTTAGTAAACTTTTTAGCTATTGTTAGCAGTAAAAATACTAGAATTATAAAGTTAACTTGAAATTTGTCAATGGCTCTTGTGGAGTCTTGATCTATTATCTAATGCTTTGTTGATCGAAGAACATAATTGACTGCAAGGGTGGCATAGTGATCTAAGCGGTCGCCACGCCGCTTTCTACTACGCCGAGTATTGTGGGTTCGATCCCCTCAGGGGACAACACTTTGTGTGATCCACAAATTGTTGTTCTGAGTCTGGGTATTCTTTGTGTCCTTTTCATGTAAGTTTGTAAAGTCCCCTCGACAGGATATATTCCTAGTATAGGAGTCGTCTTTTTAAAAAAAAAATAGGTAGCAATAGTAAGTTTCCGAGAAACCAGCAAAATCAACTTCAGTGTTATGAGAGTCAAAATTGTGATATACCTTTATTAATTATGCATTTGTGATTCTCAAAAACTCAAAATTTTAATGAAAAGAATTAAGATACTAGATTTTGCTATATTATTAGTCAAACAGTAGCAGCATTTCATTTTAATAAAAAAAAATCTTAGCTCTCGGACTCCTTGCACGCTATTTAGGTTAAAGGTACAAATCCCGTCTTAAGGTTTCATTTAATTTTAAAATTTTATTTGCTTTGCGATGCGTCCGTTACACTAGTGCAGTAGAGAGAAATAGGTTGATATGATATAAAAGAGGTGCATTTTTTTGAACTTATTATGTTGTAAGTAATCATCTAATACTGAAATGTCAATTAAGAAGTCTCAACCTAATAAAATGTGGACAAGTAAGTAATAATTTCCTATAAAGCCACTTTTATATTTGTGGTTAAGTAACGGCTAAAGTCTAATCATTGCTAATTTAATGTGTCATGTTTTTATAAATACTCTTTTGAGAATACCATAAAAGGCACATAAACACCAATAATTATTAATTGATGTCAGGTTCAGCCAGCCTGAATTAGGTGTTCTGTATTATTTTATTTACAAAAAAACATGTTTATTTTTGTGTAAGTATTACATAATACTTTCGACTTTTTTTTAGACCTAGAAATGAGTACATTAATTCAAAATAATGTAGTTAACCCCCCTATATTGAAAAAAATTGTTACTGAAATTTATTGTTTCTTAATTGTCATATGAAATTAAGCTTTTGCACATACATGTCCGCCTAATCTAGATTACGTTTTGGGAAATAAAAAGATGTATTGATAAAATAAGTCATGTTGGCACAACTACTGATTGAAGTGCCACCGACAGGAAACGCTCTTCGTCTTGGACAGGAGCCTCGCTGAAGCGTCCTGTTCCCATGGTGAAGCGCAACAAAGTCTGTGTGCGTGCTATGTGTTTATGGTATATTAAAAATGATGAATTGAAATTTTGACATTTCTATTAAATTTGTTATGAATGGACTTACGTGAACTAGCCATCTTAGGATTTAAAATAAGTATAGTTTGACATTTTCAAGTAGATATATAATAAAGTCGACTTAAGAAAACATGCCATATTACTGTGAAATATATTTTGTCGATCTTCGTTACCAACGTACATCATAATGTACGTTGGGATATTTTGATGTCAGTGAGTTTTGTTGAAAGTATTTAAAAATATCTTGTATATATAAAAAAAAAGATTATAGGTGACAAGTAAATGAAGTATAAAAAATTGTTAACATCTAAGTCATATCCATGTTAATAGACGTTTCTATTATTTTTTTATCTGGTGTTATCTTAATGATAAGTGAAAAGTGTACAAATAAATTCCTTGCATTTCTTACTAGTCTTTTAGGGTCACGAATTTTTTCATTGTTAACATTATTTTCAGTAGGTAGGTATTAAAAATCGTAAAATGTACATAATATAAGATCATTGTTATTACGTTAGATAACGACACAATATATGAAACTTTGGAAAATCCTTTATTTTTATACCCAATATTTTGAATGATTGTCTAACTGGATTTACAGTAGAAGCAGAGAAAGGCCTTTGTATGCAGATATGTCTCGTTTTTTCTGAGTTCCCTCTTTTTACTTGATTTAGTAAATAAGCTAGGATATAATATTACATTTTCTAATTTCTCGTTTTTACTGAAAAAGTGACAATTTTTTAGTGTCTTCCAGTAGCACTGATTTATATGAAAATATGGTTTAATGTATTTTTTTATTTCAGTCAGTCGTTTTTAATTTAGTAAAACTATTAAATTGTTTTATTGGTGTGATTTTATGATGGACCTTGATTGTATGTATTTAGAAGTATGTAATAAATAATGAACGTGAAATGCAGTTCTTAATTTTATCCCCTCCAGAAATGTTACTAAAAAAAATTCTTATTAACATCATAATAAAAATAAAATATGTCAAAAACATTACAAAATCGATTCCAAAAACATCAACGAACATATATCACTGGCAGAATTTTCTTAGCTGCATCAGTACTGGTTTACAGATTTTAAAAAAAGTATCTGTATAACTACTATAATAAAATGTTTGATTAATAAATTTATTCACTATTGTCATGTCACATTAAGACTAGTCAATCAATGCTGATATTTTATAATTTCTTCTTAACAACGTGATTTTAAAAATGTGTTGACAGCTGAAAGCTACTGAAAGAAAAAGTTGTGTGCAAATGAAAAAGTTACGTAAGTGTTTACCCAGTTACGTAGGTATATAATGTTCAGAAACTAACTAATAATAACTTTACTTATTGATATGCACATGTCGTAAATTGAACACTACGAACTTTGATTTTCCTATTTGTCATGATTCTAGTAAACCTATAACATAGCTGCAAGTTTCTTCTATGACTTTTATAATAAGTACCGTGTACTACCACTTTGGCTAGAATTTTCACGACCTTCATCGATAATGTCAAACTACTTATAAATTATCTTTGGCAAATCTCTGTAGTAACATGGTAGTAACTATCGTTACCATGGCGACGGCGTCACAACATACGTGTATCTACTTAAAGTTTTATAGGCAGTTCGTAAACGCACAGAGTACAGTAATACTATTAGAGACGTGAACGTTTGCTTTTTACAAGAAGGTAAAAAATGTTAAGTTCGCGTTATTATAGTGCATCGAGACTCGGCACTGATGCAAAGCCTCGTACAGCCATGGTTGTCGACGAGGATGACGAACTGTACGCAGGCTTTAATGAGGTCGCTCCAGCACTCGATACCAGGAACTTGCGTGAGGACCAGGACTTTCAGGAGACGCTCCGAACCGCTGGCATCGGAAGGAAAGTGTCAAGCAGGATGGGCACTGGGGTAAGTACTTAAACTTCTTTTGCTATGCCTTGTGTATTGAAAGGACATAACCTGTACAAAACAAGCGCCGCCGGTATGTCATATCACTTTATCTAAGTATGTTAATGGGTGTGACTATAGATGTAAAACAACCGATTTAAAACCGAATTTTTAATAAAATGTTGCCTTTTTAAACCCCAAATAAATGGTTTTAGCGGTTGAAAACTCGCCTACAAAAATAATAGAACTGTGTTCACTTAATTGTGGGCAATTTTTGGTTACCTCACGTCATGTTTCGTTTTAATCACTACATAATATAAAACAAAGTCGCTTCCCGCTGTCTCTCTGTCCTTATGAATGCTTAGGTCTTTCAAAGTACGCAACGGATTTAGATGTGATTTTTTGACGTGATAACGTCTTATAATTCGATGGAGCCGGATGCACGCACGAAACAACATGACTCATGCGGCGTTACCTCGCTCTGAGGCGTTCCATTTAAGGCGTGAAGTGCAAGCGAGAGCTCGGAACGAGTGACAAAGAGGCACAATCGGCTTCCGCGTTCGGCAGCGTTCGACATCTGTCTCTCTCCTACTTGAGTGAGCGATGCGTCCGCGTGGACAGCTGCGACTCGTATACAATAATACATTTTTGAAAAATGCAACCATTCCATCAGTATTTTCTTATGACGTTGTCACGTTCAACTATCGTCAGTAAACCGACTTTACAGACAACCGATTTTTTTTAATAGATAGAGTGATTCAAGAGGAAGATTTATATGTACAATACATGAATAGTATAGTAGAGAAACACTGATAATTTTAGACGTTTCTAATGTGATGTCGTAAATAAACATTTTTGCGCTTACATTGCAAACGCTAGCTGAACCTAACGTGACAGATCAAAATAATGTACTACAGTATTGTACACCTTAAAAAGGTCTACAAAAAAGTCCAGGATGGTATATGTCTATCTCTTAGGGTTGTCCACCCACAATAACCATTTTTTATCCTTTACTTTTTACGAGAAATAATGCCTTATTTACCAAGCGATTAAGCAATACAGCATTAATCCTTATCCAATTAAGTACCTTAGATACATTGTGCATTTAATATAGATAAATATGCCCTTTACAGCATGTAATTTTATTAAATATTTTCAAAGATATTAGAGATTTAAAAAGCAGGGACATATCGGTTGCGGCGATACCGGCCCAGGGGGCCGGCGGCGCGTGCCTATAAATAGCGCATCGAGGCCCGCGCTTCGCCCTATAGCACTTTATGATTAGCAGCGATCGCACGCGTTTATCGCAGCTCTCTAGCGAGGAAAATAACAATACTTACGTAATCTGTACTTATAAGTACATTACGAATAATTAAAAAAATATATATTTGAAATTTTAACCCTTTGCTTAGATATGGAATGTTAACAAACCAATACTTGGTCGATCAATATACGAAAATTGAATATGAGAGATTGGCCTACATCCGTGATAATCAAACTAAATTGAGAGCAGAAAATTACGATCACCTTCAGGATGCTTTACAGGCGAATGAACACAGCAACGACATTGGACTGTTGGTTATACTACCTTCATCATTCACAGGTGGACCTCGTATTTACATGAAAAATCTCAGGACGCAATGACTTACGTCAGACATTACGGTAAACCTGATTTACAGAGTTACTTATCAATAGAGTTTTTATAACTTAGGTAGGTAAAAGCTCGGGCACGTCGTTATCGCGGCGGTAAGACCCGTTATGGAGGATTGGCTCGAGAGGCATCACGGGAACCTCTCGTACCGGTTGACGCAGGTGATCACTGGGAAACTATGCTTCGGCGATCAGAGTGCCACCACTGCGATGGCCGGACCGTGGACACGGCGCTCCACAAGATGGAAGAATGCCCGGCGTGGGTGGAGCAGAGGCGTGACCTCGTGGCTACCATCGGGGATTAAGTTCTCTAGCTCGGTAAATTGCGGCCATGGTGCGGAGTGAGAGTGCGTGGAACTCCGTCGTCTCCTTCTTCGAGCAAGTTATGCTTGAGAATTAGATGGCGGAGCGGGACCGGGAGAGGTTTAGAACCCTCCCGGCCCGCCAGGCCCGGGCACGGGCCAGGTACCGCAGGCGTCTCAGGTCCTCCATAAGCGCAGGCCTGGGGGTGAGGGCACGCACAGAATTATTTTTTAGGTAATACCTACGCTTGGTCGCACGAACCAATTAGAACTAAGTATATCAATATCTGTATATAACACATAATTATAAAAAATCTTTACACAGTTTAAAGGTACTCCGTCATTTTCCTACCTCGGTAAAACAAAGAAAATGTAGTTATAATTAAGAAAAACATAGTCATCAACACTAACCGTTTAAAATAGAATAAAATGGTTTATTTCGTTTTAAAACGGCCTTTTATGTGACTGATTATTTATAAAACATCGAAGAAGAAAAATCTTTTATAATTCTCATGCAGTATTAAATAAGAATACTAGTAAGATGTACAATAAAATGGGATAATGGGTACAAGCAACGATTCCGTTGCGTTAATTTTGAAGGTGGTTTATTTTTTAAAGTTTATGTCTGAAGCGTAAATTTACGCCTTTTTAAGGATCGTATTAATTAACATCATTGGTGTACTTGCTATAGAACTAGTGTTTTTGTATTTTTAGGGTAACGTATCTAAAAGGAAAAAACGGAACCCTTATAAAATCATTTTATTGTCCGCCAGGCTGTCTGTCAAGACACTTTATCTCGTATCGAGTTGAAATTTAAACCACATGCTCAGGTCTATTGTCCCTTGAAGCTGCAAAATAATCAATCTCCGAAGTTAACGTAAAAAATGATACGGCCTTTTATACCGCAAAAAATAAAACGCATATTTAGACACTGTCAAGGGAATAGGTCAACGAGAAGTACCTACCCTTATAGGGTAGGTACTTTTAGTTGACCTAGAAACTATGAAATTTGGCAAGGAACATCGTCTTAGAAAATCCGAAAACTATATTATATTTGTAATTAAATCATAAAATATATAGTCTTTATTTAAAGTACGTAATCAATCATCGAGGTACAATTTTAATTATATTGACAAATGTGTTTATGATTTCACATTTAAAATTCTATAATTTGTCGATTTGAATATCAAAACCTCACAATGGGATCGTGTTTACGTGAGAAAAACTATGCCATTTTTTTTGACACATTATTTTTACATTACACCTAATTGTTTTGATTTTCACGGCCATAGATCTCTATTTTCACGGCCGCTACTTCTCAGACGAATGCGACTTTTTATATTGCCAGAACAACTTCGGTACTGTGAATCATACAAATGATTACTAAACTTACTATAATATTTACAGTCGTTTTTAGTAATATTTAATAACATATCGAAAACGTAAAAACCGACGTTGAGGCAATTAGCTAGGTAATCATTTAAACAAGGTTCGAATTGCTGTTTTCTTAAAAATTAATTTGGTGTTTTAACATTAAGTTCCACCATAAATCAGATGATGCGTCTGGGCACAGTCAGTGTGCGTGGTAACAGTTCGCGAGCGGCAACAGCGGCGCGGCCTGTGACTGCGGTGCGTGCAGCTGGTTACACTTCTGCCACCAGAGAATTGCCCACCAGGGACGATATCAAGGAAGACAGGTAGAACACCTAATAACTAATTACATTTTATTTCGTTTTTTTTTGAGCTGAGCAAATTATTGTCATAATAAGTTTTCCCAGTACAAACTAAGTATACTTACTTACCTGTAGTAGGTTAAGAAACAATTTCTCCTAAACCTCTCCAATGGCTTCTTTTCTGATCTTGCAGTTGAACTTTTATAAACGTCATCCAGTTATCTGTCTTTCCCTTTAATGTGCTTAATTACTTGAGTTTTCTCAATACCATAAACCAAGACCAAGTAGGTAGCTAAGGCACACAATTTAGGACACGCCTGAGGTCTTTTCAAATCAGTGACTTTTCCCTTATAGCTAACTGTTGCTTATACTTATGGTTTAGCTTTCTCAAATTCAAAGGACGTCACAATTCTTTAAACACAAGTTACCTTAATACAGCAAGGAGTTTTGGCTCACAACTGTTTGAGCTTTTTGAATTGGGCTTAGTAACGATTTTATTTTTGTAGTATTGAAGAACGGGTAAAACAGATGGAGGCGCGTATCATGACCCTGGTTGAAGAGTCGTGTATGTTGAGTGCGAGAACTGATCCTGATGATGACAGTACACTGAAGAAAGAAATCGATTTGGGACAGGCAAGTTAGACTCCTTAACCCTTCGGCAATGGTCTTTGCAAAAATAATAAGTCTTAAACTTTTTGCTCTGATATTTAAAGTAGTCTGCTCAGATGTTTCTACTGTCTAATCCTGCAGAACTTGTATTGTCAAAATTTTAATAAACGATTAATTATTTTATTTTTTTCAACTTTTCCTGAGAGAAGAAATCGAAAAAAATCGTTGCAAAATCTATAGGGCAAAAAAATAAGAAAAAATATATTATCCCAGTTGTGTTCAACTACTCTCAAGTAATGCTCTTACTGATGAGCAGCGTATTAGTCGTATGCTTGTTTGCCAACTAGGTTGTACTTTTAGACCGTTCATTTAACACTTTTACACCAACCAGAGTTTGAGTTATATAATAAATCAGTTGTTAAGTAAAATCAGGCATACTTTTATTAACTAGTTTACGTATTTACTTTAATAAGGTTATTTTTCTTCATGTTATCAGGCCCTAGCAAAAGCACAAGAGGCTTCTGCATTAGAAAGGCAGCTTATTAGAATGCAGGAACAGGCCAATCTTGGTGACACACACAATCTGGATCTCACATTTGCGGTAAGAGATGTTTTACAAACCAAAGAGATTAAAATAATATACTAGTCACGGCTGCTTCAATTCTTGATAATGAGCTTCTGTCTGATCTCTGTTTTTTACTTGTCACTGCTTTACACTTTTGGCTAAAAAACAAATAAATACATTTAGTGTAGTATAACTTATCATATGGCTCTATGATAAGTTAGGTCGAAGAGTTAGTGTTGTTCAATGCGACTTATGCATATTTGACTTTGAAAACATAAAAGTTTGGAATAGGAAGTACTTGCTACGTCGGAAGACATGTCGGGCGAAGTCTGGTGACCTCGCAGGGGAAACCTGTGCCCTAGTGGAAATGAAAATCAAGTTTTAACATTTCTTATTATTGCCGACAGGTTCTTTGCAATTTGGCTGATCAATATGCTCTCAACGAAATGTATACAGAGGCGTTAAACACATATCAATTACTCACTAGAAACAAACTATTCCCTCATGCCAACAGACTTAAGGTAAAATTATCAAATGTTTACAAATATTATGTATATTATTTAGCACAGTATCTTGGTGTTACGTTGAGATGTAAGTAGTTTTACTCAGCAATTTCTATGACTTGTATTATTTGGAATGCTACAAGGAATTGTTTAGACTTATATCTTGAGTGAGCGTGAGAGTGTAACTTGAGTGTCATTCCTCTTCACAAAACATCTATTCCTATCACTTGGATAATGGGCACTATACTACGAGCTCTGTACCACTATGTGTGCAATGTGAGTGAATAGAATAATATAAGTACTAAGGACACCGAAGTATATCTTTTATTGGATCTTTTTTTGTTTTTTTTTAAGACAACTCCCGCATTAGGAATATATCCTGTGTCTCGGGGGACTTTACAAACATGCATGAAACGGACACAAAGAACACCCAGACTCAGAACAACAATTTGTGGATCCCACAAACTGTCGTCCCATGTGGGGATCGAACCCACAACACTTAGCGTGTAGTAACAGTAGTAAGTGGTGTGGCGACCGCTTAAACCACTACGCCATCCGTGCAGTCAATTTAATCTTTGCTACACTCTACATCTCGATAGTACTAGTATACTGCAATTACTATATAATATCAAGATACTAACTCAACGCTCAGTAAATATTAGGCTAACTATAATTTGTAATTTTTCAGTATTTAATTATATGTGTAGATTATTTACTGAACCGCTGATTGCAGCGTGCCTCGACGTCATTTAAATACTTCAGTGCAGTTTGTAAGTCGACCTCATACATAATCATTGAACTTACAGGTCAACATGGGTAACATTTATTTCAAAATGGGCGAACATCCTAAAGCTTTAAAGCTATACAGAATGGCACTTGATCAAACACCGACAGCCGAAAAAGATTTAAGGTATAAGATTTGACACGAGTTTGACACGCCATATCGACATGAGTTTGAGATTTATACATGTTATTTTATACACTGTAAACTTAATTCCTTAGTTTTATTCACTTGGGGGTGGTATTTTTTTTTTTCAAATTTAAATGGGTCCAAACGTCAAATTTACAATCGAAGGAGTTCTGAAGTAACAAACGATATAACCGAATTGAGAATCACCTCTTTTTTGAGTTAGTTAAAAAACCACATTCTATTATAGCCTATATATCTATATATATATATAAATACTGAACTATGAAACCCAACAGCCAGAAGTGGAGATGGCATAAAATCACAATCACGTCTAATAAATTATATGATATATAAATCACATAATCACGCATGTGACTAATTTACAAAATCACTGCGACTTACTGTTATTTTTACTATAGCGCTAAGCGCCTGTCTAAATAATCTTTGTCTTTGTCTGTGCCCAAATCACAGTAGTGATTTTTACAGCTGAAATCGCAGTATCTTAAACCAATCTTTTCATTATGATTATTATTTAAAAGTAGCAATAATTTCCCCAAAAGCAAAAGTATATGTGTGTTTGTAATTTTATATCCTCGTCGTAGCAGTTAGATGTAGTGAGCTGATTTTGATTAGGGATACATTTTCATGTATATAGTATCACACGTATATAGCATCATTTTCATGTCATATAGTAGGCCAAAACCTCCTTTCTAAGGAGAGGGCTATGTCCAGTAGTGGACTAGTGAAGGCTGTTGATGATACATTTTCATGTATTAAACGATTCACCGTTATAATGCACAATGGAGGGATTAATTTCAATTTAGTAATATTTTATCATACAAAAGATGGTTTCTCTAACCTAATCTTGGTTTTATCTCAAATGAATGAGTAAAAATACCGATTTAAAAAACTCATAGTTAAATATATATAAAACACTATATTGAATTCTTCTGACATGGCATTGGGCCTTTATAATATATATTATATCAATTAAATTATGAATTACAGGATGAAGGTTATGCACAACATTGGTTTACTGTTAGTTCGCATGGGTAAGTTTCGTGACGCAGTGACTAATTTTCAACACATCATGCACGAACAAGGAGACTTTCAAACGGGTAAGTGAGACCATAATTGTTTAAGCATTTAAGTGTAATGTGTAGGAATTTAGTTAAGGAGCGTTTATTTTTATATTTAATTTTTATACATCCAAAAATGTACTCTTCTTACGCCTCGTCTTCCAGCACTTTAGCCATTACAAGAAAGTCACCAACAATTTTCCGCATTTTGTTAATAATAGAATTAAATCCATGTATATTATGGAAATATTAATATCGAACTTGACTTATTTGACCGTCTGTCTCCGCTTTTAAGCTTGCAGACAAGTTGAACTTTGCTATTCAGAGGGATACCTCAACAACAGAAATCGGTCATGTATCAACGACAAGCATCTTTATTTAGCCAGGTGTTAGTATCGGTTATAAGGTTTTACGTAATACTAATAGCATAATTTGTGTTCCAGGTTTACATTTGGTATTGTGTTCAATTGCCCTAAACGACACTGAGGGTGCTAAGGCAGCATTCCACGCTATGCTAGACGTGGAACCTCCCACATTCCACCAGGATATTACCATTGATGACGTAAGTGTAGAATTATATTTTTAGTTGGAAATAACATCCAGCTTTATTAGGTCCAGAATGGCCAAAACCGTTTTTTTTTTTTGGCTTCGCCTATATATGTATTGAACGTTTAAAAACGTTTCGTCTTTAAGTTGATGCGGACGGTAACGGGTTTTCTTTTCGGGCGTTCAGACCACGCCATTCCTTCTACCATTTTCACTATTTTTTTACCATTGTTGTCATCCATTTCTGAAGTTAGAGTCGTACAATCTTCAGTCTTATGTGATCAAAGCCTAAAAATAAATGTTGGTCATCCGTACGACATTAAACCGCCTTTTCAATGCCTACCTATCCTCGCGTGATACGCAAAGTGTATATGGGTTATACCTATAGCCGTGGGGCTTTTATGGCGCATCTCTGTGGCAGAAGATATTGGCCATCCTTACTAGATTATATTTGTCCGATAAGCAAAACAGTTGTGAGTTACACTTCGATACCACACAGTGTTACTAGCACTATTGTTGAAGGCAGCTTTGTTCGCTTATCTATACAAATAAATAAAATTGAAGTGTCTGTTTGAAATGTCAAAAAAATAGGTTTTTGTCATGTTCACACGGTTTTTTGCACGATACCTATGCCTAAAAACCAGTTCAATATTTTTTTGTCTGTCTGTTTGTTCCGGGTAATCTTCTAAACATCTGGAACGGTTTTGATAATATTTTACTACCAGGTCTGTTTATATAAGGAGTAACTTAGGCTACTTTTCTCTCAGAAAAACCCTTCAAAATTTTGCCCGGTCCGGGAATCGAACCTACTAAGACAGCGCTTTTCAAATTCCACGCGAACGATATCGCTGGTACCAGCTAGTACTGAATATCACAAAATATAGCAAGCAACCATTGGCGTATAAAAAGTCCATGAAAGCAACTTTAGATGTATCATTATCAGCCTATTGCAGTCAGCTGCTGAACGAAGCCCTCTCCCAAGGCTCGCCAACCATCCCGGTCTCGGGCAGTCCGCATCCATCCGCTGCCAGCCATTATCCTCATGTTTACCTATTGCTAATTATAATGAGTTATCAGTTGCGATTAATCATGTCTGTTATATACAAAAGTTCTTAGAAGTGCATACCTATATAAATAATAATTTTGGGGGTAGTTTGTAGCTTGCCTTGAATTACTATCTACGATTAGATTAATATAATTTATTTGGGTAATGTGCGATCGGTTGCATAATGTAGGAGAACGACGCTTATTCGCTGGTGATCCGCGACGTGGTACGGGGCGACCGCCTGTCGCGCTGGTCGCGGCGCGCCGCCGCGCACGCCGAGCGCTGCCTGGCGCGCGCCGCCGCCGCCGCCATGGGCCACGGCGACCGGGCACCCGACGGCACGTACGTCTGCTACTTACACTTCATTTGTGTAGTCCACTGCCGTAAGGCCGCTGAAAGCATTAAGAGAAAGGAAGATAAAACGGCACCTCGTAATAAAAAAATCTTTATTTACGAAACTTTTCTTTAACCAATTACAAAGCTTTATTATTCTACCGTTTCTATTAATTTTGGCATCAACGAAATAACAGTAATGACAAAATATTGGATGATTTCTAATATCTGGGTGTTAGCTTGAGCTGCCTGCAATTTAAGCACCACTGGTTCTAGAACACAACAAACTTGAACAACTTAGAAAAACCTAGACCGATGATGCAATACAATACATTTTTAATATATTAACGCATACAAGATTTTCACTGGGCTTCAATCGAATCCGTGACTATTGATATCTTCCAGTCGAATACCGCACCACAAGTCTCTGTAAATGTTTAGTTCTCTAAAAGACGAAACTTTCTAAAATTAATAACACAACTCAATTGGTATTACTGCAGACGTCGCGAAAACACTTTCCAGATTCGTCAACCACAACAGTAGGTATAATATTGTATGCCGTCGGGAGCTATTGTCATCGTTATGAATCATTTCTTTTAGCGGTTCCATGTGGTGCGTGGAAGCTCTTCGTGGGTCCAGCGGCGGAGCGGCTGGCGCCCGGCTCGAGCTGGGAGCAGCACTAGCTGCGCTGCGGACGCTCCGCCCGCCCGCAGCGCCCTCTGCGCGGCAGGCGCTCACCAGGCTGAAGGCTGTGGCCCGCGCCAATCCTCAAGACAGAGTGCTTCGTGCCGAGGCCAATACTGACGCTGCCTTCGTGGCATATGCGGTGCTCTTTTACATATTTTATTAATAATAAAATCATTTATTTTCTCGCCATAATACATTTTTATATAATTATAGCTTGCACAATAATCATTACTTACTATATTTTTTACTGTGGGAGACTGGTGCCTAAACTAGGCTCAGAGCCTGTGTTTCAGGACACCAGGGTCCCCTTCTTAATTGTATAAATTTCTATTCAGATTGTGTCAGCGCTTTTGCCAATTGGTTGTGGTCGAACAATTAAATTACAATGTACCTATATAAATATGTATGTGAATATGTGTACGAGATGCTCGCAGTTAAAAATGGCGTTAATTATTAAAATAAAAATGTAGAATTTTAGTACCCGCCAAATGGTCGAATTAACTCAAACATTCCTAGCACACTGATATGATTGACTAGATCTTTTGAGTATAAGAATTTATTATAGTTGATGATGTAGAGTAGTAGGTATAGAACCTGAGATTATTTACAACGAAGTTTAGTCATACAAAACTCATTTTGTTTAATCTACTAAAAGGACTACAAGCTATTAATATTATCGAAATTATTTGTGACTGCAATTTGCCTTCGTACTATAATTTTTTCAAACCTATGGCTAATTAGCGATTCGCACTTTCGTCATCCGAAGATAATTACAAAACATAATAAAGAATGATGCAATTTTAAATTTCGTCAATGGTTTTTAGAGATTTTCTTCAATTGATAGATATTGTTAATTGGAACTATACAGATTTATCAGCATGGAATGAACAACCTGCTTTCCCTTTTTCCAAGATTATTATAATTCCAACCATTACCAAAACGTTATGTAAGATATATAGCATATGGTTTACCTGTGAGTAAGGAGTTACACATAAGAACCCGTATGTAGGTATACCGGAAGCCTGTCATTTAATATCCTTTTTGAATAACCACTTACTAAATTCACATCCGATGACTCGTTATAGAGACGTTAGAAATTATAATACATCGTGAATTTCTTAAATAACCTTTTTTTTCTATTCAGTTGGGCAACTGGTCTGAAGCACGATCTCTCAGTGAGGCGGCATCTCGTGACGACCCATACTCCTGCGCAGCGCGGGTAACGTTAGCGCTGGCGAGTGCTCGCACAGCTGACAGCGACCCACTGGCATGGTCTAGTGCTGCAGAACAACTTGCAGCTGCTACCCATCTGGATCCAGCGGATCTTGTAGCAGCACATAACCTTGGTAACATTTCATTGAAATGCTACTTTTTTAGTTATATGTATGCCTTATCAACATTCGTGCTAATTCTGTAGTTCGAAAACTCTCTGAGCTAAACTAAAAATAATTAAAAATTAGTTTAGTCCTGTCAACAACGTTTCATATTCTGAAAACGGAGAACTTAACTATACCTATTTAGTTTGACACAACCAAAATTAGTTAAGTTAATTTACTTAATTTTTTTTTCTTTTTTTATATTTTAGGAAAACTTACAGTTACTAGTGATATAGGAATAATAGGTGAAGGCCAATTAAAAGTTTTCACTGCAAGATTTGGTCATTTGTTATTCTGTGGTACGTTCTAATCGTCCAAGATTGACTAAAAAATAAAAATGTCAGATTAAAATTAGACGTTATCTAAATACATGCCGACTAATTGGTTGATTATACATATAAATTCTTTAAATTTTGTGGCATTACGTTTAGCAGAAAGGTATGGGCATCATGTTTATCATCTTAAATCACGATTATATTATTGTCATGTATCTTATCTGCATTATTTAGACATACCTACGTTTTATTTTAATTAAAAACTAAAGAATACGCTTTGAACATATTCAAGACAACTCCAATTTATTTGAGATGTCAAAGGAGAAGTTTCAGAAACTTTTTAGGCTCTGTAGCCTAGGTCTGGAGCTTAGCTTAGGGAAGCAACTCGTCGCATTGAACCAATTTTTCAGATTTTACGCACATTCCATTTTTTTTTCTCAAGGGAAATACCAAATTGCTGCAAGCCAGAAAAAATATTTAAAAAATTAAATCAAAAAATATTAGGACCTCCGAAGCCAGCAATCAATCTATATTTTTTTAGGGTACTCTTTATTGAGAATCTATCACAATTTCAGGTTTGGGCTTGCACATAGTAATTTCAATTCATTTTTAGATCTATCATAAAAATATGAAGTATTTTACATTTAATATAAATAGAAGATTATTTTTTTTTATCTAATATACTTAATACCAATTAAACGACCAATTCTCAATTTTTTATATACAATCTGAATCTCGGCAACGGCTCCCAACAATTTTCATTAAATTTAGTATGCAGGGGCGATTAATCGATCTAGCTAGCTGTACAATCTTCCAAAAAGTCCCAAGGGCCGTCAAGGTATTTGAACTAAAACACACTTGCTGACACCGCTCTTTTCTGAGGCAATGTCAGAGTCCAACGCTGCCCCAGGCCTATGCGCGTCCTTCGCTTCGTTTTGGTAGCTGGATTTAGCGCTCGGCGCACGGCGCTCGGTTGTTGCTCCCCCGAGAATATGATTGGGAGCTGCTGACCTGGGAGGGATTCCCCAGATGCAGTGCGTCCCGAACCCTCCTGGGTTAAATGTCCTCCGACGTGACGCCCTCGACACTGGAATCCCTCTAGCGACTCAGCCCCTTGCCAGGCGTCAGAGTGTAGGCTTGGTTTTCTTATAGAGGTTTACGTCCTCGCGGGTCCGAAAAGCCACCGGTCCTTTCCGTTTATGATTATAGCTTTGCCGGATGGGGTCTGCACCAGACCTCGTAGCCCTTGATGAGCCGTCGCTTCTAACTGTTGCCAGTTGAAAACTATTACTACTTAGGTAGAAAACATTGCGAGCCCTCCTAAAACACCGCCTATTTATTGTTAGTTAATTTAATTATTTATGCTCTAGCTTATTTGTTTGTTTTCAATTAGATTGACGTTATTGTTTGTTAATTATTTTGTTAAACAATACCTATTTTATCATGCCAAATTTACTTGCATAGTTTCAAAGATATTCGGTTTAGTTACATAGATAACGAAAAAAGTTTACCGCGGGTTGTCAGGTATGTGATCTGAGTAAAACTGAATTTACTTAGCTATGACTGTGAAATACAAAATTTTGTTTCCTATTTGATTTATTACATGCATTGATAATCATTTAAAGGAATTTTAAAATCTTAATAATAGAATTTCAAAACATTTTTTTTATTAGCTCTTTATAATTCATTCTTAATTTTATACAACTGTAATACTTTCCTTTTTGTCTTTAATTTCTCCAAATTAAGCGATTTTTGGAGCAATTTTAGTTTAGTTGCGGCAGCATCTGAATTAGTTAGGCATTAGTCGTGGATAGATGGATAATATTCCCATACATATAAAATTTTCCATGTGTGTGTCCACTGACGTAGGTGTATAGTATAGTGTAGGTTCATTTGACATCAAGTGACCTTTTAACTTTATTTTTAAATTCTTTCGTTCACCGCGACGATGTTAATAAAGAAAACAAAAATGATCAAAATAAACAAATGATATCTAGTGTGAATATAATAATTTCGTTTTCGTTTCGTTTTGTTAATATAATAAAATTATCAGAAAAAAAGATTTATTTTATTGAATATAAATATGTAAAAGGAGAACGGGCGTTCTTGCCTAAACCTAAGAACCGGTAACAACACGTGATATATTATCGACTTTATTGGCCAATGTGCGACAGGTACCTATATTAATTATGTTATTTGTTTGAATACAAGGTAAACGGAGCTCGTATTGTGTTATGTGTGTCGTGCATAGTTACATATTCTTATACTTATTAGTTATTCTTTCATACTCTATTCTTACAATGTTAATCGCAATAAGCAGAAGTTTATAGGTCAGAACTTACAGAGTAGTACGTTAATGAGTTTCAATACACTTTATTATTACTCCTAGGACTGCGTAAAAATATGCGGGGTTCCCCAGGGGTCAGTCTTACGACCACTTCTGTGGAACCTCGCGTATGGTGCCGTCTTGAGGACCAGCCTTCCCCCAGGATTATCGTCGCCAGTACCAGAGTGTCGTCTGCTATGCGTACGCTGGCGTATGGCTGGGGGGCATGGCTTCCGGGAGGTCCTAGAGCTCGCCGAGTCAGGGGTGGCTTGTGTCGTCAAAAAGATCAGCGGTCGGGGTCTAAGGGTTGCACCTCATAAGACGGAGGCCCTATTAGGCTATTGCCTAATCTAGGGGGTCCGCGGGAAATAGTTCGCCGCCTCTACTGTGCGGTGATACGATCCATGGCCCTCTATGGACCGCCGATATGAGCAAAGCGCTTATCGGCCTCCTCCCTCTGCCGAACTAAGCTCAATCAAGTGCAGCGGGTAGCGATCATTCGGATCGTACAGGGATACCGCACCATATCGTCGGAGGCGGCGGCAGTCCTGGCACGTTTCCCGCCTTTTGATATCCTGCCGGATATGGACGCGAGGGTTTACGACCAGACTCGCACGATCCGCCAGGGTGAGAGCGGGGAAGACCGAGACAAGCTCGAAATGCGGCGGAACGTTCACCGACAGGCACTGGTGCAGGGGCGCGCGCGGCTGGAACAACCGCGGAATGCGCGCCAACGCGCTGTCGGTGCCGTTCTGCCTAGCTCGAGGCTACGCAGAATGGCACCGACAGCGACAGCTCGGGTAGGTAGGGAGGGAGGCCGCGTCACCTACCGACTGATGCAGGTACTCACTGGGCATGATTGCTTCGGTGAGTACCTGAATCGTATCGGACGCGAGGAGACGGCACAATGTCAGCACTGCGGAGCCGACTGGGACTCCGCCCAGCACACGCTGGAAGACTGCCCCGCGTGGGCGTCTGAACGCGAAGTCCTGGCCGTCCAAATTGGACGAGACCTGTCCCCGCCAGCAATTATTGCTGCCATGCTGGGGCGGGTGAGAAGGGATTCGGCGCAGTGGTCTCTTTCTGTAATGCTCCAGAAAGAGACCGCTGAACGTGATCGGGAGAGGGCCGATCCCGAACGTAGAGGACGTCGGCGCCGATAACAGCCGTCGACGGGGCCGCGGGCCGCCAGAGAGGGGACCTCTGGTGGCAGATAGATTGCTGCGGTAGGCGATGGAATGGCCGGCCTGGTTGCATTAAGATGCGATCGGGCCGCCATGCCGCGATTGAGGGGGAAGTGTACTCCCCTGGGATAGGGCCTGATTAGGCATGGTGTCAATTCGGGGAGGACCTGAAATAACATGGTCCGGATCCTCCCCAGAGTAGGACACCCGAGGCCGGCCGTCGGGGTGGTTTTTAGTGGAATCACCACATACTCCTGACTCCTGAGTCCCCGAGTAATGAGCAGCGTTTTATGGGGTTATATATTTTTACTGTTTTAGCTCTGGCACTGGAGAACAGTAACGAAGAAAATGGCGCGAACAGTGGCGCGGCGCGCTGGGCGCTGGTGCGTAACGCGGGCGGGGCGGGAGCCACGCTGCGCGCGCTGGCCGCCGCCGCGCTGGCGCGCACCGCGCACGCGCATGCACGGGACTCGCCCGCCGCTGAGCATTGGTTAGCTGCTCTACTCGTGTCAGCCGTCTTTTGTACATACATGCTAACCGACCTAAAAATTTAGTCTAACAGTTTCTACCGATTAGGATTTTGTATACTAATTGATAGAAAACTGTTTCCTCGGCGCCATTAATTCGAAATAGGTATAGATTGTGTAGGTACCTGGTAATTGCTATTGCTCTAAATTAACATGTTATTGAGAGCATTTTGCTAGTTGAAAAGGAGACTTACAGAGAATGGTCTAAACAAGAGAAGCCTTACGAAATGTAATGGAATAATGTACGAGATTATTAGGTATGATTCACAGGAGTATTTCTCGACGGAGTATCTTTGGCATCTACGACACTTTTTAGTTGTGTTAACCGTGAATGAATTTGTATTCTGCATTTCATTGCTATGAAAAACTCCCCTGCCTCGTCATCTGCTTCCCCTGACTCAAATAAAATTGGGATAAGGGTAGGCAGATAACGGTTTCGGAGGCATATAACGTTGAATTAGTTGGTCGACTATTACTCGCAAACTATCACAGCTAAATAGGCTTTATGTCTATTTAGCTGTGATAGTTTTCCTTTTAAATTGGTCTCGTCTCGTCAGTCTGTGAGATATATGTAGTAGACAGACGTCCGTCTCTCTTTACTATATCTCAAAGACTGTTAGTACTAGAGCCTGGACGGACATGACAAAACCATAAGGGTTCCGTTTTTACCATTTTGGCTACGGAACCCTAAAGACAAATCAATTCAATTGATAAAACATTGCCACTCCAAAGTAACGTACAGCAATGTATTTCAACTATACAATAAATGAAAATAAGGAAAACAACAGTTTCAAGTTTTATTATTCTTACTGTAATCAAAATCAAACTAAACAATCTAAAAAAATTACAAAACAAAAACTAATCCGCCTAAACAATAAATGGCTTTCATAATGGCTTTAAGATCTAATTTAAAGTCTCACTATGTACCTACAATTAGAATTAAGCACAATAGAATAGCTATTTTTTATTTAATGCATTTTCTTGAAAACATGGACTAACTCAGTTAGTACTTAATATTTTCACTTCATCTCCCGTCCCTTAACATGTGACTTAACTTATAGACGATCCCTAATTTAGGTACTGCCATAGATATCGTATGTGTAGTTTAGTAATCAAAACTATTGGATCAACAGGTATAGCCTCATTGGTAGCTGGGACTCTGGCGTGACGTGTGCTCTTGCGCAGCTTCACAGTGAAATGGGTGACACTCAAACAGCCAAACATCATTACCAAGATGTAAGCTATTTTACTGCTTATTAAAGCATCATAGTGTGTTAGGTCTTGCAGTTTTTATATAAAAATGTATTAAATATATTAATACAGAATGCTTTTTCACAAGTCACAAGTTAAAGTTAAAGTAGGTATTAATACATACCCTGATCTTACTAAATTATTTTTGCGATTTGATTAGGTATAACTTAGTGTAAGTGTTCGAGTTCAGCCAGTCCGTCCCTATTCGGCCGCCTTAACCGTTATACTGTATCTGCTTACGTGTGTTACGTAGATAAACCGTAGGTATAAGGAAGTGACCGTGATATTGCCGTAAAGCGATTGTTTCCCGTTTATTTAGTAATCTTTAGGTGATAACGGTTGTTTATTAACCCTAATACGACAATATATACATATTATATTAGATATCGAATTTAATTTGTGTTGACTGAATAATCCCATTTTATCTTTCATTTGTTTGTCAGTACATTCTACACTATTTAATCATCATCGTTATTAAATAAAACGCAGGTTTGTGTGTTTTCTACTCCGCCTTTATGAAATTTATTGCGTTGTAAGCGTGTCAACGTAATTATAACATTCCTCAATAATCAACATAACCACATCAGACAAGGAAATAATTGCTAATTCCTAAAATAACTATACTTCCACAAGCAATATTTTCAACTTAACTACTGTTGAAATGACGGTCCTTCAGACTATTAAAGTCTCTTAATCGTTGGTAACTTTTTTCTTACGTAGTAGGTCAAAAAACTTCTTTATATCAAAAGAAATAAAGTGAAACAATGTTGTTATTTTTCAAGCTATGTTAATGTAGAAAATGTCAAGTCAGTGTCAAGTTGCATTTACGCACATCTTAATTTATGTATTTGCATTCAATAGACTAGAGTGCAAATAAGTTACTTTGAACAAAGGTACACGTGCGCGCTCTAAAGATAAAAAAAGAACACCATGTAGTTTAGAAAACGATCGAAATGTAAGTAGGAAAATGACTTAGTTTCGTTTGATGAGCTTCGATTTAGAATAGCGTTAATAATTATCAGTACATCGATCTCTGATAAACTCTTATTAGAAACATTCCATATACTCGTAAGCCACTGTGTGTTATAAATTATAGGTAGAGGCAATATGGCCATGTGAGCTGACAGCGCTGGAATGGCTGGCAAACGAAGCGCAACCAGATGTAGCATTACAATATTACAGGCGTGCTGCCCGACTGCAACCAAGTAACGTATGTAGTTTCAATATTTCAAGCATAGAGAATGTTATGTTTCTTTGTAAATTAGGAGATATTTCATAAACCACGTCTTAATGGTTCGGCACGACATTGGCACCTACGCAGACATGTTAAAGTCATACACATACCTATAGAAACCTTTTATGATTTTAACTAACTTAGATTCGACCCGACAGAACTTGCACCATTTTTGTTTTCAAACTGAGACGGTTTCTGACTGTCTTAAAAGGCAAATCTGTCTATCGCGCCATTCAAGATAAGCGTGAAGACAAAACTAAGTGACTTACTGTACCACGTATCCGTTAAAATTATTTTATTCGATTATAACTAGTAGAAGTCACCACTGAACACCCAAGTATGTGAAATCCATATTTTTCAAATGCAATTAATTGGTCCTCTTTTGTTGGTAACATTGATTGTTTGAATGGGGGGCAAAGTAAAGCCAATTTCTGTATAGGTAACATTAATACTGTAATTCGATTTGTAAAAAAAAAAAAATTCAACTGGGTATTCATTCAATGAACTAGCTTGGTTTCACCCAATACAATTGGCCACGTATTCCATTTCTGAAAACGAAATCAACACACCAAATTTAAGGGGTTTTGTAACTGTCTAAGTTATTTTATAAACGGTAAGCTAAAAAATACTAAATTCAATTTTTACCATATTTGGATACTACATTGTCAAAATATTATTACTACATAAAAATCAATCAATCAATCAAACAAAAAAATTGTTATTTCTATTGCATTTTAAAACAAATCCTATTTTTCCCTTGTTTGCCAATTTTTTTAATTGAAAAAGTCATATAAAAAAATAATAATTTGAAATGGCTGCCCTGTAAAGTTCAATAAATGTCAGATCAGACACTATTCTACGACTACGACGAATTCATGTAATTACGATGCTCTGTAACCTACTGTACCTTATGAGAGAAATAAAAGTTATTATTTGTTTATCAATGTGATTGATGCACAAATGGTAGAATTATAATAATATAGTTGAAGTTATAAGTTTGTTCCTTTTTAAGCCTCAATGGGGTTTGCTAATGGGAGCTTGCCTGCGAGCCAGTGGAAGATATCAGGAAGCGCTTGCATTGTACAAGAAAATGAACACCAGGTTTCCGGACAATGTACAATGTAAGATTTGCCATTACTTAAAAAAAAATTAGTATCTATTTACATATGTTTAGTGGAAATATTACTGTATCATTTTATTAAGTTGAAATCTAGAAAAAAAAGAAAAAGCGTACGATAATTTGTTATTTTCAAAAAAAAAAAAAATGAAAATTATTTTTATGTATAATCGAATGCGTTATACCAACAGTTTATGAAATTATTAATGAAAAATGCATAAATATCGACCTAGACTTAATATGAATTTGGCAAGGAGCAAACTGATTACAAGATTAAAAGTTCCTGTCACAGCGGTAGTTAAAATCAGTTCCAAATAGGAAGACATGTTTATTTCTTATTCTCATTTGAGTATGTTTAACTACACTAAAATGGATTTACTCATTCCGAGTCGTTTATTTTGTCGCATATCTGAAGTTTGCATAAGTGTTGCCAAACTACTGTGGGTAGGCAGTGCCTAAGTCCCTAATTATGCAACGCGTCAACAAGTTCAACAAGTTCCTATGTCACAGTTATTTTGGTAAAGGAACCTAATTGTTGATTGAAAACCATAAAATTACGTATGTATCAATTCGAGAAAGTAGTTATTCGTCGAATTTAACTCGAATGAGCAGCGTTTAGGAAATTCCGCAAACTTTTTCGTCCAACAGTCCTCGGCGTCTAAAAAGGGTTTAGACCTTAGTGTATTTGACATATAGATCTGAAACGTTGTCCTCTTTATAGGTTTAATAAACTTTTTATTTTATTGTCTACGTGATTGACTTTATGACTATTAAGGACTCTCTAAAAAAAACTAACCTCATCTTTATTTATTTACCAATTTATTAAATTACTAACAAAATAACAAAATTAAATGTATGTGAGTACACAGCAGTTTTTTAATGCCTCGAATCGACGATGGAAGATGGCACTTTGATAGACACTTTCGAAGCTTGCTCAAAAGGGTACCTCCCTTGAGCGACTTCTTCCTAACTTGCATGGGCCTAGCGTCTCCACAAGACAGCTGTACATACGACTTGTCAGAGTAGAGGTGTTTCGACCGGTCACCGTAGACTGACTAATGTGGAGGCACGGGAGCCTTTCCGACCTTTTTGAATCCCGATTCTTATCACTACAGCCACCATTTGGATGACGCAGCGTCGTGTCTTTACCTCTTTTTAGTACTTGGAAAGATCTTTGGCTACCTGCCGTCACAAGCTTAATGGTCTACAAAGCGTCAGAAGCTTACCGCGTTAATACCAATTTGCATCAGATGTCCATTTAACACGTCCCGACGCAGTTTCCACAAGTGCAAAATCATAAGGTTCCCTAAAGATAGAAAAGGAGATGAAAATTTGTATTGTAAAGTTAAAATTAAAATTTGATTGGGCTCTAAAGTTGGCTTTCTTTGTTAAGATTTCATATTATGTATTTACTACTACGTATTTACTACTACTACTACTACTACTACTTTTCACTTCTAGGGATTTAAATGCAACATTCGAATACATTGTTTTCCATTGTTATATGATAATAAGTTATCTAAAATCGTAAATATGTATGTAATGTAGATCATTTATTTTGCAAGTCTAACACGATATGAAATCAGAATACATAATAGAAGCAAGTACAATTATTTTCATGAGTAAATAAAGATTGCTACATACGTAAGTTCCAATGCGCTTCTATGACAAAACGATTTTACCAATACCAAATAGCAATAATAATATATCACAATCACTGACAACATTATCTACCTAGTACATATTACATTCTCTTACAGAATATATTATTTAGGTTTTTATTCGAAATAAATTGTAATAAACAAGTTAAAAACAGAAACAATCAAAGGGGAAAAACATAATAATATACATTACAGAAAAATACCAAGTAAAAACGAACGAAGATAATGACAGGTGCCACAAAAGACAATAATCTATACAAATAAATAAAAATTGAAGTGTATATTTGTAATGTCAAAGTAATAGGTTTTTTCATATTCACACGGTTATATTGCACGATAGCTATGCCTAAAAACCAGTTTAAATATTTTTTGTCTGTCTGTCTGTTTGTTCCGGGTAATCTTCTAAGCGGCTGGACCGATCTTGATGATATTTTACTACCAGATAGCTATCTATAAAAGGAGTAACTAGTGCTATTTTTCCTCAGAAAAACAATATAAAATTTTGCAAAGGTCAAGAAATCGAACTGAGTCGCGGGTACCAGCTAGTATAGAATATAATTGAAGGTGCAAACACGATATCATGCCAGAAATGCATAACGATTTTCGCAAACCTAAAGGATCGGTATAGAATGAAACTTCGAGCTCGAGCTTCAGCGACGAGTATTTCTCCCTGACGAAATTGTTAAAACTTGTTTAGGATCTTGAGATCAACTTACCTGAAGACAAACTATTCTTAGAATCCCGGTCTCAGTACGAGCATGGCATCAAATGGACTACCTCAATGAATGGAAGCGACATGCAGGCATATTATTAAACTATAGAGTCGGAAACTAGTTTTGTTGAATACCATTAGTGTTTCTGTTTTAAGCGCTTCCACCAGCGGCTTATGAGTCAGCACAATAACTATCGGAACAGGTACTGGCTATTTAGCGCTACCATCTGCAAAAATGAGAGGATACACTCTGACACACTGTACAGCTTTATTATCTCTTCTGATTCGCAAATTTTAAGTTTAGCTAACGACACCCCACAAGAAACATGTGTTGATAAAGTCGCGGAGAGAGAAATAAAATACAGTGAAAGACTCGTATACTCCAAAATACTACTTGTACTTTGGAGTATATGATTCTGAATACATGTTTGTAAACTACCAAATTAGAAAATGTTTGTCCTGTTTACATTACAAAGAGAGACCGAAGTTTGTAGAAACCACAGGGTTTATCTTAGCAATTATGGAGGATCTTATTGTGGTGCAAACCATCGGAGATGTATCGATGTGTGGATCCGAAGACTTAGCGTTCGATGGCTGGATTTGATATGGCGGACGTTTTTCTTGACATAGATGTGGTGTCATGTAACCTTAAGCTTGTTTGGTTAAAATACTATATTGGGTGCAGTGTACCTGATTGCACCGCCGTTCTACAATTTTCTATTTTAAACTAAAATAGTTTTTATATCAATTTTATATGAATTCAAGGTCTATGAACCTATAAGTAATAACCCCTTGATAGCGATTTATTTAACGCATACGCTTTTTTTTCAGGTTTAAAATTTATAGTTAAGCTTTGCGGGGACCAAGGACTTTCAGAGACCACCGCATGGAGCCGTGAATTGCAACGCGCTCAAGCTCGGATAAAACAGAAGGAACAAGGTTGAGTATCTCTTCTGGTGTCTAGAAATTTTATAAACAGCTGGTTTAGGAGAGAAAAAGAGGAGATCAAAACAAAAATATTATTATCTACATAATTTAAATTATTTTAAGTCTAATTGTCACGACGTCATTCTATTTATCACATCACTCACGGTTTTATACTCCTAAAGGAAAAGAAAAACAGTTTCATTACTGCTACTATAAACAAAACTATGAAAAATAAAATCAGCTGGTTTCATTCTCTGCAAGTCCAACTGGACTTCAGAATAGAATATAATTTGCAGTAGATACGTTGACATAAAGGTAAATGCGCACAACAATTATGCAACCATGACTTTTTTCCATTGCTGGTAACATGACTGTACAGTACAGAAACATTGTTGCAGACACGTTCAGAATAGAAATTAACTTGTGTTGTTGTAGGAAAGTAACTTAAAACCACAGAACAGATAATACAGTATTGTCAGTTCTGTACTTAAATATAATTTGTGTCCTTTTTTTTTCCTACTGGTAGGAATACATCATCAACAGCCTATAGTAGTCCACTGCTGGACATAGGCCTCTCCTTAGAAAGGAGGTTTTGGCATAATATACCACGCTGGCCAGACGGGTTGGTATAGGGTTTGGGGTGCTAGCTAGAAAACCTCCCCGTGGTGCACCCTGGAAACGCTGGCGATGGTACTGTTTCCTCCTTGTCCTCTTGGAGGAGAGGATTATCGCCAGCGGCTAATATTCTAGCAGAAGAGGTAGCCGTTCATCGGCTCTCGGGCAAGGCCTGGTCCAGCAGGGTGGGCGTGTCTGCCGGTTGCCCTGCTGGCTCTTCGCTCTTCGGAGCATGGAGGAGGAAACCTCGGTAAAAAACCGGATGGCGGGGCCCTGTTTTGGCCACAGTTTCTCCGCTGACAGCGGTGGAGAAAGGAGGACGGGCTCGGCGTGTACTAACACTACCACCGAGCAGGCAGGGGGACGTAGTCTCCCTGTCAACCGTCGGCATATCGTAATCCCGAGAAGAGCGCTGTGGTTAAGTCTCGCGGCTCTGATCGGGGGCGAGGGTCTTGGCTTAACCGCCCGGACCGCGAGGAAGATAACCTCTCTAAAAAATTCCCCGAATCCCGTGTTCTGGTGCGTGGCCAGGGGATGCATGGCTGATGGGAAGTTCAGTCTCGAGCGCACTCCAAGCCGAGGTACCTGCGGACCCCTCGGTTGGGTTAAAAACTTACGCTTGCCCGGGTAATGGGGGATCTCTGCCCGGGTGGACCTTTAGTTCTCCCCCACTCGTGGGATTTATTATGGATAATGATAACCAAAACCTAAGAAAAACGATCGGAAAACCAACCAAAACAAAAAAGGCAAGTCAAACGGACACGGCAACGAGGAAGGAGAAGAGGAACAGTGGAGTGGGACGTGGAAACCGACACGTCCCAGGAGATGATGCCACCAAAGGTGGCAAGCAGCCGCCGAGGGAGGGCACGCAAAAGGGCCCCGGTCTCGACTCCGTCAGGCTCCGCGTTCTCAAACGCGGAGTCGTACAGAAGCGTACGGGTGGACGGCGAGGCCGTAGCGGAGGAGGAGATCGCGGATCTCCTGCTCAAGGTTCGGGAGCCGGTGGGGGGAAATGCCCCCCAGACTCCCGTGTCCGTGCAGGAGAGGGCGAAAGCGGCGGTGGCCGTCATCCACAAGGTGGCCACCAAGGCCGTGAACCATAAGGGCTCGTTTGTGAGGGCCCTTAAGGACTCCTCCTCCGCTTTGTCGGAGGTCGTGGAGGGCCTAGTGGGCGACGTTTCGCGCCTACAGGTAGCCAACGAGAGGCTGACGGAGCGGGTGAACGAGCTGAGTGCTCAGTTCGCCCGCTTCCAGGCGAACCTCCCCGAGCGGGAAGCCCCGTCCGCGTCCCAGCCTGCCCCTACCACCAACTCAGGGGCATTTGACTCCCAACTGCGGGAAATCCTCATCGCAGTTGGGAATATGCTGGATGGACGCCTGGCTGGCCTGGAGGCGAGACTGCCCCCTGCGCCGATTGTGCGCCCCCCGCTCGCGTCAGCACAGCGGCCTAAGGCCGCCGCTCCGACTGCGCTCCCCGTGGTGGGAGGCCGCGTTTCCTACTCGGCGGCGGCGTCTGCCCCTACTCCATCGGCTCCCCAAAAGCCGAGGAGGGGGGGCCAAGGCACCGGCCCAGGCGCCGGCCAAGGCACCGGCTAAGGCGCCGGCCAAGGCACATCCCGACCATAGGGTACGACTGGGCCCTTCGCGCCGATTTCCCCCCCGGGCTGGGTGTAATCTGTTACGCAGACGATACCCTGGTGACAGCCCGGGGGGCAAACTTCCAAGAGGCGGCGCGCCTGGCCACAGGGGGAGTCTCCCTGGTGGTCGGGCGCATTGAGGCGCTGGGCTTACGGGTGGCCCTAGATAAGACGGAGGCCCTGTTATTTCATGGGCCCCGTCGTGGTCCACCCCCTGGCGCCTCAATCGTGGTCAACTCGGTCCTCGTACCGGTTCGGGCCCAGATGAAATATCTGGGCCTGATCCTCGACGGGAGGTGGCTCTTCGACGAGCACTTCCGACAGCTTGCTCCAAAGCTGGTCGGCGCTGCGTCTGCCCTAGGGCGACTTTTGCCCAATATGGGTGGACCCAGCGTCGCGACAAGACGGCTGTACACGGGGGTTGTCCGGTCAATGGCACTGTACGGTGCACCGGTGTGGGCGGCGGCTCTGACCGCCCAGAATAGGGTACGCCTCTGGCGCCCTCAGAGGGTAATGGCGGTCAAAGCCATACGCGGTTACCGCACCGTTTCGACGGAGGTGGCATGCGCGTTGGCCGGAACTCCCCCGTGGGATTTGGAGGCGGAAGTGCTCGCCGAAGTTTATCGGCGAGTGGCTGACTCCCGGGCGGAGAGCGGATTTCGCCCTCCGCCCGAGGATGTGCGCGAGTGGCGCGAAGCCGCTCGCCGAGCCACGATGGCTCGTTGGTCGTTCCGGCCGGAGACTCCACGCGCTGGCTTCGCCGCCGTGGAGGCTCTCCAGCCGGTCATCGCCGAGTGCGCAGGGCGGCAGCACGGGACCCTTTCCTTCCGGCTCACGTAGGTGCTTTCCAGGCACGGTTGCTTCGGAAAGTACCTGCACTCGGTCGCTAGGAGGGAACTGAGTCCCGCCTGCCACCACTGCGACTGCAGTGAGGACTCGGCCCAGCACACGCTGGCGGTCTGCCCCGCATGGGCGGCGCAGCGCCGGGCCCTCACTGCAGTCATCGGAGTGGATCTCTCGCTACCGGCCGTAGTACGCTCCATGGCCGGTAGCGACAGTTGTTTTACCGCGGTCGCAACCTTCTGCGAGGTAGTAATCTCGCGGAAGGAGGCGGCGGAGAGGGCCCGGGAGGACGACCTCAACTCGGACCCGATCCGCCGCCGGCGAACCGGGCGGCGGAGGCCCGCCTATCACAGCCTCATGCCGCCCTGAGTGTGGCCGCGGGTGGACGGGGTGGGTTTCCCCTCCACCCGCATTAGTTTGGCCAGCCGCGAGGGGGCGGCGTCCGCGTGTGCCGGACGTCGCCTAAAGAGAGGAAAAATATTGAGACGGAGCCCGCACCAGGAGCGGGCTGGCGCTAGGAGGGGTCCGGATGTCTTAACAACAGCTGTTCCCGGATCCCTCCTGTTACAGGCGCAGAGTGGCACACCGTGTGGTTTTAGTCGGTCCGAGTCCGACACACCACCCCGCCGCAAACCCCGGAGGGGTGACGGTCCGAGGGGATTTCCACACGTTAAAAAAAAAAAGGGGTTTGTGTCAAGTTTTCCTTCTCTTTGCAGTGCTGTTGTCCTACGTAGTTTGCTCCGTTAGTCGGCTCTTACGACACCCACAGGATGAATGGGGGTGGTGACATTCCGTATTCATAATCCGTCACCACACGGAACACTTCACCTTCCTCTAATATCATAATGTTGGTCTACTAAAGAGTAAATTGACCTTACGTCAAGGTAAACAGCCCCATTGGAAATGTAGGTACAATGGCAAAAAGTACTTGTGAAACTGCGGGGACCGACTGGCTTATAATATAACGTTTGTTACAGTATCTGTTGCGTCAGCCGGAAGCCTCTCGTCGGGGACTAGTCAATCACCAATAGATCAAATTAGAGGTAATATTATAATGTATTAAAATAACTGTTTGACCTCTTAATTAAATTAACTACTATATAATTTTAATATTTTATTTTGCATCATTGTTATTCTAATTAGTAATATCATCATAAACATGTTTTGCGGCGTGCGGATTTAAAAAAAAAAACAACTGAATAATTCATTAACCAAATGTAGTACGCTGTTTCACAACCATCAAATTTTAACTAACATTTATACTTTTAAATCTCTTTCGTATAAAAATAAATGTTATAAAATAATTTGTATCTTAGGTAGTGGTCGTGCGGACAGCGCTACAACAGTGCCTTTGACAGCGGGATCTCGGCGCTCTAGCGATGCACGCGGTGACAGCGCATCAACACGACCTTACGTGTATGTCTCAAATATATTTCGTTTATTTACTTTTAGACTAATCTTAACATTCCTCGCTATCAGTCTGGAAACGACGGATTAAAACAAGTTACAAGAAACAAGTCAAATCAGGCTACTTACCGTTTGACGTAATAACGTCAAAAAGAGCTTAAGTTACCTACCGAACTATGAAGTGATGAAAATATTAAATATACATATTTTATAGGTATATAACTGGTCTTAACATTCTAGAACTTATCAGAAAATTATTGTATGTATTAAAACAATATTTCAAGATTGAACATTAAGTACCTACTTAGGTTTTATTTGCAGCTTTATATCTAAGAAAACACCTTATGTGGCATTTGTAAGATGGGAACGGCACTGAATATTGAATTAATTTTACATTATGAGAAATGACCTTCAGGTGTTAGCTTACTCACACATTCGCTTTTAAAATGAAATTTAAAAACACCATAAATTATGTAAATTATGGTTAAAGTCACCTTGTGTAGTAAAATAAAATTAAAACTACATATAAATATGTACATATTATTAAAATCTCTTTTCTTTTTTTCTTTTATTAAGACTCTTAATTTATACTTATTCTTATCAATAAAATATTATATTTACAGCTTCTAACTTAGGTATATAGGTATAGTACACAGGTATAGACGGGTATAGTCGGACATTTTAATTTTAAATAACCGCACTGATCAAGATTAAACTTACATTTCATACCAACGTCATAACTATACTATTGATCTGCTTAGTTAAATGAATTATTTACGTCACAAATGACATGTTTTTTTACAATTTACTTCGTGGATTTGTTTGTATCGTACTTTGACGTCACACACGCTACTGCGCACCAGACGTCCAAAGTAAAACCTCAGACTACGTGACCGCGAGGTCAATCTGAATATTTATTCATTCATTCATTCATTAATCGATTTTATCTACGCATTTGTGTATTTATTTTTCATTTGTGTTAACGAAGTAAAATACAATTAATGTGTACAAACGCGAAAATATATTAGTTACAAATCTTTTTCTTTATAAAAATACAGTTTTTTTAAACTAATGTTGTGTCTAATAAGATACACATAAGTTTAAAAGAGACATATTTACTTAACCGAATACGAGTATGTTTTATTGTTATATTATTAAGGCGTTAGTTGAGACGTAAGTTGTACCTACCATACTCTTTGTAAAACGGTGTACAAATAAAGAGTTTTCTACCTATCTTAGGCATATTATTATTAGTCTTTTTTTTATTATTTTCTAGTTATACAGGAACAAATGCTCAAGAGGGTTTGCAGCCAGTCAACCGGTCTATTGTTCGATCAGAAACAAAGAAGAAATACGTCGAAGATTTTGATGACGATTTGCCTCTACCTCCCGAGTAAATATTAAATACAATAGGTATGTAGGTATCTATTATTCTTCTAAGATTTGTAATTTTGCAAATTATTTAAATAAAGGAATACGTACCGAATTACAATCTGTTTTATTAACTGTAGGCTCACGTCATGGAAAAGGCATGCCAGTATAAATGACCCTAATGAAATACGTATTGGTACAGAACTTTCTATGTTTGTTTTTCTTTTGAGTCAACTTATTTCATATTGTGCATATTACTTTTTATATAGTGCATATAATGTGCAAATTAAGAGTTATCAATTGATGTATATGAATTCTCTAATGCAAATTCAAACTAACATTGCATGCCAACAACACATTGCCCTAATTACCTTACTGCTTTCTTCAGACATTTTAGTGGATCGGAATAAATTCAAATGTCAAGAATTTTGGGCTAATCATAACTATATATAGGAACTTATACATATAACTTCGTATTAAGAAGTTCGGTCCTTAAATTCTATAGGTATTCTAATTCTAGCTTAACCTGTTCGGACACAGATGACAATGTCACAGCTATATTCCTGATTTCTGTTACATTTTACAACTAATAATTGTGTTGAAGCATGACAGTTGTTGGTTTATAAATCTATCCATAATGAACAATTCACGATAATTAATACAGCGCTATTGTTAATTAGATAATAGATAACATCGCATGCGATGGCATGACAACATTGAAATATGCACAAGTTTTATTTCTCAACTTATTAAGGTATTTCTCGTCCAATTTTCGAGGAAGTTCTTGCTGTAGGTACTTACATTTATTAGATACTAGCTTTTGCTCGCGACTCCGCCTGTGTGTATGTCGGTTTTCGCGATAAAAAGTTGCCTATGTTACTCGCTGATAATGTAGCTTACCATTTGTGAATTGTTAAAATCGGCTTATTGGTTCGTAAGCTTGAAAACGTAACAAACAAACAAACTAGCTTTCACTATTATAACATAAAAAATCCGCCAGTGGTGGATTTTGAGTAACTTTCTTTTAGAAAACAGGAGTTGTCCAAATTTCAGGTTCGCTTCTCTTGCCTTGCATGCCAGAGGCAGTTTTATGGAGTACCCGCCAGCCCCGGTTGAATATTATTGAACGCTCACTCTTTTCTTGGCATAACGCTGTTTCTCGTTAACCTCGTGCCTTTATCTCGTTACTTACGTGACCAGTTGTCCCACGACGGGTAAGTGGTTTGTAAAAAAGGTATTTGTTTCTTAGCGGTCGTATGGTGAAGGTAACCGATTGGTGGGGAAAAGGTCTGCCCCGGACCGCTACTTCTGTCCAAATGACCTCCGAACGTATCTAGTAATAGGAAACTTATTTGCTGTTTTGGTAGTAGGGTTTTGTAATGGTAGGCTACTCCTACTTCTCCTACTTTATAGGCGTGGAAACATCTCAGGTCGTCACCCCATCATGGTTTGTGTCGGAATCGAACCGACTAAAACCACACGGTGTGCTACTCTGCGCCTGAAATAGGAGGCTACGCCTGGATTAAGTAAAGTCATGAATTTCTTACGTACTTATAGCTTTTATTTATTGTACAGGTGTCATAAATAAATCAAAATTATATGTTTAAAAAAAATATATAAATATATAAAAGTATTAATTATTCATACAGATTCTTACCTTAGACTAGAAAAAAACGAACTTTGCCAAAGAGGACACATTAGATATAATTTATCCATTTAAATTTTAAATTATACTTTTCAACTCTGACATTGTGTCATTAAATAGCATATATCTTACATAAACAGGTCCAACTATCATAAGTAGCTTAAGTTCACTATAAACATTAGTTTGAATTATCTAATCACTATCATCTTATTTCTCTCTCACACATCACTCACTCTTTAGGGTTAAATAACAATATAAATATAAATATATGTATACCTTCATATATTTCATTAAAGGTATTGCATGTCTGTAATATTTATATTTTATTAATGAACCGAACAATCTTGAATTAATTAAATTTAAGACTTTTTACTCAAGTCAAGCTTTGTGAGCTGCGTAATATTTACTTACGTTTTTTCGATAGGTAGGTACTTGAACTTATAGGTATTTTTAATTTTAATCCTCTACGTTTGTTGTTGTTGTTTGTTTAATGGCTACGATACACGTGAGCCCATGGTACACGTAGGAAAATTTTCAATTTGGAGTAAGTATATCTACATCAAAAGGTTTTTTGTTTCATAAAGACCCTTCGTGGATTTATTTTGCACCCATCTCCCTCCCGTCGTACAACACTGCTGCCATTACCTCTAATTACATCATGTTGGCGAGCATTTACAATTGTAAGATAATTTACATAATTTTAACATAATCATATTATCCATTAACTTGAACTTGACTTTTTGCATAAGACTACAACATATTTACCAAAATGGTTATATTAAATCATTCATAAGTATGTTGTATGTTTCATCTCAATATCTAATTCTAGTAATTCGCATTAACCTAGCTACTTTCATATTATTACATACCTACTATAGTTTGTTTGTTTATCATTATTTATTTAAAAGTTAACGGTAATCGTGGGCTATATTTACATTCTCGTCGTTAGGCAACTTCTGTAGAAACAAATTAAATATTTTGAATTATAAATATGAAATATATATAACTTAGCTGAACCTGCAAACGTGGTTTTGCTATTATTAAAAACATTTTTTTTTGAATTTCTTAAAATCCGTTCTTAGCTGACCTCTACTCGGTGAAAAGAATATTCCTACCAAATTTCAAGTCTTTAGCTCTAATGGTTCCAGAGATATCGTGATGAGTGATTATATACGTGGAAATCTCTTATATACATAGATAGATAAAGAAACCTCATTTTTGAGTAAAATAACAAATACATTCGTTTATATTTCAACAGGATTGTATTCACACGGAAGTCAAGTGAATCATTTTAAGAGCGAAGTCGAGATGAATAGAATTAAATTAAACTGTTCGCATAGGTGACAACCAAGGTTCTGTTTAATATAAACACTGACACACGGCAAGTCCACCTGTCGGAATTGTTTTATAATGTACAAAATATGTAATTATAATTACGTTGTGTTCAATAAAACAGTGTTCCCTACAAATATGTAAAGGGAAAAGTTTTATTAAACACAGAAATATGAAAAATTGTACGTACAACCATGATGAAAAAGTTAGTCAGTTTTCCACCATGGTAAATGTGTAAGTTGTATTCTTCATTAAGGAGAAACTTGTAGATTTGTGACTAATAAAATACAATTACAATCCGACAATTTTGTAAATAAGTGTCATATTTGTAGTTTTATGACAAGTGCTGTTTAATAAACCTTACAATTATGTAAGAATTTCACAAGTAAAACATTACAAACAACATTGCAAATATTACCATTATACGAGTAAATGCTGTTTAATAAACATTTACATGTGCAAAAAACGCCTGTAGATTTCGATGAAAATATTGTATCTACAAATTTGTAATTGTAAGTTAGAAGATTCTTAGATTGAGTAGATTTCTAAAATCGGAATCGTTTTACAATTTACAAAATGTGTAGATTTGTCATTACAATGTTTCTTATAAATAGGTAAATTGACACTTGTAAAGAGAAAATGTTTATTAAACAGAAATATGTAAAATTGCACATAACATTTTACAATTTTGACAGTTTCCACCATGGTAAATTTTTAAGTTGTATTCTTTGTTAAACAGAAACTTGTAACGTTTATTAAGGCCTGTTCAATTCAATTATTGTATTCAATTCAATTATGGTATTCAATTCAATATAGTACTATTCTACAGAGACACTCACTTGCAATACATTCTGCAGTGACCCTGGATTTTGAAGTACGTCACATTAAGTGAAATAATATCTATTACGTCCTCTGAAAGATAATAGATAAAATTAATTAATAAATAAAACGTCCATGTGCCATACTGATATTGATGATAACAACACACTTAGGCGATTTTTCCAAATGCGCAATACTTCGTACATTCTTCGCCCCTCCTTCGAATTTAACCTTTACTTATCGGTAACGTTATCATTTAAATAATATAAGTTATTTATCGTCCACACTTTAGGCACAGAAAGTTTTCTGATTATATGTTTACACACTGTTTCTGATATGTCAATTCATCGTCTTTAGATATTAAAACTAAGAGTCAAATGTTCCATATGTAGGACACACACTATAGCTTTCGCTGCACTATCACTATGAAATGACCTTCGCGAAGGGATGCTCTAAATGTCCATACTGTATGGCCAACAACGTGTCCTTGACCCGTTGAAATACTGGCTGAGATTGTTTCATAGTCGGTATATTAATATCATGGTCCAAAAATCCGACCCTGCTTATGGGGCTGATCACTACCGCTGTACCAGCACCGAACATCTCCAACAGCTGAAAAAGTTAAAACGATTAAAAATGCTGCAATGAAATGGATCTAAACACTAATATTTTTAGATAATGGACTGTGCCCTTGGTAAAATGAACGTAATAAAAATCTTATTAAAAAACACGACGTTAAAGTTGAAAAAACCGAATGAATTTGGTGCTTAAAGTTAATTGTAATGTGTAATGGTCATTAAGTATTCTTCAGTGATGTGTTTATATCAACGGTGTGTTTAATTTGAATCACAAACGCTGATGATTTTGCATACCGAACCAACAATTTATAAACTTTATAAACTGTAAAGAAATAACAACTTCATGAAAGACAGTACTGCCTGTAGTTGTTTTTATCAAGGCCTTGTTCGTCATCTGAGAGAATTGATTCTTCTCTCTTCGTCTACTACATGTACATATACCGTACATATTTTTTAACTAATATACATAAATATGTATATTAGTTAAAAAATATATTCGGGTCTAGCGCTACGCCGGCTGCTACGTGGCATGCTCCCTAATCATAATTTTAAATCGGGTGAAATTAATTTATTACCTTGGAAACTTAGATCCATAGAAAAAATATATATTTTTGTTTTTATTTTTAGTATAAAATGTAATAAACATTACTTTGTCGACTGTAATTTTATACCTAGGGCGAGTTAACAAATGACAAATAAATTATAAATAATTCAGAGCAACTAGACACCCGGTGCCGTGTTTTCAAGTGCCGAGATGACGAATAAACATTTTAAAGATTTTTAATTTTTTTCAAGCTTAAAACTAATTTGGAACTTACGCGCCCTTTTTTATTAAGTTCAATAACCCGTTCCATTGTAATAACTTCTTCTTTGACAGTTAAGTCTTCCCATTGGCTAGCGAGTTCGATGATTGATCGACGAGTTACACCAGGCAAGATGAGACCATTCAATGGCGGAGTACTCAGTTGTTTATCTGGAAACATCGTTCTATTTAAAACTTCATACTCTTATTTATTATATATACCTAGTGAATCAACTAACAAATATTAAGATAAATACAGGCAACTACAAAAAAACTGGACTATGCACACGACGGTCGTAAAACGTGACGACACATGATGTTGATAAGAGCGTCTTCCATGATTTATCAGCGCGTTAGTTGCAAATTATTTGTCTGTATCGAAAGCGACGAAAATGTTTTAGCTTTAGTAACTTTATTAATACACGAAGTGAAGGAGCATGAATAAACTGGCAATTTTGGTTCGATGTAAGATAGGTACTGCCTATTTTCTTATATGTAAATAAAAAAAAGATCACCTACTAAGCCGAGAATAATTCATCGTTGCAAAACATACTAACTACCTTTTTTTTTTAATCTATCATTTTTTAAGTGGCAGTATGATAAATAACATGATATTAATAATAGATATTATAGAGGTCAAACTTGTTTATCAATACAAATGTTATCTTTTGAATTAAAAACTGAAGTGATTCCAAAAATTATTTCACTAATCGTATCCTACATTATCTACGATATTTTTTTAAGGCAATCTTGTATCAAAGAATCTAATAATGTAGCTACGCAATACACCGCAGTGCTAGTACAATAGTGCTTTTTTTATTCTGTTGAGTAAAGTCACTAGATCCCCAAATCATCCCGTGTAGTTAAAAAAGAAATTCCATAAAATACCAGAAGTCATATTCCAGTTATTTTTAAAGTGGCAGCAGAAATCTGTTAAATGATTTAGATAAATAGAGAATAAATAAAGAATACGTGTGGTGACGGATTAAGAATACGGAATGTCACCACCCCTATTCATCTTGTGGGTGTCGTAAGAGCCGACTAAGGGAGCAAATTACGCGGGACCACAGCACTGCAAAGAAAAGGAAAACTTGAAACAAACCCTGTACCAACCCGTCTGGTCAGCGTGGTATAGTAGGCCAAAACCTCCTTTCTAAGGAGAGGCCTATGTCCAGCAGTGGACTGTTATAGGCTGCTGATGTGATGATGATGTTGATGAAATAAAGAAGGCACCGCCTAGAAATCTATATATTTAATCCCAACCATAAAATAAAAACTTCTGTAATGGGTCGGCGATTTTCATAGCTACACATTGGTCTGCTGTTTAGAAGTTCTGTCTGTAGTATACTATCAGTAATAAAATTCCATGAGCGTTGTAAATATTTTTCGGTGAGAAAAAGCTAAAGAACGTCAAAGTGATGTTACTGACCCTAATTGTTGCTACAGATATGAGACGAGAATTTACTGGTCAAAAGGTCAGAGTGACAACGGCGTCGATAACAATAATATCAGCCACTTATGCGGATAACCGCACGACTATAATATTTTATTGTAACAGAGAATATAATAATGGAACTACACAACAGATAAAATAATAAGTACACAGAAGGGAGAAAACGTACTTCAATTCCTTTAAATATCAATATATTAGAAGTTAGCGGCAACCACTCAAGTTTTAACATCGCACAATTTATACAAGAACGTAGTATATGTAAACCGAACATTCAATGGTTTTTTGATTTGACTAAACTTGCTGGTGTTTAACTGACATTATATTTAAACCATTGTACTTGACTAAATTTGGAGTAAGAATCTGATATATTCTACTTTCATGTCAGTTTTATACTCATTAGTTAGTAATACTTTAGAACGTCCTGAAAAAATTAGTATCTACCCACACCTGCATAGTCCAAAAAATCATACACGAATTAAGCCTTTTAAATTAAAGTATAATTTGATAGAGTATAAATAGTTACAAACCTCCTTGGTCATTGATATGAACCATGAAAATGTTCATCGCACCAACTTCGGTCAGTTCGTGGTTAGGGCCGAACAACCACAACACTTGCTGGTGGCCTAGTTTAGCTGCCCGTGCCGTAGCCTCTGTAAATATAATCAGCATTTGTACTGACTACTCTGCACTATTCCGGTTAACATAAGTGATAAACTAATATGCATTTCTAAATATTTCTGGATTACACCAGTTCACTCAAAGTGTTTAATGACGTGCAGTTGGAAATAATACGGATTATTAATAGGTGTTTTGTACCTATATATTGGAGCATTACGCATGCACAGCCCAAATATAAAAACATCATTTTAGATTACCTTATCTATTTAGAGAGAGAAAAAATAAGCAGAATTACATAGTTTCTATGTTCATTACTCAATGGGGTATAAAACCAAGAAAAAGTTGTAAAAAAAACATAAAGCCCAATTTTATGAAATGCCGCAGTCTAATTTAAATTGTGCAATCCAGGATCACCAAATTCACTGTGGTCACCGTTAGATAGCGCTAAAATATGATTTTGTTGTCTAGAGATGTCTCTACAATTTAATATTCTAGTGCTCCGTATTCGTCTCGTCTATTATTCAGACGTCAACATCGGGATTACTAATGTAGCTAACAAATATAACTAACTGGTAATACTCACCTATCGTCGGGCCGTAGTTCGATCCAACTTTTCTATTACCGACTCCTCCCGGGAAGGCACGAACGACTGCTGGATCTGCGAATATGGACACGGCTCCATCGCCTCCCGCCTTGTAGTAAGCGCTCACTGGACTCATTATCACGAACAGTAATGCTGATTCAGGTGCCATTATACCAAAGGTAGCCTATTGAAAAAAAACACAAGGTATTACGCAATCAATCAAACCAATCTCATAAGTATAACAGATAAATTATCAAACTCGATACAATAAGTTATAATCAAGTAATCACTTCGCGATGTGATAAAATATACTACAGCTTATAAGTGCATTCACTTTGAGTTGTCAATCGCTTCGCATTTATTTTAAGAAAAATTGTGATAGGTGTTAAGTACGAATAAGTAAGACATAAATTCTAAAAGCTCCCTCTACCGATAATTCATTTTGCTATAGCCAATGAACTCTCTACTCAAAACAATTTTATATTTTTCTCTTACATAACAACTTTAACCAACTAAGCAAATTGCTCGACCGTATACATAGTAATTAAAGTCAAATTTAGAAGTCCGGGCGACCACTTTATTGTTACTTATACCGCCGTAAGTATATAAAAAAAAATTGAGCACTTCTCGAGAGTATAACACGGGATTCTATCTTTCAGGATAATAAAGTCGTTATCCCTGGGGCTGGTGATTGAAAATTTGTGATTCAGTAGTCAAACCTTAAATTCTTATAAAGAAAAGGGTTAAAAATAAATAGACAAGACAACATTACAATCACACACACATAATACAAGACAATAGACAAATCTTAGTCTTGTTTTATGAAGAAACATTATTAGAAGGACAGCTATAAAAAGTCGAATGCATCATTAAGTATTTCAAACGAACGTTTTACTTTTAACAACTCGCAAGAAGTGTAATATTATATCACCATCGATGACCAACGTGATTCTATCACGTATATTGCACCTTTTCTGGAAATGACACCTCAATCGCGAATTCTTAACGTTCTAAACCTTTAGCCGTATGATAAATGTTACCTTGAACTGATATTAGTTGTAGAAATGAAGATAAGGATATTAAAAACATGTAGGTGCGAAATTAGATAATTGATATCAAATGAAAATTCACAACATCATTCCATTATTTATTATAATTTATTAAACAAACATCGCAATAAAATTCAGCCTTTATCTGGTTAAGTTAAAAACAAGTTTCAGTCGTCTACAAATAAAGAATAACAAATGTTAATAATTTTTCGTTGTGTCTTTGAGGGTCAAAATAATTTTGCTAGCAATTTTTGGCGGCATTTAGTTTCACACGTGTATTACTCTTTTTTAACAGGGTTTTAATAATTCAGAAAGATTCCTGTTTTAATAGTTGTAGTTTCATCTGAATGCTTACTGGCAAACTAGGTAGGTACCTAGACAAAATAGGTGTAAACATAGTTGAACTTAGCTTTACGAGTAGAATTAAAGGCAAAATCGTAAGCAATCTTTTTTTATGAGACAGGGAGGCAAACGAGCAGACGGGTCACCTGATGGAAAGTGACTACCGCCGCTCATAATAATGGAACAAGATCCGCCCGTGTGAGATGGCAATGCTGAGACCTATTTTAGATTCCTAGTTTTCCTGATGTAACTAACATTAATAAAAATGACACGAAAACTCAAACACTACAGTGATACTACAGCTATCAGAACAGGAATCTTGTAAGTTTAGGTTTATCCTGTTTTTCTGGTTTTGCAAAATGGCAAGTTTTTCAAGGTTTGTCCAATCCGCCTTCTTGCACGTGGCTCATAGCCAGAACTGCTCATAACGTTGGTATCGACTTCTAGTGACAAAATTCACGTTTTAAAACTTTTGTCATGGCTTTTAATTAAGTAGTTATCATATTTTATACATCAATATAGTTACATAACCATTTATTGTTGTCATTACATGGTAGTTACCTATAATATAATCACTAGGCAAAAATATGTTTTAAATATGTTCTCATAATTCATGATTGACGATTTATAAAAACCATTGGTAATAAATTAATCAATGTTAACAATGAAAGATCAAACCTAAATAGAGGTCCAGGAATATAGTGAAAATATAACGAACGTGAACGTCCAATGAACGTACATATAAAATGGCATGATTGTTTAGATAAGAAAATAGTAAGTGATAACATAATTTTCACGAGGTTATAATCTGGGATCGGCGTTACATTGTTGCCGTTTCGAAGACAACGAAAAAGACTAAGTACTTATCGATGCCCACAGACCACAATAGACACTGATTTCTTTTATTACCTGATTCTTTTATTACATTTAAAAAAATGAAAGCTGTTTATAGTAAGAGCTTTTAGAGCCTTTAAGAGCCTTTTAGAGCTAACTAAATACGCATTACTTTTTACACTTCACATAATTATAATGAGCTACAAAAATTTTGATGCCACCACTATTTGAATCTGGTTGTGTAACTTTTTTATTGTAGAATGTAGATACATGTATTATGTATTTAAATTGTCAACATAACACTTATAACAAAGAGAACACAATAAAACCGAATAGTAACAACATCCACATGTTAACTACAAATTATTCTGCTTTGTCTATTCTGTTTCATGCAGATATTGATTTCAATTACTTGTTACTATAAGACACACTCGAAAACATTACTTTGTCAGCCTTAAGTATGTGTCTTAAGTGTAAAAATATCTGACTACAATGTAACCCACAGTTCAAAAGTATAGTCTTCTATACCTAATAATATTTATAGAAAACAATTATATTCGTAGTGTGGAAAGTAGATCTGATTCTCATTTTGTGTAAGAACTTGGATATTTATAATAAATATTTGTAATATTACTTTCTGAATGAGAGCTTTGTATTTATACATTTATAATGCTCTAAATAATTACAAAAGAGAAAGGTAAATAATAGTATAAAACATTATCTTTCTATGTTTAGCTTAAATTCCTTTTAGCTAAGTTTTGGTAATGTGACAACACAAATATCCAAGTTAGAACTCAAATAACGACCCAACGAGTTTAGTTGAGTCAATTATCTATAGATATTTATAAAAATGTTAAGTTGGTTTGTGTACGCTTCAAAAACTCAAAAAGTTCTGCACCGATTGAACTCAAATTTTAACACGGTATACCCACTTTAATTATTGAAGTGAAAACTTCTTTAGCGGCGTTGTACACTTTTTTTGTAATGGGTAAAAAATGTTAAACTCGCGTCAGGACACGTGACCCTGATCGAAAATTCATAAGACGGATGAAGAGTAGACAGCCGGCTTACGCGAATGTTCGTTTTTCTGAGAGATAAACTTTTTAATATAATATAAATTGTCATGTTTGTGTACGATAGCGCAATAAATAAATATTGTATATAATATATAATTTATGTGGTAGACCACATAAATTATAGTACTTTTATCCTGATAATTAAAGCAATTCGTGCAAAATTATTCCCTAACCATTCCAAAATATCAAAAATGCACAACGTTAATATTCCAGTTTTCACTTCTGCCGGCACTCCCGGAGTGCAACCCGTCGTTTTTTATTTATTTATGTTTCGTATCAGTTTTATACCTCACTTCTTATCAATGCAACCACAGTATGCTACTGCGAAGCGTGACTGGGTATAACTGGTGTATTATACACAGACATAGCCTAACTCAAAACTAGTGTGCAAATATTGTTATCCATCCATCCAACTAATCACGATAGCAAATAGAAGTAAGTATACTTACGGTCATTATCATTAACGTCATATAAAGATTAATTCATCGACAGTACCTTGACCTTGTTCCTTGTGGAGTATTCCACTCAAAACAATTCACATTATTAAACAAATTAATTTTTCAGTAATTCTTACCTCACTTGCTATTAAGGTAGGTCGTATATATAACGTGGAAGTTTCTGAATGCGGCACCCACTCTTGGTCTATTTGTATTAGCCTTGATATACATTGAATAAGTTCGTTCCCATCAAATGTTGGTAATCCAGACCTGGCTGCGGCTAAATTCATCCTTTCCATGTTTAGTTCGGGCCGGAACAATCGTATTTTATCATCCACCCCCCTGTACGCTTTAAGGCCCTCAAATAACTGTAAATAAGTTCATTTATTTATATCGTTCTTATGATATCGGATAAACCGATTACACTAATTAGTGACGTCAAGTAATAAAATAATTCTAGAAATTGTCAACCGTTTGATAGGTTATTTACTGTTTTATATTAGTATAAGTAGCTCAATATTAGATTTTAAATAATATATGAATTCGATGGAGAAATTCTAGTTTAGAAATAGTTAGGACTAGCTTGTGCCCGCGACTTTGTTCGCGTGGAATTTGAAAAGCGCTGCCTTAGTGGGTTTGATTCCCGGACAGGGCAAAATTTTAAAGATTTTTCTGAGAGAAAAAATAGCCTAAGTTGCTCCTTATATAGACAGCTACCTGGTTGTAAAATGTTATCTAAATCTTTCCAGCGGTTTGGAGATTACCCGGAACAAACAGACAGACAGAAAGACAGACAGTCAAAAAATATTTAAACTGGTTTTTAGGCATAGATACCGTGTGAACATGAAAAAAAACCTATTATTTTGACATTACCAACAGACACTTCAATTTTATTTATTTGTATAGATATTTGCATAGATGAGATTCGGTACCTATACGTCAAACTAATATCTATTGGTGAATTTTATTGATCACGATAAACAAAGACTCGACTTTAACTTTTACTTGAGAAATGATAGAATAAATTAATATTTAATTTTCTTTTAATTTATTTGCAAAGCCCTCTATACCAGCTCTATAAGATCTGTTGGTTGAAATAGCCAAATTGAATCAAACGGTGTTTGCAAATCTGACATAGACATAGACACTTACTTGTATTGCATAGTGTAGTGCTTTTGCTGCTGGATGTATGCTTAAATTTTCAAACGGCGTTATTTCTGGTTTTTGCCAACCTCCTAACTGTTTGTGGTAGTTTATTTTCATCATATGGTCTGTGAAATATTTTCCAAAGCCAAGCTCGACCGTTTCAGGCTTTGGTATCAATTGGTATGGAGCTGCCAATCTAACCTGTAAATCTTCACGCTGGAAAATAAACAAATAATATAGTAGCAGAAAAGTATCATTGCTGAGGCGTATTAGACACAACAGATAACCTATAATTTGACCGTGTGGTGACGGATTAAGAATATAGAGTTTCACCACCCTTATTCATGCCATGGGTGTTGTAATAGCCGACAACGTAAGAGTCGACAACGCAAAAGAGCAAATAACGCAGGACAACAGAACTGCAAAGAGAAGGAAAACTTGAAACGCACCCAACCCGTCTGGCCAGCCTAGTATGGTAGGCCAAAACTTCCTTTCACAGGAAAGGAGTATGTCCAGCAGTGGACTGTTATAGGCTGTTGATCATTACGATGATGACAATTTTGTTCACCTCAAGTACCTCAACTAATAGGGGGCCAACCTATTGCCGTCAATCGGATACCTTGGGAATAAAAGATCGAAAAATTGCAAGTAATTTGAAAAAGAGAAGTAGGTAGGAAAGCAAGGTAGTGGAAGACAATGAATAGTTACTGCTTATAACAATATAAGAGAAGTTTAGGCAACAGCTCCAGTTACCAGTACCTGCAACTCAAGCCAAGCGTCGCGTTGGCACGAAGTAGTGAATAATGAATAATGTTAGAGGACTCTCCTCTAAAACAATCTACAATTATTTAGATATGAAACTTGATTCAAGTAAACCGTATAACGGTATGTTACCATACTTATACAATTATTGTTATAGCGTATTTTAAATAATTATTGGAAAATAATAAAAATGAAGTATATTTAATAAATCATCTCTGGGAGGTGAAACATAGTTTGTTTTTAATAATATAATATTGAAAGTAATTATCATATCTTTGTTTGGCAGACGTATCGAATAGTTGTGTAATAAGTATAAAAAACAAATGAACAGTTATGTAAACATTTCATATGCAACAGTATAGTGCAACATCGTCATAGCGACTCGGTCGCAGTTACGTGGTCGCTGGCATGCATGACTCCAGTCAATACATAAATCATGTCGTTAACTCCTGACTGGCAGATAGCAGTTTAGAACTAACTCACATGAGCGTACACAAACAAGATAAAAGTTCGAAACAGATACTGACGATCGTTTTGTTTGAAAACAAGGCGATACTTAGAATATTTACCCGCAATTAAGTACTTATATCTTGAAATTTTTGGTCTCGAATGCTCTAGACTTCTAACGCCTTATACTTAGAATTATCATCACTATAATCCGAAAATATGCAAAAATAAATTTGTTATATAGACATTAATGATATTTTGTAGGTACTTATCTGTTTTGAATCATATTGGGGATAAGAAATTAGTATAGGTTTATGATTAGTTATGATACGAGATTTACGTGAGTTAAGAACAATTAAATAATATCTAATTATTATTTCAGTGCATATTTCAGTAAGGAAAGCGTTTGAACAGTAATATAAAATATAATATCATAAAAAAAGAAGTGAAAGTACACAAGCTAACACGATCTCAAGTTTTTAATCTAGTTTTGTATGATGTAGTACTAGAATATCACTTCTCATTACGTTTTCTCTAAAATTGGTGGCAAAGTTCGGATTTTTTGTAAGACACAGAAGATGTTTTAAAAATATTTTTGTCTCCATTATTTTATACTAGGTAACGAAAAATTATTTTTGTGACGGGGATGCCAACAGTATTGGTACCACGTTAATTTGAAGTCATGTTTTAAAAACCAAACTATATTTCAGAAAATTAGTTACAAACAGAAATGTACTTGCTGTATAGTCATGCTGTTTACTCTAATAAATTACGCATAGCAATTATCACGAAATAAACAAAGGCACGTAATTCTGACTATTAATGATGATGTTCATGTGTGAAAAGAGGACTGATGTTTTCGATATCAAAAAATGAAACGTAAACAAAAATAGGGTGAGCGTATAGATCTTAGATAACATTTATCAATAATTGTTATTTATGACATTAGATTAAATCCGGCGTTGTCAATAATGTATGTTTACCTTGAACGAAATGTCCGGCGTAAGTTGGGGGCGTGGCTTTTCGTCAGGTGTGCTCATGAGTGGCGCCACGTGTTCCTGATGCGCTTGTGTATTTTCTTCTAATACTTTATACCGCAGCGATGAACTACAACACCGTATTGTTTGAAATTTGTGCTGGTTCTCGAAGATCCATTTTACTAGTACCTGAAATATTAATTGCGTTCTGTATTTTACCCTTAAATGTTCCTGAATTACTACATGTCGTGTAATTACATCATCTGTGTACTTTAACAGCGCAGCTAAAGGGATATTTCGAAGCGTTTTATGAAAGGTAAGGGACTGAGTGTTACAAATCTTCTTTTTCTTTAACCATTTCTTTAATTCACCATGCCGTTCCAATACCTATAGCTGTGACTAAAACTTCTAGTTTATATACATATATATGTAAGTGTAGAAATTGAAAATGGATAATCTGAAAACTTGAGACGGTATCACTTTCACAATCTGAGTCTGAAGATCACGAGAACCGTCGTATTGGTATCAAATTCGTAAGCATTTTTTTTTTTTTTTTTTTTACCACATTCACACAACGCCATCTAGTGCGAAACTAAACAGAGCTTGTACTATGGCTACTAGACAACTGATATAAATACATATAATACTTTTTTTTTTAAATACATACTTATTATACATAGAAACACCCAGACCAAATCAAAACATTAAATGTTCATGCACACAAATGTTTGACTTGAGCGGGAGTCGAACCCGCGACCTTTGGAATAGCAGTCCACCTCACAAACCACTACGCCATTCGATCGTCAGATTGTAAGGGCATTGTAAATGCTCTCTTGATCTCATTGCTTATTCGATAAAGCGCAATTCAAGTTGTTTAATAAACATTCATTATTAAGAACAATAGCTATTTCATAGGAGTTCTCCGCAAGTATTTACGCATTTTCTATTCTATTTCCTAATAATTGTTCTCCTGTAGTAAGTAATTTATCAGCATTAAGTTGTTTATTTTGACACACAAGTACTGCATATGTGTACTTTGAATCTAGTTTAAAAAAGAAAATAATTTTCAGCTTATTTTTTGTGTCTAATAGTGAAGTAGATTAATTTTTTTATGATACTTTGTGCGAAAGAATGTTCTTTTTCGATTGGGTATACATATTCTAACAAAGTAACAAGATTTCCATGTGAAGATATTAAATGTGCAGCTGGTGATTTTTAGGTACCAGTCTAGTTTGAAAATATAATTGATGACGAAGTTAATACAATGTTTTTATAAAATTACAATTCATAGCACGTAGTGTCTCTTGGATACCTATTCCACCGTAACTAATGGTACAGTGGCCGTCACGAATCTTAGGCACTAATATCATTTTTCACAATTGCAAATTATTAAAATGTCTACTTTAATAGATTTGTGTCGGTGACAAAGTATGGGGGATACTTTGTCACCGACACACGACACCTTATTTTATTTAAGTCGGTTAAAAGGGACCCTTTTGTCGTATAGTCGGTTAAAGTGCCGCTATGTACCAGAATGTTCGCGCACAATCGTTTTACAGTTTTACCCGCCTCGTCAGTCAAATATCGATCGCGACGCCGAGAGGTTGCGCGCGCGCTTGGCAAACGGTATCCTGACGGAAGTCTCCTGGGCTTACGGTTATGCTTAATACTTGTAACGCTTGGCAATCGCTGTATTTTAATTGTAACTGTTCTATTAGACAATATATTCGTTTCTTAGTAAGATCGCAGTTTCATTGTGTTTCTCTGCTTCGCATGCCTTTTGTTAATACGGTTGGTATAGGTATGAACCAGACCTATAGATTCATTAGTACTTCTACTGGATTAGCAAGAGTTTATGATCTGTAAGTTACCTATGGCAGGGATCATCTGTAAATTTGGTCACACGTTAGGAGGCAAGGAGGGGAATCAAGGAATTATGACACTGTGAAAGCGATTGGGGGGTAACCTAGTCATACGCTTTGTGACGTCACAGGTCTAAATATAAAATATTAAATGAAAAACTTAAAAGATATCGTTTAATTAGACTGCACAGTGTTACAAAACAACGATGTCATATGGTCACGTCCTATACCTGATATCATGATTTTACTATTTGGTATTGCCATTACGATAAATAGTGAACAATAGGATCCTAAACTTTTGAGAAAAATAATATATTTAATGGTTAAAGTCGCAACACTATCAATTTGTCATATAGCTTAAAGTTCAATTAAGTTTTGTTTATGTTTATGTTACTATAAAGTTCGTGGATCTTCACACTCGGCCTCTTGGCAAAAAAGGCAACTCACGTAGCACTTTACATTTCACGGAATAACATATTAACACATAATAATAATTTAATTTGGAACAGATATTACACACCAAGCTTTTGGTTTCACCAGCAAATTTTGCTGAATCTGGCTAAAAAAAATCCTAACTTTCTTAATTCTCTTACCCACAATACTAAAACAAAGAACAATATCAAAGCCTATATTATGTATTAGTTAAAATACTTGATGAACATTTTTAGTTGTTTTAAACTTTACTACAACAAAGAACGAAACAACTAAGTGATAAATGATGATAAATGATATTTATTTCTGTAAGTAAATCTTTTCAGATATTTTTAAAAGTCGGACTTTACAGCTAGAAGAAGCCGGCATTTCCTAACACTAACATAGTTTTAGTTCTACAAAAATTTTTTAATACTTAATTCATGGAATTTGCTTGGCATTTTATTGTAGAAACGCACACCATGACATCGAAAAGACTTGCTTACTTTTTGTAGTCTAGTGATTGGTAACACGAGTTTATCTTTATTTCTAGTTTTTATTTTATGAATGATAATATTGTCTTGACATACACTAAATTTTCATATTGTTATGTATCGAGATGCGACTGTCATGATACCAATTTCGAATTTATTTCTATGACTGATATTATAAATTGCGCGAATAGATCTCTTTTGCAACACAAAGATACTTTGAATGTCAGCAGCATTTTCCCATAACAAAATACCGTATGACATTACACTATGAAAATAGCTAAAATACACTAGTCTAGATGTTTCTACATCGGTTAATTGACGAGGCTTATAAACCACGTATGCTGCAGAGCTAAGTTACACCCAAAAGCTTGGTGGTGTCCATAAGATCCAACTCTTTCCATTTGTCAGAACATTGGTTTTTAACTGCTTTACATTAGTTGTAAAAAGTCTAATACATTTCGTTTTATTCTCGTTTAAAGTAAATTATTAACATTGAACCAGTTCACAACCTTAGAGAGAGTGCTATTCACGTCATCAGCTACTGATTCCTGTTGTTTAAGAGTTTAGTTAAGAGTTGCTAGCATGTTAAATAAAGTCATATATTTTATTTTTGCCAATTTCACACACTAGAATAGATGAGACAATATAAATAAACATTGCGAGAACAAGGAACTACAAAATACTGAATAAAAAATAATAGTAAGTATAATAAATGAAAATTAAACTTCCGAAAATTCAATAACATGAAATACGAATGTATTTTTTTTTCAGATTTGTTACATTAAATATGTTACAGTTTAGTACATTAAATATGTTAATTTGCCGTATTTTGATGATCTTAATTGTAAGGGTTTAAACATTTGTTAAAAGTTTTCTACTGAATTTGTCCACATTAAATTATTATTTTTTAACATTCAGGAACAGAACATTTTTCTGGATAAAAGAAATACTATTTTCTATAGCTCTATAACCTATGTCCAGTAGTGGACTACAAAAGGCTGTTGATGATGATGATGATAGCTCTAGAACGTGTACCTATGCAAAATTTCTTAATGATCTCTGTGATATTTTTCATTTATAAAATAACGTAGTGTGGCTTTTCTCTGATTTTTTTGTAGTATAGCTTTAAACAGATGTTAGCATAATTGCAAATAAAAAGTATAAAAACACAAAAAACATGTTCAAACTATGGTGCATTTATCGTATTCGCTTTTTATTTACTAAGCGCTCAGTAATAAATTAATCAGTATTTAGCAATACTAATGCCATGGCTCTGATACACTTTCGCGGCAAATAGACAACGTGCGACCACACCTACTCTTTAGGGTAAACGTATCAATTATCGGACATAGATATAATATCAAAAACAAATACTAAGAACACGTGAACATGTAATTAGATATGGCGAGAAACTAAATATAGAAATGTTTTAACCAAGATGGGAAATGAGAATCATATCAAAAATAGGATACCTATTTAGAAACTTAATAAAATTTAGTTCGTTATTTACGAAGCCCTTAATATTCTACTGATTTTAGAAATACTGACATATCGTTTTTAACACGTTTTTATTAGCTTGATATGTATATATCATGGAATCTTCGAACGTGATTTTGACCCACTTCAAAACGTCGAATTAAATTGAAATTTTGCAAACTTATCAAGGACCGATAACAATACAATAATTTGATAAATTTGTCCGATTATCCTGATCAGAATCTTCAGGATAACGTGATTAAACAATCATTTTTATGATTAAAAAAGGAAAAATAAATTATAGTTTGAAAACCTACAAACGCACTTTTATAACTAGCCGAACTTAACAGTGGTAAATAATTTTCTATAAGTTCAAAAAAAAAAACATTTTATTGGGGTGTTTTTTAAGATATTTTATAACATAATAACTTTAATTTTACCAATATCTGGCAGTAAAATATTTTTACAATAATTGAGATCTAGCACCCCACGCTTTTTTATGATGAAATGATTTTCTTCTTGACTTTTAATTTCGGCCAGTTACAAAAACGTATTTTTAGGTTTTGTTTTAGATATATTTTATTTTCTGCTATGATATAATATAAGCTCTCTATATCAAATTTTAAACCCAATCTATATGCGTTTCTTTCTTTAAAAACATAATGCGACAGCGTCATCAAATAACCTTCTTTCTAAGGAGAGGCCTATGTCCAGCAGTGGACTATTAAAGACTGTTGATGTGATGTGATGTGTCATCAAGTAAAGGAAACATTGATGGAAGGAATAAAGTGAAAGTGATTTAAATTTTGATTTGATATTTAACAGTGAACAGTTCTTTTACTATTATTTTTTTGATATAATCATTATTTCATAATTATTCATTCATCTACAGGATATTTAGACGTTCATAGATATATATTTATCTATAAAACTATCTACATATATATTTAAATAAAACTCAGGTATCTATCTGTAATTTTGAAATAAGATTTTTTTTGAAGCACATTTGATTATACTTGCTGTATACCAAAGTAAAATATGATTTTTTGTAATGTCAGTCTGTCTGCCTGGACTAATTCCACTAGCCGATTCAAGATATTTCAAACCGTATTTTAGGACATTTTTAAATTTTTAGGGGTGTTAAGTAAAAAAAAACAGAATTCTTGCCGCGATAACATTTCAATTCTGAAATTGCTGAACAAATTTTGTCAGAACTTTCACTAACATATTTAGATTTGCTCAGCTACTTTTTAAATCGAATATATTTATAGTTTTTAACTCAAAAGATATAAACTGTTAAATATAAAAAAAAAACTGTCACACGACGAGTTGCGTAGCATAGATAATAGCGTCAATAAGTCCTATAAATCTACGCATGTATTTTACTTTAAGGACATGTCGTGGTATCTTTATTTTAATGCATTGTTGAAGTGAAAGTGTTTAACTATGACTGGCTATAACTATATAAAATACACATATAAGTACAAAATATTCTTCTTTAACACGGACGGAGTCGGGGGCGTTCGATAGTAAATAATATTGATAAATGGATTGAAACTTGTTTTAATGATGTACCTGTTCTTGTTTTGAATAAAGTTTATTTTTTTTAATTCAAAACTTTGAAGCTTTTCCTTCGAAAAAAAATGGTATAGAAATGAAATTGATAACTACGTTATTTATGGATGGCTCTTAAGTGCTTACCTACTAAATATCAAGTGGGAAGTGTTGCTGTTGGTCAACTTAGCCTTTTCGATATATGTTATTTGCGAGAAAGTACCGATTTAAATTAAACCCTTTTTATTTAAATCAGTAGGTACTTTAAAAAAACGGTACGTAGGTACGGTACGGCAAAACCCTATGAAAGGTATTCTCGAAACTTTATAAACGGTCAAATGCCCTGTCTGTAGGCCGGTGTTTATAGAGTGGTTTTCCAAAGCATGCAATTTATAGATACCGGTTTGTCCTTCATAATTCATAAGGGACATGTCAAGATTATAGGACCGTGTCTTTAAGGCAATAAACGCGTGTTTCAAAATAAGAATCATAATTCCTCGGTACTTTTTCCTTGACGAGAACTTCGATTTTTTTACAACAAAAATAATATGAATCGCTACATAAGGAAAACCGTTATACACCACGATGTAATTTTAGTCTGTCTTTTTTTAAATAATATAGGAACGAGTGTTCCAAGATTCCTGGTCTCACATGTTTCTTTTTATGTACGGTCGTCCTTTCAACTAAGCTTGTATTATTATTATATTGTTTGTATTTATAGTATGTCACTTCGATAGAGTTTAGGCTAAGGTTCGAAACCGCAACTGTGTGTACCTACGTTTACTACAGCTACGCTACTTAAATGTCTAGGCGGTATAAGCCGATTATAAAAATTGTAATACTAAGTTATAAGAAAAGGTTCTTATAACTTCGTATTCAACAAAACCTCTATACCTGTTTCTGTGGGAATGTAATAATTTACCAAAAAAATTTACAATTATTCTTTTGCTTTTTAAAACTAAATTATGGTCCCTCATGTAAATAATTACAATTCCTAATATACCTAAGCTCTACGTTACTTTTTTTAGAGTTTTACACTTATCAAAAAAAGCTAAATTTTATTGGTATTATATTTCCCTAATTATTTAATATATTAAAGGGGCAATTATAAAAAATAATAATATTGATGCACAATGCAAGTTTAACAAATATATTACCTTACTGCGACGAATAGGCATTTTAATCACAGAATATAATCACTTCAAATCCCAAAATTCTTATAATATTAATCACAAATCACTGTTTAATATGCTTTTAAAATACTTTACGAATGTTTGCACTCAGTTCGAAATACTGTCTTCATCCACTACTCGCTTGAAATTAACTGACTTGACTGGATCAAAGCACAAACATTTAAACGTCAGATAAGATACGCTGACCTGCGTATGACGTACTCTATATTCATAATCAGCACGAATTATAAAATAATATATTTGGATAACGCAAGTTTTAATCAAAATAATGATTACACACTGAGAGTTATTCAGAGATAAGGTGTTAACAAGTACAGTAGCAAGCGACACGTTACAAACTGAGGAAGTTCGCTGCGCAGCTCCCTATGCCGTAAGGTCGAGTGAAATGTTTATATTGGGTCACCCCGAGGTTCCACGTTCATACAAATTTAAATGAATATGTTAATACTCTTGGCGAATAAACGCTTATACGCACGACGCTTACTTTACATTAGGAATCATTCTGCATGATAATACAAATTAACAAAAGGCGAAATCATTTAAACTCGAAGTATGGTAATATGGAATACCGATCTATCGAAATATCTCTTGGTTTTTTTTTCAAGATGGTTTATACGTCTAGTGCTGTTTACAACTATCTATGTAAAAAAAAATATTATTATATCTTATTTTACTGTCATATCTGACGAGATTATAATCAGGGGTTTTAAATGTGTATTCATAATGTGATGAACAACTGAACAAAAAAAGGTTTACCTACCTAAGGTACATTTAAACATCAAATCGCAAAAATTATAATAATTCTTTTATTAGTTTTCACATCGATTTAAAAGTAAGACTTACTTTTAATACTAATATCTCTTGCCTTATAAGTTTCTGTGACATTTATTACTCGCAGAACTTACCTATATATTTTTCAAAACAATGTCGAATTTTACTGTGATGTGTCTATAGTCTGATGTATAAAGTTTTAATAATAAAACTCATACATTTCTATTTGCGTTACTATCAACTAAACCATAAATAATTTATTACTAGGTATGTCCTAATATTAAATACAATGAGTATACTTACTTACCGAATATGTTAATAGTAAGCATTTGTTTTTTTAATGTGTACGGCTTACTGTTTACCCATAATTTATAGGCTACGTTTGATACAGGAAAGTAAGAGTTTATAACTGTGTAAGTATATAGAGCATTTCAAGTAAGTATCATAGGGCATTTGAGAAAATTAAGTAAAGTTTTATTTATTGAATTGATCACTGAGTATTTGAATACTTTAGATGTAGCGAATTTAACTTCTAACAAGCGAAATCAACGCTCATTTAAAATGAGCATGATGAAATTCTTGCAAAATATTACAATGAACATTAAGTATTATTTCGGTTCTAATGGGTACCTGCATAAATATAAAGTTTACGTTAGTTTTAAACTTTAATTGGTTTCCTGTCCTTCTGTTTTTGTTCAATTTAGCATTCTGTGAACAGGAAAAAAATAATAACTTTCGAATAGTACGAATTCCGTCACAAGTCGCAACAGAAGCATCACGCAATATTAACGACGTGTTGCGGGAGGTAACAAATGAGCGCATGTTACAGTTACCTTAGTTACGGAGTTAGGTACTATTATCTTATCTGTGCCTCAACGGCCAAATGTAGCTCTTTATTTGAGTCCACTAGATATATAGTGACGACCTTTGATCAAATATACCATTGGTAAATGTACCCTTACAAAAATCACGTCAAATAGTGGCACCAGGTTGTACGGTCATTCACAAAAGTTAATGAAAGACAGATCCTAATTACAAATAAAGTTACTCAAGTAAGGTAGCTAATAACGTTGTGCATAAATAGGATTTAGCCTGCGAGAGAATGATATAGATTACAAGTATACAGTGTTTTCTGTAATTACGTGTCTTTGTGCCTGCATCATTCTCGTGTTTTATTTTTTTGTATTTGCATATTACAATTCGTTGGTTAATTGATGTATGATGTTATGTTAAATATTTAACACATCTGTGCTAATTTGACCAATAATTGTTATTTATAGGAATTGTCTAATTGTCTAAAATGCAATTTATTAACATCATCATCAATATTTGTGTGTATATTATGTAATTTAAAAAATATATATTTATAAAATATAAGTAGGTTAATATAAATATTAGGTCCTTACATATGAAATTGGCGTTTGTACGGGTGGATTATAAAGTCATTTTTTTTGTAAAATATATTTAATTAATCAAAGAATGCACCGTTATTATCTATGCACTTTTGACATGTCATAGGTAGTTCATTGATCCCTTTACTAAAAAAACCATGGGGGCGAGAATCAATAAACTATTTGAAGGCGGTTTGGACTACCGCATCGGAGTTGATTTTTTTTCCTAGTAAAAAGTTGTCCAAATGCCGGAAAAAATGGTAATCTGTTGGGGCAAGGAAAGGGAGTACGGTGGATGTCGCAGACATTCCAATTATAGCTCACCTAACTTAGTGGTTGTTTGTTGTGCAGTGTGTGTTCTTGCGTTGTCGTTAAGCAGCAGTGGCCTAGAGCGATTGACCAATCTCGGTTGTTTAGCAGCTAGTTCTTCCTTCATGGTTTGCAGTTGCTGACAATAGATATCTGCCGTAATCGTTGGGCCATATTTTAGAAAGCTGTAGTGAACAACACCGGCGCTAGTCCACCAAACACTCACAAGTAACTTTTTCTGAGTCAATTTTCGTTTAGGGCAGGATTTGGGTGGGTCTCCAGGGTTCAGCCATTGCGACGAGCGCTTCCGATTATCGTACAGTATCCACTTTTCATGACAAGTAATGATTCGATTTAAAATCCCTTCATTATTGTGTCGGTTGAGCAAAGTAACAAATCAGTCGACGCGTGTTTGCAAGTTCGATTCACACAATTCATGAGGTATCAATCGTTCAAGTTTTTTTACCTTCCCGATTTGCTTCAAGTGGATTAATACAGTTTTATCACTTACCCCGAAGCCTGCAACTATCTCTGAAGTGCTTTGTGATGGATCCGCTTCCACAATAGCCTTTAATTCTTCATTTTCCACTTTGGTCACCGGCCCTCCACGGAGTTGGTTCTGAAGGTCGAAATTTACAGGACGAAAACGTTGAAACCAGAAACGTACCGTGCTTTCTTTTGCGACACCAGCGCCGTACACATCATTAATCCTTCGAGCTGTTTCTGCAGCACTGGTGCCACTCAAGAACTCGTACCTACTCGTAAATATACCGATATTTCATGTTTTCCATAGTTCGGTAATAAGCGACGCCAAAAAAACACCGGTCAGGTACGAGTCGAACTCGTGTGCCGAGGGTTCCGCAAAAATTTGTAAGTACCAAAATTTATCTTAATTTTCAACTTTTTTTATTTTTTGGAATTATTGCCAAATTTCGTGATTCTAGGTCAACGGGAACTACCATAGAGGTTTTCGACCCAAACCTATGGGGTACTTCTGGTTGACCTATAATTGTCAATTTTGGTTAAAAGCAAGGTCTTACAGCACAAGTAAAGAATAAATTCTAAAAAATAAAAAAGTTGAAAATTAAGGTAAATTTTGGTGCTTACAAGTTTTCCCGAAAATCGAAATTTGCCCATATCTTTTTATTGTGTTGACTCAGGACCTTGATTTTTATACACCTAATAGGGACCATAGACCTCAGTATCTGGTATAAATTTCAACTTGCCCTAGGCCTACCCGTTCCTGAGAAAATCTGTGGTGACACACGGACAGACGGACAAGAAAGTGATCTTATAAGGATTCCTTTTTTACCTTTTGAGGTACGGAACCCTAAAAAATGAAGAAAAAGCAAATGAATGACTGTATTCAAAACTCAAATGTACCAGCTAAATGAATTTATAAATTTGAATTTGGAATTCTTAACCAAAGAGAATTTCAGATCAAAGTGGTCAGTACGACGAAACGCTAAACTCATATGTAAAGACAGTGTAAATACAGTGTAAATATTTAATAAAATCTTTTTTCTAAGGTTTCACTTCAGCCGTGTGTGAATTATTGCACACACACTTTTGTTTTGTCTCCCGAACGCCGTCATTTATGACCCGATTTGGATATATTTTTTTTTTATTTGGGAGACTTACTTTCCGTTGGGAAATCATTTAAATTTGAATACCGCTCTAGAAAATTAAGGAATGAACAATACAGTTTGTTACAATTCATCATGACATTAAGAGTAGTATAGAAGTCGGTTGTTATTAATATTTTTCATGTGATTTATTTTGGGCAGGTAGGTACTCGTATATCCATACAGCCATACAGCCTAATCAACTTGAAGCATACCACTAAAGATAATCTTAATGCAAGGTGCATTAAGACTATCTGTTTTGTTTTGATGGACGTCAAATGTTTGACAGGTGGTTCAGTTGTGATTTACTCTGTAGCAACTGTGTGGTTTGCATGGGTGTGTTATTTTACAATTTTTATTTATTTAAATATATTTTATTTACCTTAATACTACTAAATTATTGTTGTTGTCAAAGCTTAAATACTACGGGTTCGACAGTAATGCAGTTAAATGGTTCCATAGCTATCTGTCAGGTCGATGTAAGGATGTGGAACTGCATCTTAATGAAGGGTCGTCAGTAGTTTCAGATTGAGGCCAACTAAATCTAGTCCAGTTCAACCCAAAAAGAAACAGGTCTGTGCGTTCACCGCAAAGAAGATACCACTTAGAGGGTAAGGTCAAATTGGCCTCGAAGAAGCTCGGTTTGCTAAACAGATAGAGGCAGTATTTCACTCCGGCCCACCGCCTTTAGCTCTATAAGGCGCAAGTCCGGCCGCATATGGAATACAGGGGCACCTCAGTACCAGCTTCTCCCTCTGGACCGCATCCAACGAAGAGCGACTCGTCGATAGCCCAAAGATCTCCGATCGGCTCGGCTTGATCCCTTGGCGTTACGTAGAGATGTAGCTTCACTCTGCATTCTCTATCGTATATATCATGGAGAGTGCTCCGAGAAATTGTTCGGATTAGTGCAGGCTGCAACTTTCCGCAATCGTTTCACACCATATCGACAAAATGTTCATCCCCATCACCTGGATAATTGGCGCTCCACCACTGTCTTTTCAAGACACTTTTTGGCTCGCACAACTAATCTGTGGAACAAGTTATCGTGTATTTCCGGACCGATGCTACCTTCAAACCTACAAGAAAAGAGCGTGCTACCTGACGTTGACGCTGACGTTCATGGGCGACGATAGTCACTTTCCATCAGGTGGCCTGTCTGCTCGTCTACCCTCTCTTCCATAAAAAAAAAACATAATGTGTAATTACAGCAAAAGAGGGACATACAAAACCCCTCGAATACAGAGTAGGGTTGTTCCAAGGTTGCTGCTTATCACCAGTAGTATTTAATACAGTTATAAATATATTTAATAGACAATATCGTAACATACGAAAAGAGGTGGGGCTACCCGTTTAAGGTCAATGGAAAACATACGGAATCCATCTTAGCATTCGCAAACGACCTTTCGGGCCTGAGACGCAACCCGAAGCAGTGCCAAGAACTACTGCGTAAGGTGGAAGACTTATGTACCTGGACGGAAGGAATGAGGACAAAACCTAGTAAATGCTATTGCCTTTGTCTGGACCGGCGAGGTACCGGATATGACCCTAGGATTACTATTAGTGGAGAAAGTGTTTCAATAATATCAGAAACCGTGCTATACATTGAAATTCTAATAGCTAATTCAATTTGTCGGACTTTTGCCATAATTAACTATTAGGTCTATTAATACTATCACTTTGCATACACTATCACTTTGCATACAAAGTGATGTCAAAATGTTATATAGGTATATATATGTAGGTATTGATTTTTTTTTTATAAAATTAAAAACATTAAACTTTAAAAAGTTTCCCACTCCTTTAATATTGGTGTTATATTATAAAAAAAAATGTATTATATGAATATTCTGGTGAAACTGCGAATATTATTGTATTTATTTGTCATATAAAAATTTTACATTACAGGTTGAGAAATATTAAATAAGAATTTCTTGCAGTTAGGTAACTAAGTTGTATCCAATGTGTTAATAAAATATCGGATCTTTTAAATAAACATATTATTCTGTCTATCTTTCTGTCGTGTCACTCTTGGCAGAGCTGTCGGATACAGTAAGGTACACGGTATCCTACTGTGGATTTCAACTGCATAAAATTCATAGAAGCGTCACCGCACCATTTGTCAAAATGACATATTTTTTAAATTTTCGAAAAGTATTTTTCAACGTGTGCACTAATAACGTAAATCAGCATTCGTAAACAACCAACTGAAGGACTTATTACTACTTATTAATCGAACAAAAAAAGAGGAGAATCGATATTAATTCTGGTGCTTCTTTATCCAAGTTACATTAGGTGGTAATCTTGGTTACATTATGTGGTTTCTTAATCTTAACAAGCAGGAGACTAAAAACCTATCTTAAGAATACTATATCAGTATATCAGAACCTTATTACTGAGATTTTACCATTAATGTTACATATATGTGCTGTGAGTTAACCTAATAAATAAATAAATAAATACTAATATTCCCTAAAGTATTAATACGTTACTCCTAATCCTATGATGGTGGGATACAACGTCTATTCACAAAGTGTGACATTGACAGGGTTACACGTATGCACCAATAGGAAAGAGAGAAATGATTGTGATAAGTAAGGACTGATACATAATAATCATTTTTAAGAGAGGCACATATAATTTTCAAGAAAATTTAGTAAGTAATCAGTTCCGTCTTTACTTGTGCTTCGCGGTGCCTTCTTGGCTGGTGTCGCCGTTACGTGCTGCGCCGACGACACGCTCGTGACGGCGTGCGGTAAGGCGCACCATGAAAATCTGTCACAAAAACAAAAAGAAAGGTCTGGACGTCTTAATAAAAACTGTTATCGGATATTTTAGGTGCAGTTATACACCGTGTTTTTTTAGTCGGTTCGATTCCAATTCATCGCCCAAGAAAACCCGGTGGAGTAACAGCCCACGGGGGTTTATACACGGAAAAAAGGTGTAGTAAAGGAATGCCAACCAGATTTAAAGTCTATTTATTTCGTTTTACTGTTACTGTGTCAAACAGGGCCCCAAATTCTGGTGTGCCCGGGGGCTTCGGCATGGCCAAAGACGGCCTTGTAAATAATATAATCTTATCACTAATTATTATGATAGATTTAAATGACTTATTAGTAAAAAAAAAAACCTATCATTGCAGTTATCTTCACATAGTATAAAATGATGATTTTTTTCTTGTACGCTTAGATCTTTCAAACTACGCAACGGATTTTAATTCGGTTCTCACCAATAGAGAGATTGATTTAAGAGGTAAATTTATACCTATGTATAATTAGATGCATATTATTGTACTTAGAGAAAATCCGGGAATATAAAACATTTTTTTGTGCGCTTACATTGCAAACGTTGGCTAAAAACTTTACGATATAGATTAAAATAATGTATTACGGAATTATGTATCTTAAAAAGAACTACAAAAAGTCCGCGATTGTATATGTCTATTTCCTAAGGATAACCCACCGTAACCATTTTTTTTCCATATTACAAAAGAAATATGAGTAATTTACGAAACTATTTGTTAACTATTCTATATAAAAAAAAAACACGGCTTGAGGGGTCTATGGACCCTTATGAAGGGTTTGCTCTAGAGGCAACACGGGACCCTCTCATACCGGCTGACGCAGGTGATCACCGGCAAAGGAAGCTTCGGGGATCACCTGTGTCTGATCCGCAAGGAGCCAACGCCTGAGTGTCACCACTGCGATGGCCGGACCGTGGACACGGTGCTCCACATGCTGGCAGAATATCCGGCGTGGGTTGAGCAGAGGCGTGAACTCGTAGCGGCCATCGAAGTGGGAATTCTCTCGTTTAGTAACATGATGAAAGCCTTTTGACGAATATCATTAAAATGAATACTATCAGAGACTTAAAATGCGCCGTCGCCGCGTCGGGCCTTACGCTCGTCTGGGTGGCAGTGGCGGAGCGGTTCTATTAATATTGCATAATAAAGATGTTCTGTTGTATTCCACAAGGATACTACATTAGTATCTAATATTGACATTGCACCCGAGCCAAGCCAGGGCGGATAGCTAGTAACTAATAAAGTTGATGTTAGAATTGAACTCTTGTTGTTAATTAATAATGATAAATGTAAAATCAAAAAATTCAAAGATAATGTTGTAAAACATTTAATAAGTACCTAATTATTATTTGTGTTTACTATCTGTGTATCATTTAAGTAGAAATATTAATAAGTACGTTTATCAGCACTTCGCTTACCATAAGACAGATTCTGCCTAGTTTGGGATCAGACTGCCTTGTGAAATGTGTGCAGTTATTATTATTATCAGAGTTAATGGAACAAGCACAGGTAAGTTCAGAATGGACTATCATTAGTGTTCCGTATATCTCATAGTGTCATCTTTATTTTGAACTACTTTTCATTTAACCATTTAAAGGTTTTTACAAAGTACGGTTAATTCAGTTATAATTTGATCACATTCAGCATTCGGACACACTAACACTAAAACTTTGTATAAATCCTAATAGATGTGTTATGTAAATTCGATTCGTGAAATCGACCTAAAGGCCAATATTATTTTTGATTTCTATTTTTTCGATTCTTTCACAGATTTTAGTTTAAAAGTCTAAGTAGACATATTAATGATCTAAGCCTTAGATCATTAATATGTCTACGTAGAACTGAACTGAAAATACTTATTATCTTTACTGCTTAGAATCTAAGGAGTAAAGATATTCAGTTTTTTTCATAATATACATATTGTTTTATATATATGTAAAACAATATTAGTATAATAGTAAATACTCTTGAAATTAACAGCTACAGCTAATACTGCAATAAAAGTAGTTAAACCACCTCTAGAATAAACAAAAATTAAAAAAACGAATTTAATTTTGTAACTTTTTATCTGCTATTAAACACATATATTAATAATTTATCTACATAGTCAGGGTGTCTAAGGTTTTCTTGATGGAATTTAATAAAATCTGGTGAAAACTGACGGTCATTCCCACACGATCCATTAAAAAGTTAAAATGGACGAGATCGGAAGGATTCCTTTTTATTGCAAAATAACTTTGAAAACCTTATTTGTCAGTTATCTCGCAATATCTCGGAAATAAAGCATTGAAGCGAAAAAAATTAAAACAAAAGTTGTTCAGCTGATGATTTTACGTAGGTATTAAGTATTTTAAAGAGAAACAAGCGCAAAGTTTGAGTGTGCAAATATTTGAGTATTAACATTAACTTTAAGTAAGTCAAATTTCAAATTTTATTTTATTAAATTCCATCCAGAATCAAAGACATGTTTTTTGACCTCTGACACCTGACTAACAATTAAGTAAGTACATCTAGGCTGCAATTAGATTAGTACAAGTCAGGTACACGCAGACATAGCCTCTCTTCATTCTTGGCATGTTTTTTGAGCATATCCATGACCTCATTGTCATACTCTGGTGGTGTAGGCATCTTTTGTACCATCCAGTAAAACAGATCCCATTCATTGCTCGGAGAATTTATAAGACGATCGTACATAATTGTCTGTTTTTCATTGAAGCCGTCTAAGTATTTCGCAGCAAAAGTGCTCAGGAGTAGATCATTTTCCAACATACCTCTTTTACGGGATTGATAAAGAAGTCTGTAAAAAAAAAAATAGTGTCAGTATTCAACTACGAGCATGTTGGGTTATACAACAAAAAGCTATTTAACCTTTATATTGTATGCTAACAGACAAACAAAAACACTGTAAAAATCTCCTACAGATGTCTTTTATTTTATGGCAATGGTGTAAACCGGACCTTGCACATGACGGTGTTCAATATCAATGAATAAATTAAGCACATGTGATGCTTACATTAATGATTATCACCTCAATGTGCTACAAAACATAATCCAGCCACTGAAACTAAATACATAAATATATATCTTCCCTTATATTTTTAATCAACAAGGAGATTTTTTACTTGAACTTTTATATATTATCTAAGCAGTTTATGTGTTTTACCACAAAAACAAAAGCCTGTGTCATAACAGATTCATCTGTTATAATATATGGCATAATTCACTAGAATCTTATAAATAACTGTTAAAGTCTTATGCAGTTTCTTATTATGGCATGGTTAAATAATATTATACCAAATCTTACTGTTGGAACTGTTTTAGGTTTTGGACTTTGGTATGGAGTAGTATGTTGTAACTTGTGTTTTAGTATTATGTGTGTTTTACTATTTACAATCTAATAAAAATAATTATTATATGTTATTAAAAAATGAAAACCTGTTACTATTCTATTCTACTCCAATAGCTAGTAGTCATTTTTTAAATACGTAATTTAAAGTGGTATTATTGAATATTTTATAATGTCAGTCAGCCTTGTAAGTTTGGTCTAGGCAGGAAGCAAACAAATTAACTCCACAACATGTGCAGTAGCAGGGTCATTGCAAGGCTTTACTAGCAGTGTATGAAACGCATGCTGCAACTATCTTAAACCCTTTAAAATTGTCGACCACTCAAATGATGAAAAATGTTTAGAGGCCTTAACACACAGACTGGGTTACAGCACATTAAAATTTTAAGATAATAAATTTGGCCCATAAAGAGACCTAGACGCAAGTGCAAATACTGTTTTGATCGAAAGCAAACTTTTCTTCTTAGTCTCTTATTAAAGTGTGACATTCTATTAAATGCAGCATTTTTTTAAAGCATTTAGTATAGGGATATCAAAAGTCTGCAAAAGTACATTGTTACTTATTGATAGAAAAGGTAATAAATACATAAGTGATATAAATAAACTATATAACTAACACTAACAATAATTTAGTTAATTCAATTTAATAATAATAATATCCAAACCTTGCCTTCCTTTTCTCTAGGCTTTGTGGTTTCTCAAAATCATAACAAGGTATTTCTGTATACACATTAGGTGGGTCTATTGGTTCAGAGTTGCTACTCATATGAGCAACTCTTGGCAATTTTCTTAGTAGGCTGTATGTCTGTAACAAAATAACACAAATTTGATGTTAATTTTGTTATGTTAAATAGATTGGGGCTTAAAGTTCTAATAATAAACAATTCCTGTTAAGTCAAGATTTTACACACTATTTAAACATAATTCAATCTACATTAAAACTATCAACATAGTTAACAGAAAATACTTTGACTTTGAATTTTTGACAGCATAAAAAGTATTCGCGGCTAACATTTTATACTATATGTAAGTTATTTCAGGAGTGTATTATAATGTATCATGAAAAGCTGACTACACTTTGCCGAAGTCTTTTAGAAGAAGAATTTTAGAAAAACAGTGGTTGCTCATGACAAGTACATTAAACCTGAAATAATATCTCAATTATATAATAATGTATGGCATAACAATAAGATTGAGAAATTAAAAATTTTGCTAATCCTTTAAATACTAATATTCGCGTCGTTTTGGTAGCTGTTGTTACTTTCATATCATAATGACCATCCTTTTTACTTACAGCACTGAGGGATTTCAGTGGTCGAAACATTGTCTTAACAATTTCACCAGTTAAATTCACTGGCTCTTTTTCTAGTAGCGATATTACTGCTTTATGAATAAAATTTGTAGAAACTGATAGATATTTTATATAATTTCTGATAAGAAAGAAATAAAAGAAGATCACGCTCAAGGCGCAAAAAAAGTACACAAATTTGGAAACTTGGAAATCCTAAGCGTGACATATGACACTAAAGACATAATAAATTGACAGTTTTGTTTTCCTGTCTTGTTCTGTCATAAAGAAATAAGCGTAGATAGACCACGGGGTACAGCTACCTTAGTAGAAGCGATGCAGACAACGAGAGATATGGATGCCCGATAGTTCCCTCTGTCTCTGTTCAACTATACTGCGATTGGCTATCATGAAGTGGGAATGGTTTTCGTAAAACAGGGGGGAGATTACAAATTTCCCGAGCCAATCACAGAGCTCAACTAGAAAGAGATAGACGGAATTATCTATTATGCATCTCTATCGTTGTCTATATTGCAAGATTGGGGCTCTTGTTCACTTTACGTTTATATCTCTATGTGTCTTGTTATTTTGAGAATAATACGTTCCAATTCAAGCAAAGTTTATTCGAAAACTTTATGAAAACAACATTATAACAAAGAAAAACGTAAACCTGTCATATTATCTTAACTCATAAGGTTCTTCTCTTCTTCTCCTAATTACTGTTTATAAAATATGAAGATATAATATTTTAAGTTCAAAATTTCAATATTAAATTCGATGAAACAAGTAGAGAAGGAACATACATAAATAGTTAAATACTTCGGTTGCTATGGTAACAATGTTATGGTTTTTATCATAATTCCAAGTAACTACTAGAACAATGTTTGTAGGACGTTGCTGGGCCTCTGACTGATTTGGTGAAAATGATAGTTTGAATTAGTTGCCAATCATTTCGGCCATGACGAACATTAGTGTTTTCATTTTTAAAGCCATTGGTAAGTTGTAGTTATAGTGTTATTGTGCCCAGTCTTTATAAATATTAATTTGTTTTCCATTTATTTTACTATTTATTAACATAGTTCTAAGTGACCTTATTTCTCCTCTCCTTCTTTCACTCAAAGATTGACTGATAGTAATTACACCAACTTACCTTTGTACTAAATATGCATAAAATTTAAATAAATTTATAAATCTTCGAAATCGAAATCGGTACCTACCGGCACCAATCTTGAGAGCTGAACTTCACCTACGCAGAAGTCGATTTTTGGGTCCCTTTTGAGGTATGAAGTAGGACGGGGGGCAATTAAATCATAACGTCAGCCAATGATTGCTTCACCGATATTTTCGCTGCTCCTCATTAGTGTTCTCATACTTAAGTACAACGAGTACACCCACGAGCAAATTAATCGGGTCTATCTTTTTTTATTAATATGAATAATTTAATCATTTCTACTTTCGCTAATCATCAATTTATTTTTTTGGTAGTTAAAAATGAGATTTTTATGCAAGTGTATTAGATACTGGAATGTATTCTCTAATATGTACCCATAACACAATACGACGATGAAGAAATGGACACCGTACCAGTATCAGCTTTAAATAAGAAAGTGATTTGATGGAAGCTGTCACTCCTATTTCAATCTAATAATTTTATTAATTATATTAGTTTTAAAACAAAATTAATACTTACGTTTTTTTAAATTAAATTTTTAATAAAAACCTATTTCTATTACCATAGAATCAATAAGAAGTTACTACGTAACGTCTTATGGTTTCGATCTATTTTTATTATATTCTAACTAAGAAAAAATAAATAATTATAATAATAATAATCGTATATATAAAATTGTTATGTTAGTTATCAAACTCCTTCGAAACGGCTTAACCGATTTTAGGGTAGGTCTGAGAATCGGCCAACATTTATTTTTCATACCCCTAAATGAGAAGGGTGACCCACCCCTAATTTTTTTTTTATATTTCCTAGAAATAATGTATATTGCAAAACAACGTTTGCCGGGTCACCTAGTATAATATAAATGAGTGTGCATATTGTTTTGCCACTCTGCCGCCGAGCGCTCAAGATCCGTGCCGAATAACCCATAGAAGGATAGTTTTATGTCAAAAAATCGTCGACTTTGAGGCAAAAACACAATTGATGTAGGCGTAAGTCACTCGTATTTACGCTCGGCGACACGCAAACTAGCGAACAAGTAATGTTGCTCTCTGAATCAGATTTTCCCCAAAAGTATGGTAATTAGAACTGCTACTTTCTTAAGTCCTTAGAGGTTTCTGCCCTCACAAAAAGGGATTTTATTTATTATTTTATGGATGAAAATCTGAAATAAGTAATATATATACTTACATAACGTAACATTAAAAAAGTTGTTCCGACATAGATTACATCTCTTCCACAAATTTATACTGTATGTTTCTAGTCTTAAATAGCTATGATTTTATTAATTACGTAATAAGTAGGTATATTTTAATGATAATATTTGGTTTATAAAGAGTTGCTAAAAACATCAATTAAATAATGGACGACACCTATCCAGTATAACTAAAGAATAGTCTTAAGTGCATCCAATTTGTTTATTCTACCGAAATATAATTACATTTATTTTATTAATACTGGACATTCTGTGTCAAGGCTTCCAATGCAAGTGATTTACATTACCAACCTATACAATAAGCATTTCTTTTTTATTTTAGGACACAATATCAAAATTTATTGTTTTTATTTTACTTTGAAAAATGATTTACATCAAAATATTGAAATAAACGTAATACTTACACGTGGAATGTTATGTTACAATTTTTCTCATGCTTTTCTGATGTACTGTGGCACAAATTGTTATTTTGTACTACAATTACGAAAGCTGTTAGCACTACAATTTGGTAGTTACTTAAATACAATTTTAGTAATTAAGGTTTTTAGGCACTTTAAGAGTACTTCTGCAAGTTTTTCTCTGTCCATATTTTTACAGAGTTTAAACACTAAATTATGGCTGGATGTGCTTTTATGTTTCAGAGAATTATTATAACAGAGCAAGTTTAACTGTTGTCGGGGAATCTGAAGCAGCTATATCTGATTTCATCAATAATGCTCAAATACTGATTCTTCACTGCTTTATTAGTAATGATAATGTTGCTTGTCATACTAAGGTACATTTTTTATTTTATGCTAGATATGTCTTTATTTTCATAACTTAAGCAAGGTAAAACAGTCATTATTCATCTTCATCATCAACAGCCTTCAATAGTCCACTGCTCGACATAGGCCTCTCCTTAGAAAGGAGGTTTTGGCCTACTATACCACGCTGGCTAGACGTGTTAGGACAAAAGCGCTTCGTTATGTTTTTAATTTATATTCAACTATACCAATTATTTACATGCCGTGCAGTGAGAAAGTAAAAATAATAGTATCTCTTCATGACGTGTTTAACAGCTAGGTCTCGAAGTAGAAGTCCTACCTAGGGGTATAAGTTGGCTATCAGGGATTTCCTTCCTAGGACACACCTGGTTCCCCGGCAACTGGTACCCGAGACGGCAGTTTTTGGTCGGTTCGAGTCCGACATAACCACTGGTGGGTGGTATCCGAGGGGATTCGCACAGAAAAAAAGGGGTATAAGTTGACATGCCCTGAACAAGATAACAATGAATAAAGAAGAAGAAAAAAGAAGTTTATTTTAATGGCATTGCAATACAATCACAATATTATTGTACAGAACATATATAGTATTGTAACACGTTACGAATTAGAATATAATATAGTAAAACACAGTGATAATTAACATATTTGCTAATAAAATTATAACAATTTATAAAAATTTCTATATATTTTCACACAAAACACAAAAGCATGGTATATAGGTACAAAAGATATTTGCTGTACAATTGCGTCGCAGTGTTCATTAAAAGGAGATGTTGCTCAGCATAATGCTGCACCATTACGATACAGCGCTGATTTTCAGCAACACCTCGATACAGATATGTGCGTCCAAATATTTAAATTTATGTTTCGAAATAATAATGGTAAACAGCACGAAGCTTTTTGAAAAATTAAAAAGGATTAGCAGAGTATTGCAGACAATTAATAACTGTTGTACACGAAAAATAAATGTACATGTCACTGAAGAGTTAATTACTTAGCGATTTAAAATTAGGATTCTATTTGTTGGTTTAATATATATTTTTTTAACTTAGCCTTAAATGTAAAAGTCGTTCTAAGTTCTCGCATTGGTGGAGGCAAGTCATTCCAACATTTTGTGGCCGCGTATTTAAAACTTCCCTTAAACGCTGTTCTGCGATGACTAGGTACATTCAAGATGTGAACTGACGACCTAATGGGATAAGTGTGACTATCTTGTGTTTATTAAATAAATATTAAGGCATCTTTCTCTTTATTATTACAAATAGCAGGGTGGCAAAGTGTAATTTTCTTCGGGGTGCCATTTTGGGGAGGCGTCACATGGGTCCTACGCGGTATATCGAAACAAAATCGCGCACATGTATTTTGGTCATACACTACGTCATGGTCCATACACTACGTCACTATAATTAAGTTTTGATAGCGCCAGTGTTTCAGCCAGGTTCCTACGCAAATCAGTGCTGAGAAATTGCCGTATTCTGTGCAAAATTTTAAGTCATTAAAAGCAATTACTCATTACGTTGTTAACATGAGTTTTAAAATGCAGCTTCGGAACCATGATTAATCCCAGTTTGCGAGCCTCGAACACTCTATCCATTAATTTGCCCTCAATGCTATTCTTTAATCAACTTTTATAAATTTTAGATACAGACAGTTGTAAACAAATCTATAGTCTTTTTTAAAATTACTGCTGATGATTTATTAAAAGAAGACTCTATCAACAATATTAACATTTTGACTCTATCGAGTAATGCAGCAGAATCGTTGTATCAAATTTGGAGACAGATTTACACTCCTCTATTGGTTATGGTGAGAAAATTTGAATATTTATGATAAAAAATACAATGGTTTGTGCTCAAGGCAGAGAGAGAGAGAATTTTTACATTTCTCTAATTAAATGATAACATCTTCAAGCAAGTTGCTGATGACGTTGTTAAAGTCATAATACACACCCAATAAAAATATTTTTAAAGGCATTAAGTTCTTTTCCAAATTGGCTTAAAAATCAAGTCTGTTACGAGCCTTCATAGTACTGGCTTTCACAGCACTTGTATATTTAGCAGTTTCAGTTTCAGTCCACATCTGTACATGAGTCTCGTTATCAAAAACAACGTAACGTATCATTGAATAATGTAGCCTACCTTTAAAATTGTTTTTGGTGGCAACCTTTAATGTATCGGATGGGATTGAGTTAGAGCCATTACATTTAAGAAATTAGATTTCACGTTTTGTTTCAGGGAAATGATTTATTTTCCAATAAACTACAGAAAAACATTACAGATTTGGAATCCAATTTAAGAGTTTTAGCACATGGGAAAGGAAGTAGCAACATCAATGGTCAGTATTGGTCCCGGTTACAAAATAGGAAGTGAACTTCTACAATTCGTGTTTGAAAATACTTTGCGTTTTTCTAGTGATTTTATCAATTGAGGATGAATTAAAATATTGGAGGACAATAGGAGACAAGAATGATTCTAACAAAAAGGAACAAGAGGCGGCATCTACTTTCTGTGAACTATTTGAAGATGTCATCGAAGAAATCAGGTGAACGTTATGCTTATATTGAAAGTTTCAATGATACATTTGTTGTGTTTTAAAGTAAATGCCCTAATAATTGAAACATTGTTGCATTCGAACAGTTAAAAAAAACAGTTAGGTACCTCCAGTTACGTTACTTTGAAGTCACTTTTTGCTAACTTTTCCTCTGGGCTCTCAAAACTCTGGACAAGCAAATTAATGTATCAAACTGTGATTAGTACGCTTTAGTGTGCTTTTGCGTAAATATTTTGTAACGTCCTGGTTTGCTGAAAAAGGCAACTAATGCTTTGATTTTTCTTAACTTTCGTCGGCCCGTTCAAAACAGTACACCACCTGGGTATGACAACTGTGGACAAGTGTTCATTACTTGTCACAATATGTTTTTTGACATATTTGTAGTCTCATATTTTTGTATTTCTGGAATCCACTTTTTTATTTTAAATCGGTAGTTTGAAAAAGTTTTAGTATGCCTTACGTCCATATTTCCACGATTGACGAAGCGACCTACCCAAGTCTAGCACTTAAAAGAAGTCTTAATACGGGTGTTAAGAAAACTGGTATTATGATTCAAAACTAAATTAATGCTTTTATTATCAACACGTCCTGTTTCACATGTTGGTTACATGTTTCATTTAACTGATAAACTATTTATGATTTTATGGTGCGATTCTAAAGAAATAGTTTTATTTGCCAAAATGATGCATTAAGAGAGAAAGAGAGAGAGAGAGAGATCTGCGCATGTTCTACCTACTATACTGCAATTTATATAGGCACATAGATGTTGGTAGGTGCATAAGCCATGTCAGATCGATCGGTTTTCTGTGCAGCACAAGAATTGATTTGGTTTTTCGGGTAATTTATAATCACAATAATTTATAAATGGCTCGCTGCAGTGCGTAAAAATTACAATCAAGCCGAGAAGTAGGTTGAATTATGATGCAATTAAAATAAATCAACTGACGCGGTAATAAGAGTTCTTACTTACAGTTCCATTGTTTTAAGAGCCGGAGACTTTATTAAACAACATTACACTTTGATCTTTATCACAGAATGATCCAGTCTAGCACAATTGATGAAGTTAGAGAATCAGTTGAGAATATTGGCGGCATTCTTGATGATGTGTGGCGTTTCACCACTTTACCGTTCAAACAAGACAGGATGGTGCATGTGTTCGATATTATTGGTATGTTTGTACTAACATGTAAAGAAACTTATACAGAAATAATATGTGCTGGTGTTGGTAATTTATCTATTTTTAGAGTTTTGAAATCCTAACAAGGAATCATTGTAGTCCGTCAGATCGTTCGCGGCTTAGCTTAAAAACTGCTAGTAATGGAAAGTTTTAAGTTTTCTTTGGATATTATTAATCAAGAGAATAAAATTGTAAAATAAGATTAAATAAAAAAAAAGGTTTTTCAGGGTATGTTAGTAAGACCCGTTATGAAGGATTGGCTCGAGAGGCATCATGAGACCCTGTCATACCGACTGACGGAGATCACCTGTGTCTGATCCGCAAGTAGCCAACGCCTGAGTACCACCCCTGTTGTGCCCGAACCATGGACGTGGCGCTCTACACGTTGGCAGAACGCCCGGCGAAGGTGGAGCAGATGCGTGACCTCGTGGCGGCCATCGGAGTGGAAAATCTCTCACTTGGTACCATGATTGCGACCATGGTACGGAGCGAGAGCGTGTGGAATTCCGCCGTCTCCTTCTACGAGCAACTTGTGCCTGCGAAGGAGACGGTGGAGCATGAGTTGCTCGCAGTTCTAAACCTCTCCCGGTCCGCCAGGCCCGGGGCAAGGTGTCGCAGACAGCTCAGGCCCCGGAGGTCGCAGAACGACCTCCGTCCTTTATAAGCGTAGGACTGGAGGTGACAGGTGAGGCCATCTCTCGTGGTCACATTGAGACGTCCACGCCGACGGCAGAGGCGGACACAACCTTTCGTACAATCGCCCGCCATCTCTTCCTCTTGGCAGACTGTCGGATAAAGTCAGACACGCGGCCTTCCATTGCGGATCTTACCTGGTCGGTCCAGCGCATAGGTTGGCACCTATTCGCTGGACTGACCAGGTGCCGCTTCATCTGGTTCTCTCCACCTTTACCTGCACTACCAGTCGCTGTATGGAGTCGCTATTCCACTTAAATACAAGGCCAAAATACTGCAGTATGCGCGACTTGACTGGGGTTGAGAGACGCTCTGTGACGCAGACCTCATGGAGTATGGACACATTAGTGCGAAGTCCGTTCACGATATCCCGAGCATTTTCCTCCAGCAACACATTATAGATAAAATATGTAGGTACTTAAAAAAAAAATACGATGCAGTTGTTACTTATTGAAAATACGTAATAATCTGCAACACGCACTTGACTGGTTTTTTTTAATTTTCACTCGTAATTCGAAATAGGATATTTATAAGGACGCTTTAAAAGAATAAACCAATGCCATTTTTGCTTAGATATTCTTTATTTACCTTAGACGTACAGGAATCATTAATGTTAAATCGATTTTAGGAGCGCTTTAGGTGCCATCTGGTATAACATAGGTACTTTTTATTTATATTAGAAATTTATTGCACTATTTTTAGGTTACACAGTATGCAATACAATTCAAAATAAGATTTCCGAACTCAATCTTTGGAAGGTCCAAGAACAAGGGAAGGAAAGTGAATTGCTAATGTTTTTATCAGAGGGATTAAAAGTGCTTCAGACATGGCAAACTGCTTGTGTATCTTTGACAGAGACTTACTGGCCTAACTACGCCTTACACTCGTGGAATGGGAACCCTTATGTCCCACCGTTTTGTGTGAACTTTCAAAAAAGGCTCAAAGAGGTAAGTTTAATATTAAATATACCGACTCATATCGTTATTAAATTTTCTGAAGTTTTTCGTAATCATAGTTAATTACAAATAGGTCATGATTACGTACTAAATAAGGCTACTAAAGGTTTATGAACGGTTTCAACGGCGCGGCGCCGGCACCACTACTACCACCTGCTACGAGTCAGCCGATGCTATTTTGTACCGTCCTCGATAGAAGATAGTGTTTCCGCAAGCAATAAAAAGTATACAAACTATAATAACAATTGCAAAGAACCAAAAAATATGAAATACCTTACGTTAGAAAAAAACAATTATTAGGTACATAGTGTTTGAAATAGTAATACACTAGCTTTGTCCCGCGGCTCTGGCCGCGTTTATGTCGGTAATTGCTATAAAAAGTAGCCTATGTCTTTCCTCAAGAATCAAAGTATAACCTTACCAAAGTTCATCTAAAGCTTCAGTGGTTTAAGCGTGAAGAGATAACAGACAGACAGACAAGCAGGCGTGGGTCGCATATCAGTATGAATTAGAGAAAGCTGTGTTTGCTTATAATTATTGATGTACATTTAGAACATGTGCAAATATCCAACTATTTATTTAGTGTTGTACACGTGTAGATGTACAAATACTTGTAACAAACTAACAAACTGTAATTATGTAGTTACATTTGTTGTACACATTTAACAACTTAAACCTAATAAATTACTGTATTGTAATTATTGAAGAGTAAACGTTATCCACCTGAACTGAATGTCACGTTAAAATGTAGATAAACTTCAACATGCTGAGATAAGTGCAGTGTTCCTGTGTACTTTGGTTAACATCATTTAACAGTATAATATTCTCTTTACAGGTTTACGACATCAGATCCATTTACAGCCAGTTGAATAAGTTGCTATCCAGTCATGAGAGATCGGAACTAAAAACTGAGACATTTTTTACACCATTTGAGAGTAAATTAATTTGACATACCTACCCTCTTAGTTTTAGGAGAGTTATGACTTAGAATCTGCCGTGTAAGCCTTTATTAAGAAATGGCATCGTACAGTAATTCCATTAGAGATCAAATTCAAAAGTGTAATATTGTTTAACAACACCAGCCACTTGCCACGTCGTGTCGTGACGATGCCGGAGACGAATTTTGCTATTGTATCCTTGTGTAGGATGCGATGATAGTTGTGAATGAGCCAGAAATTACTACAAAGTAGCGAAAATTGAAACCATCAATTAGTGTGCTTTTATATGTGTTCTACGTACAATTTTTTAGAAACACCTAAAGTGCATTTCTGAGCTTATAGGAAAATGATTTGCCATTATTATTGATCGCAATCAACGGTTGAAGAAAGCGCATCGTCATAAACAAACATTAATGATAATTTTATACCAAGAAAGTGAATCGTATTACGATAATAATTACACTAGTTTACATGAGTTTTGTTCATGAAATGGAATATATACGGTTACGTTACTTTTGAAATCTACATCTCGGAAAAAATATTTATAAAAATCCAGCATGTCAGTTTTTGAAATATTTATTAAGAAGATTATTACAAAAAAACTACCTAAATAAACAATAGCCAGTTAAAAATGAGTAATTTTTGCTCTTTTTTAGAAATATTTTCATCTTTATCTCTCACAACATACCAACAATAGTCTCCTAGCATATTTTGGCCCTAAAAACCTTAATAATTTTGCTCATATGATTTTAAATGTTGGTCAAATCGCTCACCGTGTTCATCACTCACACTACTAAGATTTTCTGGAAAAAAATCTAAATGGGAATGCAAAAAATGAATTTTAGTGACATATTCACACCCATACACCTCATAATTTTGCAATAGATTTTCAACAATCTCTTTATAATCATCACTTTTTTGTTGCCTAAAAAATATTAATCGACACCTATGAAAGAGTTCCAGGCCGCTTTTTCTACCTCGGTTAAAAGGCTCTCGAATTTGGTATCATCCAATATTCGCCTGATTTGAGGAACCACAAATATTAATTTCTTTAATTTAGCTAATTTAGCAAAAAGGAACGGAAATACGGAGCAGAGGTATTGAAATGCAGGCTTGGACCTATACTTAGCTTTGGTAAAATTTTTCATCAAGCCCAACTTAAAGTGAAGCGGTGGTAATATTATTTTTTTGGGTCAACTAAACATATATTTTTTACGTTCATCTTACTTTTTTTTTTTTTTTTTTCCGTGCGGAAATCCCCTCGGATACCACCTGTCGGTGGCATGTCGGACACGAACCGACTAAAACCGCACGCCGTCTCGGGTACTAATAGCCGGGGAACCAGGTATACCCTAGAAAGGAAGTCCCTGGTGACGTTCATCTTACCTGGAACATATTGATTTCGTACAGACCAAATTTTTCTTTTATAATGATCCTGTTTTGCATGGATCCTGTTTGGCATAAAAAACAACAGTACTTGTCACTTCTGCCAGGTGGTGTGGGAACTGGTTAATCCTCTGAATGAAGGGCCGGCTTAGTCACTGATGGAACGTCTGCATATTTTATACTATCTTTATTTATTGTGTTAAAACCAAAAGTTTTTGATAAGCTAAAGTAACAATCGGTTATTCGGTTATGTGGTAGCTCTCCATATCATTGGTCTACCGAATTTTAGTGATCTAGTTTTACCTGAATACCATGAGCTGAGGAGCAATCTGCAATTAGTGCAAATCACATGAGGAACCCAATTATTATCTTGATTTGTCAATTTTGAATCACACAGTTGTTTGTAAAATTGAACGATAAACGTATTTAAACAATTACGGGAGATACAAAATAAAGACCTCTATATCTCAAAATTGTGACGTGCTACGGAAAATAAAAAAAATATTTTTATAACCACCGTTCATAGCCTACACAAATAACATACATATGTTTCATTTCATGAACAAACAAAAATATTTTCTTTGTAAACTAGTGTTATTAAAGCATCTATTTTTATTTGGGTTAAATGCGATTGCATAATTAATAAAAATTTTAGGTTGTAGAAATACATAATAATTAAATAAACACATAGCTAGGTACATGTTAATTAAATACTAAATTAATAAAGGTGGCAGCCCGGGTCGTAACCTTATCTCTATAATTATTTTATTTTATGATTATTTGCGAAAAATTTGTATTTTGCTTATAGATATAAATATTTGGATTTGTAACGGTCCTAACGCAGCTTGGGAGACAGCCACTTTAAAGTTCTTTACTAGTTTACGACCAGCCGAAACAAAAGTAGCTGAAAAACTTAAGCCACGTTTACATGACATTTCGACTAAACAGGTAAGGGCTCTTTTATTTAAACATGCGACTAATTTTTAATCATATTTCGAGTGAATATTGAGTGATGCTGCAAGTTAATGATTTTGTATTGTTTATAAATGACAAAAAAAAAATGAATGATCTAGTCTTTTACTCGTACTCACCTTTGAACAGTAAGGAAAAGGTAGAAATGTATAAGGTATTATAATCCGGTAACTAAAGGACTCGTTCCAAGCCTGTATCGAACTCTGAATATTGTTTTTTAGATTGCTAGTTTGACAATTTGGCCAATACAGCCGCTTATTACATCATACTAACATTCTTCAGTCACTGCCTGTATAATACCTATACGTTTTGAGTGTATTGTTGACATTTTATTACATTTCTCATTCGATATTCGCCTGTTCAAAACATGGATTTATTTTATACACGGAGAGTAAATTCTACAACAGTACAATAGCACTTAAATGACTGAACTTTTTGTCATAGCCTTCAACATTAAATTCAATTATTTCTTGCTCGTAATCCTATCGGAGGAGATGTATGCATCAGTAATTCTGACCGTTAAATGAAATAACTGCCTAGTGTAGACACACCAATGCCTACAGATCGTTCATATTTTGAACTGCACTGGCTTGTCAGACGACTAAATCTAGGAAATTTATTCCAACTGAAAGCTATCACCACTCTCCAAGCAAACTTTTTGACTAACTTCACTGGAACTTTTTGTGTACCTTTTTTATGTGATATCCTTTAATAATTCTTTTTTAATTAAAATGGTTGGTTCCATTTGAATTTCTTGTACCTAAGTATATTTCTAAGGGGGAACATTTAAATGGATGGGATGAAAAATGAAAAACTACAATTTATCGTTATAATTTGATTTAGTTTAGTAATAATAAAATATAATATTTAATATAATATAATATTTTCACACATTTCACACACGGCCGCCTGATCCCAAACTAGGCAGAGCCTGTACTGTGGTAACCAGACTGCTGATAAACACACTTATATATTCCTAAATACATACATATTATAGATAAATTACACCTTTGGTAGTTTAAATACTTTACTTTAAGTACGCTATACGTGGCTAATAATTGTTTTGATACCCTTTTAGATGCTCTATGAATTTATAAGATATAGTGCACTAATAGAACGCCCTCTGGTGAAACAAGCTTTAAACAATGAACTGGAGATATTTGTGACGTCTCTCATCTCCATGCTGAAGAGTCTTCAGAGCCAAATGGACTCCGATGATATGGAAGGCGAGATGTATCAACCTGCAGAAATGTCGCCTGTTGTTCATCAGGTCCAATGGGCTAAGCAAATGGAAGCGAAAGTAATTTATGTTACGAAAGTTATTAATGTTTGTGAATGGATAAAGTGAGACAATATAAGTAAACAATTTACGTATATTGTCTCACTTTGAAGCTGATTCGGTTACTGTGTAACCGGCATGCTTTGTCATGGCGCGTAAACATAAAAAAATAAAGAGTATAATTTAAATAACTACATTAAAAACGAAAGTAAATCCATAATTGCATATACCTATAGATTTTTTGAGCCAGGAGCCTCCGCGTGCGTTACCCAGAATATCTTCATTTAAATATTTCAGGTTAAAGAAATTCAAACATGTGTAGAGCAACATTTAAAAGAGTTTAAAGGAAGTGGAGAGCTATTGAGCCTTGCTGGCAAAGTTTTGAAAGATCTCAAAAATTTGTATACTCAACTACACGAAGAGTGGTGCCGAGATTTACAGGTAATTTGCAAAGTTAAACTATCTGCTGTTGACGTGGAAAACTTTATTGATATTTCTTCGTGTTGAATATTCTTTTTGTAAAATGAATATTTATTATATTTGGCTTTGAATTAAAAATCATTTGATGTCTTAGATAATAGGTTACTTTGAATGTGAAAAGTATTATTGGTTGACAGAAAGATGTAGATATTCGGGATAAGTGTGTTTTTAAAGAGGATTTAATAGTGACGAAAATTGGAAAGGAGAAGTATAGGTGCTTTAAGTATACAAGGCGATCGTGAAATGGCCGTTAGAGATCGACCACTTGCAACATACCCAAATCAAATTGATGATGTTGGTGATTCTGAAGAAAGAGCATGTCCTTAACCGGCTGGCTTGTATGAAAGATTGAATGACAGTAAGCAAAAACCAGTGACAGGCTATTGCCTCAGCTTACCCCCTTATCCCGAAGAAGTAGGGCCTAACTTATATGTGATTGATTGATGATTGCCAGGCTCAAGCTAAAAACGGTTCTTTACAAATATCAGCTGATAAACCGGTAGTAGAATTCAGTAGCAGCACTCGCATGATGGTGGTGAACTTCAACCCTGGTTTAGTGCGAGCTGAGCTGGAGGCGCGAGTGCTAGCCGCGCTAGGCCTGCCACCTCCACCCGCGGCCGCCGCTCTTCACGATCTTACCAATGCACTTGCACACGCAAGACCTTTACATCAGGTAAGTATCTAATTTTTTAAAACATGATTTTAACACTTTCCGGACTTGTGTAGATACATATTAAATGTGTATAACTTGACCTAACACACAGGGGATCACGATGGGTGTCCCTTCTCGCTTCGGTTGCCTCAATATTGAGGGTCGTGACCGCCTTCTCGTAGCAAGACTTTGCTGTAGATCACTCGACGAATCCCATCCCTATCCGCCGCCGAGTTTTTGATCTGCCAGTCAAGGTAGTAGCGGACCCGATTATTAATGATATACGAGTACAGCAAGCGAGTGTGCGATAATTATCGCATTTTTAGTCGAACCCTTTTTTGTGTAGTGGAAGGATAATTGACTGAGTCCAAGCCTTAGGCCACTCGCCGTTTGCCATATGTGGTTACAGATGTTGTGCAAGGGGTCAACCCCCTTTTCACCCATGGCTTTAAGCATTTCAGCTGTGATTTGATCTGTACCTGGTGCTTTCTTAGTTTTTAGTGATTCGATAGCTGCGATTATCTCTGATCGCAAGATGTTGTGTTCCAGATCCAGACTGGACAAGTTCACGTGAGTATAGTCTGTTGTGTTAGGCATTTTGTATAGTTGTTCACAATAACTTCGCCATCTCTTTGCCATCGTATCGAGCTCGAGCAGCGATTTTCCATCTGCGTCTTAGATGACCCATGATTTGGGCTTAAATTGCCTACTTAGCAAGCGGACTTTCTTAAATAGATCCGAAGTCTGTTGTTTCATAGCGCGAGTTTTCACTTCGCGACAAATGTTACCAATAAAGTTATTCTTTTCAAGGTGGCATTTAATCTTGGGTGTTATTCAGTCGAAATGTCGGTAACAAAAGAGTCCCATATATCGTAGTCCCGTCTTACATATCTAATAAAAATATATAAATACTAATTTATAGTAAGTATCGATATATTTATTAAACTTAAATCATAAATAAATATATTTTTTATTATAGTCTTATTGGAGATGTGAGAGATAGGTGCTAAATACTTGCTTAGGTATCCCGTCCCCAGTAGGCTATTAGCCTGGTTAATAAATCACAGTTTATTAAGGTGTGTCCAACGAGATAGTTGAATTGGCGAGTAATGTCAATGAACATTAAAACTCACAACGTAGCCTAGCATGCCACAAATTAAATTTACATAGGTTAGCAATAACACAGGATTATTTCACATTTTGTCCTTGTAGCTTAAAGAAAAAGATGATTCCAAGCAATTTTTGTTGCTTTTTATGAAATAAAAATAATTGACTATATATATACATTGACTATATTCAAAGGGCACATCAAGAAAGACAGCGCCTTAGGACAGAATTCTGGTTGAGAATTAGTTAACCAGCGCCTTGTAAACAATAGAACGAATAAGAAAGTAAGCATTGCACGCACAAATATTGCAACACCTTCGTCATGTTACTTCCAAAAAATTCTTTCTGCTCTTTTAAGATTTATTTCTTGAGCTTTAATTTTATTTTCCAATTACTTTTTTGTTCATAAACTCTGCAACACTGCTAAACCTGTATCGACTATTAATATCTGTAAAAAGTACATAACAATCATCGACATCATATCGCATAAATCTGATTGGTTAATATCACGTGGCGTCAGATTTAGAAATAATTTAGATTTTTTTTTTGATAGCACATTATGAAATTCTATAATTTAACTCTGATTAATAGACATCGCCTACTAAATACAAAATCAGTACCTATGCTACTCGATGTAACATGTATATTTGCATCGTTTTCTTTTTATACATTTCGAGATCATGATCAAAATGACCTATTTTACCAAATACACAAACAAAACTGTGTGATAATATTTTTTGTTCTTATAACCCACTGATATTTTGAATAATTAATACGACTTCGTTTAGAATAAAAGGCAATAAAGGATAAAATTAAAAAAACCATTCTGCGCTACTAATAAAGGTAACTCAAAGGTTACTAAGCAGTTTTGAAATGGTCTCTTGGTCCAGTTAGTAATTCTGCTTGCTGACCCTTATAAGCAATGAGCATAATAATCTGTTCTGGGTCTAACTTATCCACAGTATGATTGTGTATCTTCTAATACCAACAGTTACATGATTTGAAGGGGAAAGAAGACAAGAATATTTGTAATGTGCGACCGACGTTAATAATGTTAATTTCCGTGACAGGTAGCGTCATTCCACAACACGCTTGGTGAACGTATGATACCCTCGACACGGCCAATGATGCTTCAAGCCGCACTTGACTTGTCTAACTTAGTTCAGGACCAGAAAGCTGTCTACTGGGACGACGTGGAACAACTCGTCAACTATACTAATAAATTGAAAACGATAGTCCTTAAGTTAGAAAATCAGGTAATATTTGTTTTTGTGTTCTGAATCGTGTTGTTTTTCGTCTTTAGGTTTCATAAACAAGTAAAAAAAAAGGAATCTCAGACTCCAAGTTGTGTGTGTGCAATCGCTAGCTCAAACAAAAACATAAAAAACAACATCTGGTATTGTTGAAACACATTACTATTTTTCGTGTAGATAAAATGTGTAAATCGCAATCTTTACACTTTTGTTGTTTTTTTTTATGTTTTAGTGCGACGTCTTAAAATATGTAGATATATGAATATTCGATCAAATTTTTCTTTGATTATTATTTTATGTATTATTAAAATCTCCTGGTTATAATACTCGTTTTACAATCACACTTAATAGTATTATAAATACACTTAGAAATGTCATATGGAAATCTTGACCCTAATCTGCATAGGTACCTGAAACCAGTCTTTCTGTCTTAATATACAAATAGGTTTGTGTGTTTATTTGTACGAGCGTCACACAAAATTTGATAATTTATAAATTTTAAACTATTGATTTCAGAAGTTTCTAATCGATATACCTAAATTATAATTTTTAATATACCTATACATTTAAGCATATATTTTTGTATTTATTATGGCTTATAATTTTCATGCTCTACAAATCAGACATTCTATAACGATCAAATTTAGAGTGATGTACATTTATATTGCTATTATAGGCAGAGATAAAATACGTACTACTCCATCAAGCGTTTTAGACATACGCGTGAAATGCTGCCTCCCCGCCCGCACCTCGCTGCAGGTACCGCGATCGTCTGTGCACCGTCCATTCATATGTTGTTGTTTGTTTTAATTTGTTAAATTTTTGTTACTTATTAAAACTGTTAGTATTTTTTTGTGTGGAAAATGGGTAAAAATAAAACAATACATAGTGGACAGTGAGAAAAAATATTAATTTGAATTCAGCTTAATTTCAGCAGTCCTCACCCCCACCCTGTCCAATGACGTATTTATATATCATTCACATTTTTGTATACAACACTACGCTCTGATAATGATGATTGACACTGCGCCATTTAATCCCAAACTAAGCTGACCTTGTACTATGGTTACTAGACAACGGATAAACATACTTATATACTTTTAATTTATAGATATATACTTTATTATAATACATAGAAGCACCCAGACCTGTAATAATTAAATATCTGTAGATAACGCAAAAAACTAATTTTTATAAAAATATTTTCTCGTGTAATATTCTAATTCTTTATACCAAATGCTTATAGAGATTAGCGCTCACTTGGAACATTCGTTGAACTAATAATAAACAAAGCGCAATACTTAATACGACCGCTTAATACTTTGGGTCATTTTATATAAACCTAAGAAAAAATAACACCTATCGATCATTCGGATTCTTCTGCTATCCGTACCCGAAGTCAATGACGTCACGTTTAAGAGTCGTCTAATTCGCTTGGTCGAGTAGTATAATTATGAAAACATGGGTCTGCCTGTGTTTAATTTTTATAATTTTTGGGCGCGCGCCCCTTCTGGGGCACAAAGGGGACATAGGGGTTCCCCCACAGGGGGGGTCATTTACACGCCGTAGATGGCCGAGGTACGTTGGGAAATTAGGGATTTTCTTTCTAGGGTACACCTAGTTCCCCGGCAACTGGTACCCGAGACGGAGTGCGGTTTTTAGTCGGTTCTAATCCGACATAACCACCGGTGGGTGGTATCCGAGGGGATTTCCGCACAGAAAAAAGAAAAAAAAGGGGTTAATAATTATAATAACATGTTTTACAAAACTGAATCTCACGTGTGTGAAATATGGAATTTGTAGTGTTTTCCTTTGAGATCCGTTAAGCAGGTTGAAGGACAATTCATTTTAGTTCGAATCTTGAATCTCTTGCAATTTTGATTTTTTTATTTTAGAACACTTATCTGACCAGCCAGCATGTAGCTATCAGAAATATTGTTCAAAAACTAATGGATACAGAACTTCTATCTAAACAACCCGAATGGAAGAAGAGTGTTAAAGACATAAGAGACATTATTGATACGGTAAGTACTTATGTGATGTATGCGTTTGTTGGTTTGTTGTTGGGTGCTAAGCGGTCGGCAGGCACTGCGCTTGCCAGAGACTATAAATCTAAAGAAAATATGTTTGTATATTCTTATGAAAAAATTGCTGTATACGAAAATATTCTGTAGTATAATAATTATGTAATATTATTGCCGCATTTGAGAACTTTTTTACTAATATTCCTGTATCACCTACTAAATCTTTGAACTCCTCACCATGCCTTGCAAAATCAATTTTAAAAGGTAATTTTGGTAGGATTGATAGTGCATTTAAGTTCCAAAATGTTTCTCCCAGCCTTTAACACTATTAATATTAAAAAAACAACTGACCATTGGGGGAATTCTGTACTAATTACTAAGACAATTATATGTCAGTTGTCGTTTACATTTAATCAATGTGTTGATAGTGGTGTATTTTCTGATCTTATGAAGTCCAGTAAAATAATTCCCTTATTCAAATTTGCCAGTAACCAACTAACTTTAGGCCTATTCCAGTATTTAGCAAAACTTTTGAAAACATAATGTATGATCAATTACAAAGTTATTTTAATAATAATAATTTATTCCACAATAGACAATTTGGTTTTACAAGGGGTCGCTCCACAACTGATGCCAGTGTTGATCTAGTAAAACATATATTCGATGCCCGGGAAGATGAACGCAATTCTCTGGGTATCTTTTGCGATTCATCTAAAACTTTTGATTGTGTTTTTCATGAAACACTAATCAGGAAATTACAGCACTATGGTATCAAAAAATAAAGCACTAGAACTTCTTGCTTCATATCTGGATAATAGGATTCAGAAAGTTGATATTAATGGTGAGCGGTATCCGGTGGTAGAAATGGGCGTTCCACAAGGTTCTTTTCTCGGCCCTTTTCGATTTTTAGTATATATTAACGACTTACCTCACCTTGTCATGGACAATCTCGAGATTGTGTTTGCAGATGATACATCACTACTATTTAGACTAAAACGGACACTTATTAATTGCACAGACGTAAACAGCGCCATTTCGAAAGTGGTTCATTGGTTCGACGTCAACAATTTGCTTTTAAATGAACAAAAAAACCTAGTACATATATACGTTTCACTATGCCAAACGTCAAGCCAATGAAAACTATTGTGATGATTAAGAATGTCGGGTTGGACCTTGTGGATACTACGACATTTTTAGGTATAACGCAAGCTTCTAAGCTACAGTGGGGCCCACATATTGTTAAATTACTCAGCTCAGCAGCATACCACTACACACATACATACACACATACTACTACTATACATATTACTCGGTTGTGGATTACTTAGAAGACAAAAATACTTGGGAATAATTTAGCGCAGGCTATTTCTTAGGCTCTTTCTTGTGTTATAACCTGTTGGCATTGCTTTGTTTTTAAAAAATCTGTTTACTTTGCTAGAAGCATAATAATTTCTATCACACTTCTCTATGTTGAGATTCGTCTTCCGTAAAAATGAATCAAATGAATTTATCTATAAATCTACTGTTAATCTAAATCAACCTAAAAATGGTGGAGAAGAAAAAAACATATTTACTATTTTTAATTACTTACTTACATATTTTCAGTCTACAAGCAAAATCTGGGCGGAATATATTGAGTAAGCGATAGGGATAGTGTTTGTTTTGGTTTAATAAATATCGTTTGATTATCTATACTCTAAATTTAAGGGCCCTTGTGTAACCCCTGACGGCCCGTTGAAAAATCATTCACAATGGCATTCGTTATAACTATAACGTGTATATTTGTATGTGTCTATATTTGTGTAACCTAAACGAAGAAACTGATTTTAATTTAGTTTATTGTTGGTTAAAAAAGAGATTTAATCAAGTGTAATTAGCAATGCAACAAAATCCTATTTTTCCTAATAATTGTCGGGTATTACACGTTCTTTTTTACTTTTCTTAATGGTTTTTATACATTTACTACCCCTTAAATTTACTTGAACGATATCCAAACATTATTTCACCTAATTATGTATTTTTTCCAGGTGGAATCAAATGGTTATAAAAATACTGAACTGTGGAGATTACACTGGGACTGGCAACTGTATAAGACACTTGAATACCAATACATAAAGACGCTTCTATCTTTACACAGACATTTTCCGCATGTTAAAGTGGATTTGGTACTACGGTAAGTATTCGCACTTCGTTATCAACGTAGTAATACTTGGAGAATTCTTTTCACGCATTTAAAAAAAAGCGTACAGACTAAAAGCAAGTTTGAATTTCTTTAATATATGTAACATATAAACTTTAAGTATACGATGTCAAACTTAGAATACTTAAAGTTAATATGTTTGTAGAATACTGTAGAACATGTAGAACTGTTGCTACTTCACAGACTATCCCCTATAGTGATATCTGTGATAAAAACTGTGAAGTTAAACACTTGACGCTTGGATCGTGATCATAAGTTTAAAGTATTCATATTATGTAATTCGGCTCTCAAAACTTCGGCTAATGATCAGAAATAGGTAGTTAAGTAAAATATGCGCACAGGAGTGCCCAGACAAGTTCTTGATAAATCTTGTGAATGGTTTAATATGGAAAAGTGGTTTGTTCTTGTTATACTTGTTAGACAATGAGCTTGCCCTCACCTTCTCATTTCTATTTCAATCTGATTTAAATTTAAAAGCCAGGTCATCATTACTATCTTGCCCTTTTTCCACAGTTATTTTTATCCTTTTTCCTGTATCACTCATCAGTTAACTTTTTACCCCTATCTAGCCATGTATTTTGCTGAACCCGTATTTTTTTGGTCGTCCTATTGTATCTGTCAACTTCTATAAGTAAAACTTACTTAACCACATTTTGTTTATCTCTCCTATTCACATGTCACCCTAAAATATTCATTGCTCACCTTTTCCATACTAGTCACACTATATATCGTATTCGTATTTCAACCACATGCAGGATTTAGGCATTAAATTTACAGCCATCTGCCCCCTTCAATTAATGCACTGTTATATAGTAAGCTATACCGCAAAGCTTTTTTTTGAGCACAATGGTTGCTCCATACATTCTTATCTAAGTACTTAATGCAAAACCCAAGACCCAAAGATACGTAATCGCGCTATGACGCTTATTGTCATTATCCACAACTGTATTATATATGTGAGAAATATTCAAATGTTGATAATTGTATTCCAAATAAAGCAATAACCGTATAAGGAAGTTATACTGACCCTCTTATCAATTTGTTTTAAGTAAACAACATTCACTTTTATCTTAGTCATGAGAAATATGTTTTTGAAGTCAAGAAATCATAGAATAAAGGGATGGTTCGATTAAAAGAACGATAACTTTGAACATTAATTTTTCAACTGTTTTCACAAAACATAACTTATGATGTTGGGAATCATCCAGAAACTAAGGAGGACATGAAGTTTTAGTTAGTTGCGCTTATTAATATTTAAAATGAATAGTGAAATAGAATTTTGTTAAGTATGTCAATTTTTGTACCACTTTATGGTAATAGAGAACTTCGCGTTCTTTACGCTCTGTAACTACCTTAGGGCGGCGGCGGCGCAGTGTCGTTTCAGAACTCTACATTTTTTACCGTGGGAGAGCCGTGCTTCGGCACAAATGGGCCGGCTCGACCGGAGTGATACCACGGCCTCATAGAAAACCGGTGTCAAGCAATTCTTTCGTTGCCTTTCACTGAGTGAGTGAGGCTACCGGAGCCCAAACCCCCTCTCCCGCTGACTCGAGCGGGAGGGACTCCAAGGGCAGCAACGCACTTGTGACTTTTGAGTTGCAGGTGTCCATGGGCGGCGGTAGTTGCTTACCATCAGGTGACCCGTCTGCTCGTTTGCCCCTTTATACCATAAAAAAAAAGTCATGAGTAGAGATTTTGTAACTGTCTTATTTGACATTTTAACAATTTAGTTTTATGATCATGTTACTGCAACAATATACTGTAATCAAAATATAAAATTGAATATTAATTAAGACAAAACAGACTGAGCAATAACGTAATCAGATAGATGCTACGTGTATCACTTATTTTTATACTTAGGATGATCCATATTTTGCTGACTACGGTAAGTATTTTATTCGTGTGGAAGTATTTGTGTGACACCATTCGATTATATTTATGTATATGTCATATGCATATACGCAACTATGTCGATAACAAACAGGCTTCTATCAGATAATATCTACTAAAAAACAGCGTTGTCTATAAAAACCGCCTTCATTTAGCAACCATCTCAGGCAAAGTCGTTTGAGAAAGGTTCGAACCCCCGCCAATAGTAAGGTTTTATATTATTGTTTTCTTTCTACATACGATGTCAAAATAAATTATTTTACACTTCTTAGTAAATTAATTGTTAAAAATATAAAGTTTATTTTAGTGTTTTTTTCTTGAACTGATTACCAAACACTAAAAGTAAGCAATGTAATAATAACGATGAATGCCGACAAAGCGTCCGTTTTAAAGTTTAATAACAATATACTCAACCGAGTATCTACTACGTAGGTTTTGCTTTTTCTATACTCAATTATCAAATGTATCTTCATTGCTATATTATCATGCACGTTGGCAACCTTGGAAAAACACATCTAATGATTGAGATGAGAAATACTAATCTTCTCAGGTTTAACGTAATTTAGACTTAATAAAAAATAACTAACTTGGTTTTACCGATAAAACCTTTTTATTAAAAAAAAACACTGTTTTCAGTGGTCATGGTGTTCGCGTACAACCAGCTATCGAAGAACTTCGAGTCCAACATTATCATCAGTTACGACGACTGGTATCGATGCCGGCGCAATTTGTAGGCGTACAGCCTAACATAGTGGACACACAGACTATATTTGCAACAATTGTGGACAAGTAAGTAGAACAACTACTTTTTTTATTTATGCTTTCTACAAATACCTACATTGCATAAGGCGAACTTCATGCAAGTTTATTCCTTGTAACAACACCAAGTAACAATACCTGTAAAGCATGTCTCTGATCCACCCAAAGGTTACATGAAAGAAAATGCCTAATGCATAAAGTCCATTATTCATCTACTTGTATTTGTTCTGTATTGGTTTTTGTATACAACGAGTGGAAATCCATTACAGGCATAGTTGGCTAGGCAATAAGGCAGTAAAACAGCTCGAAGCTGCGCTGTCCGCCCTAGAAGCTAGCTGCGAGTCGTGGACACGCCGGGCAGCATTAGCATGCGTACCAGATTTAGACGCACTATGTACCCAACATCTGACAGAACCAGAGCACTGGGAGCTCAACTTTAAAGCGTGTAAAGCATACGGCCAAGCCGTGGCTAAAATGACTTTGTAAGTGTAAATAATATATAATCAATAAAAATATCATTGTTCAACACAACACAATTTCATTCCCCAAGCTTGGATAATAATTAACACTCCACTGCTGTGCACTTTCACAAATCTCTTTGCTTCACACTACCTATCTCTAGAATAATTTGTCACTTACGGTATTTTCGTACCGAAACAAAAAAATAACATGTATAATTTAAATCATCAAAAAAAGCTGTAAAAATGAGAAAAATAAGTAAAAAAATCATTAATAAGAGATTCTCTAGTCGATTAAGAAATAAATCGATTGACCATTTACAACAATAATGTATATATTTTCAGTGAGGACGAAAAGATAGAATGGATATCAGTTGGCACAGCCACGCTTCGGCGTGAGTTCGAAGCTCAAACACGTAGTCTGTGGGCATGCCTCATGTCGTCCCTGATGTCGAGTTGCCGCGCTGACTCTTCAAAGCTAGATGCTTTCGTAGCGTCAGCAACCATTATGCTCGACAACAACGCAATGCCAAAAAATGCAAAGGAATTATCTGAGATGAGCGCGACACAACAAGCTTTGCAACAACAGATGCCCGAGGTGATAGATCTTTTTGAATATAAGATTTAATTAAAATAATTCATTACTCAATAAAATATTTGGAAAACGCAATAAAGAGTGTTTGGCTAACGTCATTATTTCTTCTAATAAAGTGACTGTTTCCATTTAGCCTTATTTTATTAACGTCAATAGTGCAAATGAAAGCCTTTTTAACTTGCAGATGGAAAAGACAGTAGAAGCATTGAAACGAAAAAGCCATATGTTACGTACTTGGGGCGGAGACACCTCGGTCGATGGAACTATGAGGGAATGGAAAAAAATACATGAATTAATGCTAAGTCAACAGAAACTGTTTGAACACCAGGTAAACCAAGTATTTTGTATAAGTTACATCTAACTATGCCTCTCTATATACACTTAATCTTGATAAGATTGAGTGTAGAAAATACTGTGGAATATGGTTTCAGTTTTTTTTTTTTAATTTAATTTAATTAAAACTCACTTTTACACAATAATACGAAATAATTACAAAAAATATCACAGAAGTTGTGTACGGGAAATGTTATTTAGCTATTTATTCGCAAATGCAATTTGCATATTATTCGACTGCACGGATGGCGTAGTGGCTTAACCTGCTACCTCGTCGTTTCCTACTTCGCCGAGTGTTGTGGGTTCGATCCCCACATGGCACAACACTTTGTGTTATCCACAAATTATATTACTGTTCCGAGTCTGGGTGTTCTTTGTGTCCGTTTCGTGTATCCCTGCAAATCCCCTTGCGACCATTGAGTTAAAACAACACTAGAGAAGCAAACCTCATTATCACACGTCGAAAAAAGTGTAACCACTTTTGAACTTTGACGACGTAGCTTTGATACCACTAAACATTTGAAAGTAAACATATTTATGTCTCATTTACACGCGAGACAAGAACAATACCATCGCTCGGATTAGACAAAGACAAAGATATAACTTTACGATGGTGGGCCAGTGTTGACTACCGTATGAAATTTTACCCATAACAACTAAGAAACAATTTTTTTTTTAAACAATTTTGTAATAAAATAAATTAATTTAAATATTCTAAATAATATATTTCGAATTGAATAGAATAGGTATAAATAATAAAATAACTGGAAATATTTGGTTAAAAGGGTTTATATTCAGTGTAAAATCAAACTGCGCTGTGAAGCATCAGTTTTGTATACAATTGTCTTTTAGACTCTTTTTTATAAGTTTGTGTGGATATTTTACTTTCATGATACACTCTTATTTTTACGTATGTAAAAATAATAGCATTTAATAATAAAAGTGAATGATCAACTTGTACTGATAATAAATAATCCCCAGGGTGTATTGCAAATTCTATTATAATTTAAAAAACAAATAAAAAAAAAATATTTTTATTTTTATTTTATAAAAAAAATTATTTATGTTTATTTACTTTTTTATTTTATATTTTTATTTTTATGATAAACATTTATTATTATTCTCTTTATTAAATTTTATATATATATATATTAATTACATTTTTAAATATATTACAAAAGAAATAAAAATACATTTAAAAATATAAAAAATAGTAGACCACCGACATCGGGTACAGGTACCAGGACACCAGTGGTTAGGACTGCAAAGATAGGAACCTCCTCACTATACGAGCCGTGTCAAGGAGGACTGCCTTCTGTATCTTATTATTTTGTACAATTATTGTTTAAAATTGATAATAAATTAAGAAAAACAATGAATTAATTTTTTTGTACAAAAGTCTCCAGCACTGCGAGCTTGGCACTTCTGCCAAGCTCGCAGTGAACGTTCAACGGGTCCCTAAAAAAAGGGATCGGTCCAGCCCTAACAACTACCGTTCTTCCTATATTTTATTATTATTGGCAAAATGTTTAAAAACAGTATAAAGCATATTATTTCATAAATTATAAATTCTCCCACTAATGTGGGAAAACCAAAATGATTTTTTAATGGTAACACTGATTCTAAATTACAATTATCAGTGTTTTATTTCAATTATAGCCTTATTTACGATATTATCAATACAAAAACCATAAACTTACACGTGAAAAGTAATTCCGCATGATTTATTAATGTTTTGTGACCTTGAATCGCATTCTTTCACTACGCATTTAGCCATTTTGGCGATTGTTACTGTCATGTGTCGCTATCATTGAGTTAAAACAACACTAGAGAAGCAAACCTCATTATCACACGTCGAAAAAAGTGTAACCACTTTTGAACTTTGACGACGTAGCTTTGATACCACTAAACATTTGAAAGTAAACATATTTATGTCTCATTTACACGCGAGACAAGAACAATACCATCGCTCGGATTAGACAAAGACAAAGATATAACTTTACGATGGTGGGACAGTGTTGACTACCGTATGAAATTTTACCCATAACAACTAAGAAACAATTTTTTTTAAAAACAATTTTGTAATAAAATAAATTAATTTAAATATTCTAAATAATATATTTCGAATTGAATAGAATAGGTATAAATAATAAAATAACTGGAAATATTTGGTTAAAAGGGTTTATATTCAGTGTAAAATCAAACTGCGCTGTGAAGCATCAGTTTTGTATACAATTGTCTTTTAGACTCTTTTTTATAAGTTTGTATGGATATTTTACTTTCATGATACAATCTTATTTTTACGTATGTAAAAATAATAGCATTTAATAATAAAAGTGAATGATCAACTTGTACTGATAATAAATAATCCCCAGCGTGTATTGCAAATTCTATTATAATTTAAAAAACAAATAAAAATATATATTTTTTTATTTTATTTATATTTTATAATTTTTTTATTTATGTTTAAGTACTTTTTTATTTTAATTTTTTAATTTATGATAAACATTTTTTATTATTATTATAATTATTTTGTACAATTATTATTTAAAATTAATAATAAATTAAGAAAAACAATGAATTAATTCTTTTGTACAAGTCTCCAGCACTGCGAGCTTGGCACTTCTGCCAAGCTCGCAGTGAACGTTCAACGGGTCCCTAAAAAAAGTGATCGGTCCAGCCCTAACAACTACCGTTCTTCCTATATTTTATTATTATTGGCAAAATGTTTAAAAACAGTATAAAGCATATTATTTCATAAATTATAAATTCTCCCACTAATGTGGGAAAACCAAAATGATTTTTTTAATGGTAACACTGATTCTAAATTACAATTATCAGTGTTTTATTTCAATTATAGCCTTATTTACGATATTATCAATACAAAAACCATAAACTTACACGTGAAAAGTAATTCCGCGTGATTTATTAATGTTTTGTGACCTTGAATCGCATTCTTTCACTACGCATTTAGCCATTTTGGCGATTGTTACTGTCATGTGTCGCTATGTTCAACTCGGTTGACGCCACATTGAATACTGAATTGACGTTTGCTACGCATATGTCTGTGGACATATGTGCAGTAGCAACGATTTTAGGCGGTAATTACTCATCTATGTAAGTATTATATCAATGCTTGCGACAGAGAATATATTCCTAGCGCTGGCGGTGCTTTTTTTATAAGAAAAGAACTTGACCTGAGTTTCATCCTGACTCAAATCAATTATTGGATAACTATAGAACATCAACCAGGGGGCTGTAAATGACTTGTAATTTATATCGCTATATCTCTACGCTTTATAGGCAATTAAATTTGGATTAGACTAATTCAGTAAAGTATATGTAAGTAACGCCATCTATGTTCACTTTGGTTTAATGATTTGCACCTTCATAAAAAACAATTTATATTTAAAAGGCTGAATTAGTGAAGTCGAGCTTGGCCGGTGATTGGGAGAATTTGAACTCTACCGTTGAAGCCTGGACGTCACGCTGGAGCCAAGCAAAACCACGGCTTGAAGACACACATAATGTAGACTTTGCTGAGATGCTCGATAGATGTCGCTCAGTGTTTGATGCACACACGCAATGGAACAAGTTTATTAGCGATAGAGATGAGTTGTTGTGAGTAGAATTACGTACTTTATCACTGTTATTAGACATTTAATAAATTAAAAGTTAAACGAGTATTCTCTCGTGCTGTTTTTCGTGATAGTTCTAGTTTAGCTTGCAGCTAAGCTAGAACTATCTATTACTGATCAGATCAGACAAGTTCGATTAAAGTATAAAACATTTCAATAATTCTCTGTATATTCAAAAATTCTTAGTATAATATGGAATCAAATAAAATTATTGAAAAACTTTATAATAAAAATAATAATATTTTAAACAAAAACGATTTTAATATTTCATTGCAGAAAAGAGTGTCAGAAATTCAATATGGAAATGAAATTAACTGAGATTTGGGGACAAGCTGATAAACTTATGACCGATTACGTCAACTTGTGGACAGCTTTGAAGGAGTACAATGAAGGTACAGTAACCTGACTACATGAGTAACACTACTGAGTAACATGACTTTAATTAGGGTTGTGTACCTTGTTAGATAATCAAGTAATAAATAAGGTTACTTTTACTGTTACGTTTAAACTAAAATCTACATATTTTTCGTTGTAAAAAAGTGTGATGTGCTTTAGAAAATTATATCTTTATCCACTGTAAATAGTTATTAATGAACTAACTATTTGTGACATTTGTTGTCAAGTATCTTATACTTCACCATCAAAAACTATTTTCTGCTTTATAGTGCGGTTTGCTACTCTAGTTTACTTTTTAAATCTGTTATATTTTTCTTATCGTTTAATGTTGTGTTGTCATCATTCATAATTCATGTTAATCAGACGTCTTAAAACTTAAAAAAAATACGTTTAAAAATTTCGATAAATATAAAAGATAGATAGATGCAGCTAGGACAGTCAAGCCTATTAAATGTTTAAAATTCATATCTTTAACTCTCTAAACCACAAGTGCTTTTTTTTACCACATTCAAACAGCGCCATCCTGTTTAGGTAATTTGAATGAATTACTCATTGATACACTGAACACAACATACTAAGAACAAAGAAAGTACCATATGTCAACAATATTCTAAGTCAATCTTAAAAACCAGATAATTATCGATTTTGAAAAATAATCGATTTTACAATAAATGATGTTTATACTTTAACACATCTAGTTCCAAACTAAGCAAAACTTGTACTATGGGTACTAGACAAGTGATATAAGTACATATATACTCGTACTTTTTTTATACATATACATTATACATAGGAACACCCAGTCCAAATCAATTATTAAATGTTTATGCACACAAATATTTGACTTGAGCGGGAATCGAACCCGCGACCTTTGGAATAGCAGTCCGTTACACAAACCACTATGTTCTTTTTAATAATGTGTTTTCTTCTCTTCAGAATTTGAGAATATCGCAGAGCAAGACTGGATAGTGTTCCAGAAGAAAATTCATTTGATCGATGAATTCTCTATGAAATGGAAAAAATGCCTTGAACCTTTCACCGCAGTTACTTTGTACATACGACAGCAGCTGGATAAGTACTCGGTAAAAAGATATTTGATTAAAGCTAATTTAAACGTATTTATATAAAATCTAAGGGGTCCTTCTCAAAAAAGTGGCACCGCTCGAAGAAATTTATCAATTTTAGAAAATGTATCAATTATTAAGTTTTTTTTTGTTACAAAAATCCATTCTGAGTATTTCTCTCATATTGAATTGATCAGAGGAATACAATTTTCACATAAATAGACAAAATACAAAAAAACAACTTTACAGGTTAAAGAGACATCGTTTAGGTTATTGAGAAAATGTTTCGAGGTTAAAGAGAATCAAACAGGTTAAGGAAAAAAAACAATGTAACTATGCAAAATCAGCTGTTATTATTATTAAATGCAAATGAAAACAGTTACATTAGGAAGAACGGCTTTACAACTAAGATAACATAAACAAATCTCACCTAGATGTCGTCATACTAAACATGTCTGTCCTATCTATTCAGTCTCAAACAATCAGTCAGTCCAATAAAATTATAAAAACGTTAAACATAGAGGAACCTCTAAAGAATAATTAATCTTTGGATCATTTACTTTTTGGTTCTGAAAACAATCATAGAAAATCAAATCATTGTTGTTAAAGTATGTCATAATCGGAATCACTATCATTATCAGTAACATGTTTAGTTTTCAACAAAGACTCTGTTACATTAATTGCCCTTCATTTAAAATCCTATCTAAAGTACTCCTTTGAAGCTCCGGAGGCAATGCCAATTCTGAGAGTGCTGAAAATGGTGTAGATCTATGAAGAACATTTAGGAATTGTTCTACAAAACTAATTTTGGATTGTTCTATAACACACGTGCCATGGCAATAAAGCTGTCTTCATCCAAATCTTCGAGTTCCATACAAGACTCTAAAACTCGAGCAGTCGCCACAGCAGAAGCTCTCATTGTTTTATTGCGTTAAGGCTTTGGTGAGCTGACTTTTTGTCTTATAACATCATGAAACCCAAGGTGTTTGCCGTGCTTACTATATTCGGCTTTAGTTAAACACGTTTCTTTTGTACAGCTAAAACGTCTTTAAACGACAGATGCACTTTTTGTATCACACCATTCAATTTGATGAACTTGCTGCGTTCCTTTAAATGGCCGTAATGTATTGGGTAATAGCATGCCTTTTCAAAGATCTTATATTCGGACATAGTATTACGATGTTTTTCACCTTTTGTTTTAACGAACTTGAAAACTTTCGAAGTCTGGTACGTCATCGCCATGATTCACACATGCATCAGCGGGAAGCTTTAGAACAGCTCCAACTCCATCTCAGGTTCCCTTACCGTGGCCCGATTCACAATTCTTATACGTTTAAAAGCATTCATGAGGCCTTTGGCAAAGAACTCAAGAGATTGAAGGATCAGATTCTTCAACACGAGAACCCTCTCATTTTCTCACTCAGCCGAAACTAAGAATGCCGGCTTGAAGAAGGCATTAGAGAACCTCAAAGTTAGAGACGGGATGGCGACTAGAGTAACTGCTGCTCCTTCGGTATGATGGTTCAAAGTGCCGCCGTTTGATGGAACATCTTCTTGGTCAGCCTTCAAGATCCAGTTTGAAGCTGGTGACGGCAAACGGCTGGACTAAGGCCCAGGCCTTGACCGCGCTCACCTTGGGTCTCCGAGATCTGGCCTTAATCGTCCTTAAAGCACTCAGTAAGGAGGTAACCTATGACTAACTGCTAGAAGCATTGGAGGCAAGATATGGTGACGCTCACCTGGAGTACGTGTTTCGTGCGCAGCTTAAGGACCGTGTCAAACGCATCGGTGAAAACTTGTAACAATGGGTCTCGGAAGTTGAGAAACTGGTCCGCAAGGCATACCGGTCTGCACAGACCTACGCTCATTGACGGAAATCTGGAGCAAGCTTTCATCGATGGCATTCGTGAGCTTGAAGTTAGATCTGTTGTGAGGCTTGGGCACTATGAGACAGCCCAAGATGTTACGCCTGTGGAGAAAAGGGTCATCTTCGGTCTAGTTGCCTTAAGCGAAAGAAAAGAAAGTGAAGACGAGCGGCCTCAAAAGATTAGAGTTGCTAATAGCAGTGCCCACCATCGCAGTGAAACATCTCATGGTAACGCAGATGCGCACTATCAAGAAGACCTTGTCCTGAAGACTACAAGCACTGTACCAAGCAAGAAGTAAAGAAAACTGTGCCCATAAGGACGCTTAAGATGGACCTAACCAATGAGTGGAAGGAAAGCCTACAGCAAGCAGCGATAGGAGCATGTCAGACAATCGGGCCAACAAATGTCTGCGAAGATGAAAACTCGTTATGACCAGAAACTGAACAATAAGGGCTTTGAAGAAAGTTCGCTAGTGTGGCTACATAATCCAGTTCGCAGTAAAGGGATATCTCCGAAGCTACAAGCCAAATGGGATGAACCATACCGAGTGGCGATAAAAATCAGTAATTTTAAATGCGGATACAGAAGTGTCCAAAAGCGTTCCAAAGATTGTTCATGTGGATCGATTGGCGCGATATTACGGGACCGATAATGCTCGGGACGAGCATGCCTTAGGAGGGGGCAGTGCAGGCGCCGTAGGATCGATTGTTCGAGAATTGTATGGAATGTGGAGGACAGTGCCATCTAGTATCAAGTGAATTACAACTATTGAGATTGTGATTTATAGTTCTGAGACCTGCAGCGCTAGATGACGCTGCAAGTGAAGGGTAACTGATACTGGAATATTCCATCGCATCTTCGGGATTTGTCTAGTAAATTCGATAGCGTTATAAAAACGGAGCTTGTTGGCCGGACGGGACCGTATCGTTTTACGACACAGCGAATTTCTAATGCGACTTACGAGTTATATAGTGATTTCTTGTTTGTAATCGTAAGTATTTGTAATTACAGTGCAATTAACCGACAACTTCCGATCAATAAACAAATAAACAATATTTACGCATTTAAGGTTTTTTTTTCAATTACAACTTTTTATTAATAATTACTTCTATTATAGGATTTGACGCCTTTGCTCAAATATCTCCGAGGAAATGAGTTCACTGAACGGCACTGGAGAGAAGTATTCAGTCTTCTTGAGATGGAATATAAAACGCCGGATTCATTGCTAGTTAGAGATATCCTTGGCGCTGCACTAAATATTAGAAAACATATCAAAGCCTTGCAAGTATATATCACATTTTTCTATATTTATTATATTTTGATGTTGTGATCTAATTATAAGCAAATACTCATTAGTCATGGACCATTACAGAAAAAATAATAATTCTTTTATTTTAAATAATAAGTATTTTATAAATCCGAAAATATGCGGCTTAACAGATAAGTTTACGAATCACAAGTGCTCCAATATATATATGGTAAAATTGTTGATATTTCAAATAATATGTAAAAATTGTTATTAAAGTACTGATGACACTTCGTGTGTTTTTAGAAAATTTGTACATCGGCATCAAGTGAGTTTGCCATTAGAAATGCTCTCAATGAACTAGAGATTTGGTTTGCTGGTGCTAAATTAGCTATTACGTATTACAATGACAAAGCGAAGCGACCCACTCCTATTGTAAAGGATTTCAAAGATGTACTCAGTAAGGTAAGGTTTATGATATTCATATTTTAGAACATTTAGATTTTTATCATAAATATTAGTATTCAAATTGTAAGCACGTATTAAACAGCACTGAGTTCTTCAAGAAAATAGTGTATACATAGGTTTTTAAAGGGTCCATAAACTACAGCGAACGCTTACTATTTGCCATCGATGTGGTATAGATAAAACAGCAAAATAAACTAGTGCTAAGTGTTATATTTTTGCTGGTGACTAAGATCACCCAAGCATCATAATAGATTTTGTAAACTTAGCTAGTTTACAAGAAGTACCTAGGGGCTGACTGCCGGATAGGGAAAAATGAATATTTGTCTTTCACGTAACCTATTTATTTTTTCATCACATTTGGTTTTTATATCACGCTACTTCACTGCGTTTTTAATAAGTGATATTTCTGTATATTATGTGAAGATCGAAGAACAACAATGGGTGGTATCGTCTTTGTCTGGCGGCGTTGGGGCTGGTGGTGCAGATGCGTGTGGTGCTTGGGACTCGCGGCTGAGGTCTGCGCGGGCGCTCTTACGTGCCACACACCACGCCCAACGCAGGTATGTAACTGTAATTCTCAGAGCTCTAACTTTATAAGCAGGGATAAATAAAAACACTTGGCTGCATACTTACCTCGGATATCGAGTAACGCTTTACATCCTTTTTCAATACTAATATCATCATCATCATCATCAACAGCCATTAATAGTCCAGCAAAATATAAAAATACCCTCCTAAGATTGTTATTTATTCAGCAATGAAGCAATTCTACCCTGTTAAGTAAAATATATTTTGAAAACTGAATTTTGCTTTCACGAACGTCCTACATACTTCTTCTTCTAAATTAGGAGACTAGTCCCGCACTAGGAATATATCCTTACTTGACTTTACAAACATTCATGAAACGGACACAGAGACCAGCCAGACTCAGAATATCGTACAATATAATCTCGATGACTCAGAACAACAATTTGTGAATCACACAAAGTTTTGTCCCATGGAGGGATCGAACCCACAACACTAAGCCCGGCTAGGTGACCGCTTAAACCACTACGCCATCCGTGCAGTCAATTTATATTATACTGAATTAAATTTATTAATATTAATTATATTGAATTATTTCAATTTAGTCATATTTTTCCTCAGCAAGGTAAAAGTACTATGTATTCTAGACTGATAATTTATGAATTCATTAGATTTTAGCTTATTATTAAATAAAGCACAATATGCTTGACTGCAGTTTAATTGTGCAGACTCATCACGTGTTTTCATATACAAACGATCAAAATTCATTAACACTAACGACAATAGTATCTACTATACATCTTAAATGTTGTCTCTTGTTCTACACTTCCTTAAAACCGAATAAATTAGCTAAACTTAGAATGAACAAAACAGAAACAATAAAATGTTTTGTTGGCCGTCTCAGGATTTGCGCTGCCCGTCGACATATGCGCGACAGATGTTCTGTCTATTTTGACCGAATAGACATCTTGGTTCTCGTTGTATTCGATTTTTTATATTCTACCATTGCGTTTTAAAAACGATAAAAGATCTATATTACAATTGTTTTGATCTAATAACTAATACTGAATTCGATCCAGCAAGTTAAAATGGGTCAAGTAAATTAATTTTTATTAAATTCTCTAGTAAAGTCAAAAAGCTCAAGGATACCTTGTCTCTCCTCGTGTTGAAATGTAATGCATATGTTATATGTGGAATAATAGTATTACCCAAACATATTATTTTTGCGTGATACGCTTACATTGAAGTTAAAATTTAAACAATTCCACACGAGTGCTGGTTCTCTTCAACTTGCAGAGTATATGTATATGCTGCTTGTTTTGCTTATGGCTTTTGAATCACTCTTTATGTATTTCTTCGAGCGGGTGTAAATACAAGGGTGTAAATAAATACGGGAGTAAATACATATAAGTCAAATATACTGGACATTCCCTTTGTGGCGACTTTTTCTTTTAGTTTCTGTAAATATTATAATAATAATTACTCCATGGAAAAGAGTTTTGTTTGTCACTATAAAAATTGGCAAAATAAAACTGTAATTGTATTTTTTTTTTAAAGTAAGGTAATAAAATAAGTACAGGAACTCTGACTGATTCAATCTATTTTACGCATCATTGCCGTAATATAATAGTAAGTCCACAAATCAAAAAGTGATGAGAATGAATTTATCTTGAACAGTCCAACTGTAATGACATGTGCAATTTAATCAAAACAGCACAAGCGTTCCGATTCCCCTTCTAAATAAGAAAAAATAATAAGGTTGTATAAATTATGCAATTTTCTATTATTTTATGGTTGAAGCTCACGTTGAAATCGGACCAAATAGCAAAAAGATGTAGAAACGGCAATGTGAACGTAACGTAAAGACATTTTGTCTGCAATCGAAGTGGTCGGCTCGTATTTCACTGAGTAGGTATGTACCTACTATATTGAGGCGTGACGTGTATATGGTTTCTTTTCTTTAGTAAGCTTTAGCATAAAGACTCCGTTTCCACGTGATGCTTGCTTATATGCTTAGTGGTAAATGTAATAAGTACTATTATTTTAGTATATATAGTATTTTATTAAAATTGTTGAAAAAGCACGCTCATGTAAACGATCTGCATGGCAAACTAAATGATCTCAAAGCGCGCTTCAACGCTGTAGGTACGTCAGGTTGTCCTACCTTACCTACCTACTTGTTTGCCACGTTAACGTCGTATTAAAAGGTATTATGGTTCAAATTGAAATGCAAGTTTTTTGTTACACTCGCCTGTCCTGACTAATACAGTTCTAGGCTAAGTATAACAATTTTACATGGAACATAAAAACAGAAGAATGATCACCAAAAAATCACCGTGTATATCTAGTGTTCTTCATGATGCAACGCAAGAATAAAGTAGAGTAGAATGTTGTCATCACTGAGGATGTACGTAAAGCTGTTTCGATAACGCGGGTTCACTGTCCTGAGATTTCAAATATGGCTACAAAATTAGGCGACGCCGACGTGCTATTAAGATACCCGGCTATTTAATTGCCTACTGAAATAGAAAGTCTTTTATGATATTCAAAATAATTTGACGTTCAAAAGCCTGAGCGAAGTATCAAATAAAGTTTGCTTACACTCCTGTTAACAGTGATGTTTATTCACTGTTCTGTGTTTCTTTTGGTATTATTCATGTTATTATATCAATTTTCTAATTCTAAGAGCAAGCTATTCAATATTTAACGGTACTTTATAAATGTACTTTCACCTACGTGAGAGTGCATTTATTTTTTTGATTACCTATAGATTTATTATTAACTAAGGTTTTGCTTGAGTAAGCAGTCCTTTAACTCTGATCACTCAGTGTTTGTGGCTTTTATAAGAATCTAAACAAGACATATTTAGGTATCGTAACTCTTTTTTTATTCATAATATTAAACCACCAACTTATTCTTGTATAAATCTTGGCGTGGGCCATATAATTAAGGTAAAGTATTTCAGATATTCATTCTCAATTCTCATTATATGTATAATGTTAGGTACATACCGTTCCTTTTTTATTAGCATAAATCAATTAATACAATCATACATCTTTGGTAACTCTGACTCGGAGGTTACTCGGACACGGACACGTTAGATAAAAGCACGTAGGGTACGTTAGGTTAAATCAATTCGAAATAGGAATTTTTAAACAATAACATTATTTTACATTTACCTGTTTACGATGTGCAATCTACACTAATCTACTGACTGACTGCTAAAAGCTATTAAAATACGATGATCACCAATCGAACCAAGTGTGTATTATCTACAAAGTGTCTCAAAAGAAAGTTTATATTTAGTAGATCGATTAAAAAAAAAGTAAGCAGTGTATCGAAAAAATGTTTATTAATTATTAAAGTACACAATTTGGGAATTTATTTCTTAAAAATAATATCCTCCAAATGTAGACCCTCGCGTTCGCGGCACTCATTTAATCGAACAGTAAAATTACTTATGACGGCTCGGCAGGTGGACTCAGTGATGGCTGCCATTTCGTGACGGATATTTTCTTTCAAATGCGCCAGGGAAGTCGGTTTATTCGCGTAAACTTTAGATTTAAGATAACCCCATAGGAAAAAGTCCATAGGGGTTAAATCAGGACTGCGTGGGGGCCAATTTATGTCACCTCTCCTGGAGATAAATTTTCCTGAGAAAATTTCACGAACTCGTGGCAGAGACGTATTGGACGTGTGTGACGTTGCTCCGTCCTGCTGGAACCATGTTCTTTAGTTATGGCCAGCCAAGTTTTGCAGTTCAGGCGCCAAGAAGTCGTTTAACATCTCCACATAACGCTCTGAATTCACTGTAACTGCACGCCCCCTTTCGTCTTCAAAAAAGTAAGGGCCGATAATTCCTCGCGCCGACATCGCAGCCCATACTTTCACTTTAGGCAATTCTGCTTATTTACGTGTCCATTACGTAGTACGCGTCCTAGGCCGAAAATAACAAAAATTTTGACCCCCCCGTAGACTCCGGGGGTTTTAAAAACCTAGATGAAAGGAAAAAAAAAAAAAATTAAATATCGGTCTCTCCTCTTTGAAGTTTCACTTCTATCGTGTGTGAATCGCACACATACCTTTTTTTTTATAAAGTCAAAACCTTTTTCTTTAAAATAAAAACTTGTTTTTATTGAAAACAAAAATCAGAGTGTTGCTAGGGATAAGTATAAACTTAAATAGTAATGTTAGGATATCGAAACATTTTTGTATAGGCCAGAACGATATAGTGTAAACGCGCTCTAAGATCTGAGTAATATACACACCACTACATATGCAAAAATTTCTCGAGACATTTCACTGTACACTCCTAGAATAATATATCTGTACATTTTATTATTATTGTAACACTACATTAGAATAAAATATGCTTTATTGTACACCAATTACAATATGATAGATGGATATTACAGACCCATGTGTACAATGGGCGGCCTTTTTGCTAAAAGCAATCTCTAAACAGGCAACCTTTAGATGGACAAATCGCCAGTAGATAAAAGAAACAAGTGGTAGTCTAGGTGTATTGAAGCCACAGTAGGTCAGAAGTGTTAAAATAAATATATAAATACACTCAAAATCTGTTATAACTCCATCGAAGTGACTTCTCATTGGTCGTAAAAACCGATAGTCGTAACAGCCGTTAATGGTACCGTGCTGAGCCCGGAAACGTTGAATCCAACTAGACGAGCAAACGAAATCTTAAATAAAACGCTGAGCAAAATCGTTTGCTTTTTGTTGAAGAATTGGTCCATTTATTAGCACATTATTTCTCCTTTGATGATGATGACCACTTTAACAAAGCTTCCTCAATCTTTCTATGCTTCGTTGTTCTGGCTCGTTTCGTTTTCAAAAAAATGCTGTCGTAAAGGGTTGAATTTTTAGCCTCGTTTTCCAAATGGCTGAAATTGTCGAGTGTGATACATTATATTCGTTTGCCAAGTCTTTGTTTAGAATTCCGCTCTCTAGCTTTAATATAATACACGATTTTTCCTCAATATTAATTTGTTTTCCTTTTCTTTGCGACATGTTAAAAGTTTTACAAAATACTCGACAGTATGTTTTGGTGCATC